ACATGACTATAAGAAAGAAAAAAAAAAATCCCCACCCAAAAGAAGTTTATTTGAAAAATCAGCCAGATCCTCTTTGAGTCCTCCAAATCTGCTAATAAAGCCAATAATAACAATTGATATTTTTACAATGACTGAAGAAAATGCTGCTTAGTTAATGTAAGCGTTAACTGACTTAAGTCAGCAGATGGCGATATTGAGCCAAACAGAGAGACAGTACACTGCTGATCCTGTCTTTATGTCCTCCGTGTGAGGACTTTCATATTGAGTCTACTTCTTTTAACAGATCAGGCTGAGCATGACAGAGCCTGGTCTGTGCTTCATAACTCCTCCAAAAAGCAGCTGGATCATGAACAGTGAATAAATGATATATAATCATGATGTAGTGTTTGTCAGTCTAGTTTTGCAGCACTTGAAGTTCTGTCTTATGAGCTAGGTGGCCAAAGACTTCTTTACTTGAGTCAAAGTATAGATCCTTTTGGTCAAATATTACTCCAATACAGGTGAAAGTTGCTCAGTCAAATAATTACTTGAGTTAAAGTGCTGGAGTATTTACTTTTTTTTTTTCACGTAAATGATGGTCTTTTCTCTACATCTATTGGTGGGTTGTAATACAACATAAAGGTGCATGTCTACTGTACTGTACCGAGCTGACTTAATACACAGCAGCTCCACCTAACCACATGCAGAACTATATAGGTTTTTAAAGGACACATGAACTCCCGAAAAGTAGTGGAGTCAAAACTACAATATTCATCTTTCAAATGTTGTGAAATAGAAGTAATAAGTTTCCCCCAAAAGTGCTGCCCAAGTTCAGTACAGATACTTAGAATAAGTGTACGCTAGTTAAGTACATTTACTTTGTTACTGTCCATCACTTCCTACCAGTAATATTTGTGATGTGTTTATAGTCTTAAGTCACCTGTGTGTGTCTGACATGCAGTATTAAGTACTGACAGTAAGTCTTCTGTATCCTTCAGGTCACTTCCTTCAGTCTATGTGTTTTTTCTGCTCAGCTCTTCTCTGCTAATCCCAGTTACCGTGACCTCTGACCCCTGGACATTATCTTACGTAAGAAGCTGGTTAAGGAAAGCACACGGGAGTGGCCCGTGCTCTGTTTCAGCTTTAGGTAAGGTAAGCTCATTAACAGTTACTCCAGGAATCACAAGCAAACAACAACCACGAATAAACCTGAGCTAAGTGAGAGCAGTAAGGAAACGTAAACACTGGACCAAAGCGTTTGGTCTTATTAAAGATCCTTCAAGGAAATTTAAGAATATGTTGATTTTAGCGCCCCCTGTGGACATATTAGTTCGCCTTATCTCCTCTATAATTTCTACTGCACATGTGTATGTTGGGTTTCTTTAAAGAAAGAAAATCATCAGGTTGTATTTTGATCATCAATTCTTCCTCCAATGAAGTGTCTTTAAGATGAAAAATGTTAAAATAGACAGTTTGGCAGTATGGCTTCATTTGTCACCTAACCTGCAGCAGTAGTTTCAGTTACCATAGTTACAATAAAATACACATAAAGTATCTCGTCAACTGTGGTGTCATGTTGTTTTCTAGCCCATTATGGAGGAATAGTATTAATATAATTCTGTTTTGAAGGCAGATAAAAACTCCCCACAGGAGCTTTAACATAGCCTGAACTACACACATATACACACACATACACAAACGTTACAGTGTTATCATCCATCTGTCCTTCCCTATCACTCAGGCTGAGTCACTCTGCTCCATTGCGCCATTAAAACAGATGAATAATCATACACACTGCTTTTATTAAAGCCTCTCAGTGTCTCTACCACAGAGTCCTAGTCCCGTAACAATATCAAGGGTTGTTTGTCCTTTAACTTCGTCTCTGTCCTCAAGGCTGAAATGTAAAGCCCCCTCCTCTCATTGAGCATCTGCTATGATTACAGCTGACAGTGTGTACTCTGCGGTGACACACTGTTGTCCTCCAGTCAGTGTGTCATATTTTCTTACAATAGTAACAATCCAGCAACTCACGGTTCTTTGCATATATTCCTCATTGTGTCACAATCCCTCTGTCTTTTGTTTTATCAAGACATTAAATTCACCCTCTCAAATTACGGTTAACATCCTCTCCTGGCTACTTCTTGTTCTTGTTTTTTTCCTGCACCCTTAGACAGTCACGATTTTGTAATCCATCATTTTGAGCACAAATTATCATATTTGGTCTGTTTTGGACTGGTTTTCCTTCACATTCATCCAAGTCTCGATAGCTCCGCTGAGAATTCTTCCTCTTCCCCATTTTTCATATCCTGCAGGCAGCCCTAAGGCTCGACTGTCTGTCCAAATCTTCTTCTCAATTTTTCTGGCCTATTTGGAATAATAAAGAAGACATCTTGCTGTGGCATATATTTGACCCTTTATTCAATTCGATCATTCTTTAAGGGTTCTATTTTCCAATTTTGAAGACCTGCCTATAAATTCTTATTTTAGCCTAAATGTGTTACATATTGTAAATCCTGACTGAACCCTCAACAATCTGCTATAGACTGTATAAAGCCATGGATGAAACAACAGTTACTTGATGTGAAGCCAAACATTTAGAGCTCCCCCTGGTGGCTGGGTGTATAACAGATCTTAGAGAATGGCTTCTTCATTATGACAGGTGGGACATGAATCAAACAAAAAAAATCCTCAAAGTACAGGTAGACTAGCTTTTTTGAAAAGCATTTTATCTGTCATGACAGGTAGTTCTGCAGTGTTTAATTTTTTGAACAGTTTACTTTTATGAGTGATTTGTTGTTAAAAAGAAGGGGTGTCATGCCATGATTGTGTCATATCATGTCCTGGGGCGGATAAGCAGAGTAGAGGAGAAACAAAGGAAGGAAATATAACAAACACTAACACAGGAGTCATGAAACTTTCCACTTTCAAGATATCTGACATTTTATCAATAGGTCAACAGTGTGTTTTTGTAAACTGAACTTGTATAACGTCAGTCTCTTCTTCTAATGCTTCATCTCCACCAGTGTAATATGTCAGCGTCTATCTAAGAGGTGTTTTAGCTTCACTTCACTACTTATAGGCCTGGTAACTTAACCAACAACTCCTCACCTGTCCTCAGGTTTGGACACGTTTTCGAGCCAAGGCCTCTTAACCTCAAACAAGTGACAAAAATCTAATCTTTGAAAACAAATGAATTATTATCTTATTATGTAATTATTCTTCTTTCCTGCCTTTGTTGGCACATTGATGCTGTTCTTGACATTTTATGAACACCTGTTGGTCAGAGGAAAGCTGTGAAACCATTGGCAGGAATCTAGAGAGTGCTGTCTGATTGTTTTTCGATTTGCATCTTAAGAGCTCATCCATTTGAAATACTCTTCAGTAACAACGGTCCAATATAGTGCTATTAAACAACAAAACCTTTGTCTTTTTTAGATCAAACATATACACAATATTTATCTGATTCAGCGTTGGTACTCTTAATCCTAACTTCATTTTTCTGAGAAGAATTAGTATATTGTTTTTTTTAGACTCAAAGCTGGTGTCTGTATCTAAAGTTTTCATGCACTGGAGTGAAATTGGTCAGTGAAACTACAGTTAACATCACAGATTCTTTGTTCACCCTTTACATTACAGAAAAACCTCAAATAAAATCAGACAAGAAACATTTCTACATCCCTGTTACTTTCTCCCTTCAGTGGCCTCCCCTTTGTTTGTTAAATGTTTGTATAAAAATACATGTTTTCAACCCTGAATGTGGATGAGGAGTCTTTCCCCAAGAAACCTGGGGCCCTTTTATGCTGAGCTTTTATCTTTTTGCTCACTCAAGGACAGAATCAGAGAATCCTCTTTCCTCATCTTTGACTTTTTTCCTTCAGTCTATTCAGGATCTCAAAGAAAGACTTCAACAGACTCTTTTCTTATTGCTTTTTAGCCCTGTCTGAACTCTTTATTTTTATCCTGCATTTGTGTTTCTGACTTTATTTTCCCCTCAGTAGACTCAGTTGGTCATTTTTTGCACTTAAAGTATGAAATCAAATCAAATCTAGCCCTTTAATGCCTGACACCACAAATTATGGTCAGAAAATTCAATTTTTTTGGAGCTGAAATGTTTATTTCACTTACCACTGAAAACCAAAGAAATCAAAATGTCTTTAAAAGATGTTTTCGGAAACTAATAAACTATAGGAGGACATTTTTATCATTTATAGGACTGTATTCAGGTGTTTTTAGTAATTTGTTGATCATATTGATTTGATAGAAGTATATAAAATCATGTATCAAATATGAAACAGAAGGCATTAAAGGGCTTACAAAAATCACTTTTAAAAACACAATCAAATGCGATTATCTTTCCAGACTGACAACATTTAGACGCATTTTTCGCTTATTTTATAATTCTACTGTGCTCCATACTGTGACACCTTGATTAACATGCATGCACTTGGCTGGAGTGTGCTGAAGGCAAGCCGAGAGGCACTAAGGCATCAGGGGACAGCAGCCATGTGACTGTGCTTGCAGGGATTGGTTTAGTGCAGATGTGACATCAGCAATCCTCCCACTCCCTCCTCCTCCTCCTCCTCTTCTCTCCCGGTTTTCCTCCACCTCTCTCTCCCACTTTCTCTCTCTCTCTCTGATATCTTCCTCTCCTTCTCCTTTCCTCAGCATCCCCCCCTCCCAGAGATGGCGTGCGTTGGATCTGCCCGTGCGTCCGGGGCCTAACAGAGCCCCCTCCCTGCTCCATCCCCGGATTTGCTGCATATTCCTCGGGTGTCTCCTGTCACTGTGTCCTCCACCCTCGTTGCCTCAATTGCCTCGGCTCTCCCCCCACCTTTCCCCACCTCCCTGCCTGTGCGGGTGTCTGGGAGTCGGGCCCTTGGGGGGGTGGAGGGATCGCGCGTCGCTGCGTGAGCTGTGTGGAATTAGCTATGCCTTGCCCAGGCATCCTTTGACCGGCTGGATTTGTCTTTTTCTGTCCGCCTGTGCACCGAAAGGGCAACGTAGGATGAAAATCAGCAATCATGATGCAAGGTAAATACCCTGTCCACTCCTTCTCCTCCTTCCTCTCCCATATTTGTCTCCTCCTGCGTCCTCCTCCTGCCCTCTCGTGTCCTAGCTAATGTGATGTGTCGTGCAGTGAGGACCTCGAGAGCTGCGCTGAGCAGCTCCATGCATGACCAGTGTGACGATGTGGCCTGTGTGTGCGTTTGTGATCAGATTTGTCATAAATGATGGTGTGGTAAACTGTGGATTTTGAGAGAAGGATCTGGTTTGTAGATCTCTACAGATCAGCTGATGTCCAGTTCTCTATGTGTTTACACGTGTCTCTGTGTTTGTGTAGCTCATACCTCTACTTCTAATATCAATATCAGCCTTTATGGAGGTCCATATGAGGAGAGGTCTCTACTCAAAAGCTCCACTCATTTATATCTCTACTGCTGTTAGCTGTCAGTGCAAAATATCAGCACAATACCAGAACAGAAGATGTGCTGATAATAATACCAGTACTGAGACACTAATATCACATATCAGTGTCTTTATACTTGGTCTAAGTCATGTGAATCTTTAAGAAAAGATATTGACCGGGGAGCATGCAATCATTGATATCTCTGCTGCTGCAGCTACCAGTGCATACTAAAAGGAAACTAATGCTAAAGCTAGATTTATTCCAACACCAGTACTACTGTATGTTTACATCAGCACTGGTATCAGTATCAGGTATTGATGCATCTTCACACAGTGTATGTAAAAACGTGTAAGGTTTATTTGGGAAGCAATTTGAACCAGGAAGCTGAACTTATTTGCAGTTATTTTGCCTTAGCTGCTAGAGCGTACTATTCGCACAAACAATGCTATAACAACACCAGAGGTGAACCAATATCCATACTGGTATAAGAGAGCAAGAACTGTGGTGGTATCATGATGTCTTTAAAGGAGACATTTATTCAAAGAACTTCACATTGGATACATCAATAATTCGCTCACACAGTCACACCTTGGTGGTGGTAAACTACATAGACTGTATATACTACGCAATCCCGAAAGGCCCATAGGCTGTATCAGGTGTCAATCATAGAAAACATGAACCCCCTAATAACTTAAAAAACGGAGCTGCACAGAAAAAAGAGGACTTGAGCACAAACCAGTCTCCGACCACCACCACACAACACTCACATTCATACACCAGTGGAGGACACACACTGGGAGCAAGGTGTTAAGTGTCTTGCCCAAGGACACAGCGGACAGACTCAGGATAGGGGGAACTCGAACCGCCAACTTTCTAGTTATTGGACAACTGCTCTACCTCCTGAGCTACTGCCGCCCAATGCTGATATAAACATATGATAGTAAATGTTGTATGTTCACACAAAACTTTAAAGTTTCATGACGTGAGATACACAGTTGCTGGCTTGATTCCCAGACGTTCTCTTAACAGCTTTTGCAAAATCTGTGCAAGACTTCACCTGAACGTGATGTCAGACTCTGCTGTGGTGTCAGGATACTCAGTACATCTACATTCACCGTGAAGTCAAGCTACAGTGACATCTCAGCTAGGCTATTTAACTGGACTACTGTCCTTATCCCAGTTTACAAGCACTGGGTAAGCTCGTGGCTATGGAGTCACCACCTGGTTGTTATATAAACAGCATTTGCAAGAAGTTAACGGAGTGTACATTATACAGAAAAAAAATGAATCATTGTACCTTTTGTTTGTACGGAAAAAAAAAAAAAAGTGTTTTTTTGGCCCTTTGTCCAGTTTTGTTTACCACCTGGCTTCCAAGCAACACATCCATGCTTTTAAACTTAAAGCTCAAAACCCAGCATGCAATTACTGGAGCATGCTTGGAAGGCTTAGGCCAGTTTTAGTGTGATTAAGCCGTATGCACGGAAGCAAAACTTGATCTCTAACAACATTACCTTGGTATGTGAATGCAACCATGAGAAGTATGATTGAGTGTGACTTCTTTTGGTCAGTACAAGCTGGATTTGCTTTTCAAATGTTCCTTAAACCTGGAGCTGTCCCATCTATTTGAGACCTCCCATAAAGACTGGGAATGTCAAACAGTAAGTAACAAAAGCTAATTTGATAATTGCTGACACTAACATGGGTTCAAACGGCTAGCCCTGGACATTTATAATAAAGGCATAACATTTGTATTATTTTATGATGACAGAGCTGTATGATAAGTAACACCTACCAGTTGTGTCTAACTTGGTATCAGTAGAAAAGCAGACAAAATAAAGTGTTTCAGGCAAAGACTGAATAGTGCTGAAATGAGGGTTTTAATGACACTAGTACATGATGAAAAAAGAGTTTCTGAGCTGCGAATCATGCAAAGCTACTCTATGGGTGTAGCAGGCTGACATAAAGAGAGGTGGAAATGAGTATAAGTGGTTCTTTTTGATGAGACATCAGACCCAGAAGGCCACACCTGTTCATATCTCCGCTGCTACCAGTTTTAAAAGGCTGATATGAACACCGGCATTGGTATCATCAGGTGTTTTCATTCAGTTGATGTATTATAGAGGTGTATTTGAAGAGACTGCACTCAGATTGCTGTAGCTCCAGGTGCATCATTATAGGAAAAGTGATACTAAACAACATTTTTCCTCATAGCATTAGCAGCATTGTAAGCTGATCATATTTTTATCAGGTATGAGTATCAGTGTGTGTACACCAGTTCTCTGACACATGAAGGCCTAGTGTAAGAGAGATCTGAACCAGGAAGCTGCACTTATTCAGACCTATGTTTTTGTAGTTGGCCAGAGTTGTACAAACCCATATCAAGACTAATACTGACAGTTATATTGGTGTCAGGTATTGTGTAGCTACACAAGGAAGCTGGACTTTCTTATACCTTGGTGCATAATATTGTGATCAGTGATACTAAAACTAAAGTTGTACCAATACTTGATACCCGATACCAGTATAAAATACCTGCAAAGATATTGATAAGTTTCAAGTTGCAGAGAAATCTGAGATAGGGAGCTAATCCTATCTCTCTGCGTGTTGCTGTTGCTAGCATTAAGTAAAATTTAACTAATGATGCCAAAACCAAAGCTGATCAGACATACATAACAGAATTAATAACAGTACCTTTATCAGCCTGCTGGGACACCTGAAAAGCAGATTAGAGGTGGTTCGAGCTGGTTTAAGCCATCAACATAATTGGCCTTTGTGATAAATATTTGTCTGATCGATGCCTTTCAAATACTTCCATGTGCCCCGCAAAACAATGTTATGATGAGGAAGTAATCATGGCAGGCAGAAGGCAGGAGTGATTCAAAATGCTGTCATGTACAACTGAATGTTGTTGGGCTATCAATATCAGCTCTAATAATAGGACAGTATGATTCACCATCTTACTGTAAAATCCACTTCCTTTGTGAGACCAGCAGTTATCTCTTTGAGTTTCTGTGACACGAAGGGGCTTTTCTATCCCACAGAGAGGATCAGCAATCAGAAATCAGACTTCCCTGTCTCAGCAGAGCAGTGAGGATAATAAAAAATTGGATTTAAATTTAGGGGTTGAGAAAAAAATTTGATTCAGCATGGTATTGTGATATTTTGTCTAGAGGTATATCGTCTCTCTTACCAAGTATCAATTTTTCAAATTTATTGCTAATTTGAAGTCAAATCTATGATAACGGAAAAATAAAATTAACTGTTTGTCCAGTAAGGTTGGCAGAGGTGACATCGTAGAGCAGGAGAAAGTTAGTACAACAAATATATATAAGATTTGCAAGATGTGCTACATTAAAATAAAATACTGTGTAAGACAAACATAAAGGAAAGCCAAATGCTAAATTAGCTTAACAGTTGAAAAAAATTGTAAAAATCGCAATAATATCGTATCGTGGCCCAAGTATTGTGATAATATCGTGTCGTGGGGCCATTGGTGATTCCCAACCCCAAATTGAATGTTGTAAGGCTTTCAGTATCAGCTCTAAAAATAGATCAGTGTGATTTACCGTCTTACTGTAAAATCCACTCCCTTTGTGAGACCAGCAGTTTTCTCTTTTAGTTTCTGTGACACTAAGGATTCACAGAGAGGATCAGCAATCAGGATTCAGGCTTTCCTGTCTCAGCAGAGCAATGAAGGTACTTAAAACTTGGATTTAAATTTGTTTTGTTGAAACAGAAAACATGTATAGGCCTAAATTTTTTTCCACATAGAAAATTCATAAAAAATTGGTGAGGGAACTGACAAAGAATTGGATTGATAAGCAAAATCAATGATGGCAGGGGTATCTATAAAAGTTTGTTAATTCCCATCCCTAATTATAACCACCATACTCCCCCCAAATACTTTTTGTTAAAGTAATTTCTCTCAAAGGAGTAACTAGTTACAACAGCATGGTGCTAAAGGAGGGTGTAATACTTAATGGAAATGTTAGTAATCAGTATTTTTCAATAGATCATGTATACTTTTCATTTGACTGGTATCTAAGGGTTACCTGTTGTCAGACAATTGTCAGATCAAAGTATTTGAATAGACCAGGTACTAAGATAACATCCGGCACTCCTAAGATCACTCATGACTCGGTGCTTGTGTTGCTTCAATTAAATCACAACGTACTATATTAAAGGCTAGAGTGATGCAAAAGAGGAAGTTCATAATAAACTTTGATGGTCGGATGTAACTCATAGATCTAACACTGTATGGTAGATGATGGGCCTTTAGTATCCATTAATGCCTACATGCTAATGGAAGGTGGTTATTATTAGCAAAAGCCTGCAGTCAGATTGTGATGCTATTGTGGCCAGTTCATAAGCTCCACAACAGCACAGATGTCACATGCTTATCATTTGTAAGCTACACGTGCGTCACTAATTAGTACAGATAGGCTGCCAGGTGTAGTAATTGACATACTGAATATGTTATTTGGAGTCAGATACAAACATGAATTCATGATAAGGAAATCATAAAAACCTAGATGCGGATGCATCAACAAACCAAAAATTTAAAGGCATGAGATATTAAGATTTTTTTTTTCTCTCTGGGGGTCCAAGTTGCTGATATTAGCAAGTACTGCTTACAGTTTCCTGTTACAAAACTTTAAAAAATGCAGTAGTTTAAAGTAGATTTAAATTAAAAATTGTGGGCTTGAACGTTTTTGGACTCATTAATTTAGCGCTCATATAAAAGACCTACTATAGGCTTGAAGTGCAGGGGCCAGGGATGAGGGATGCAAACTGGGGAAAAAGTTGAAATATTGAGATCAAACTCAACCTTTTGAGGTACATTAAACGGCATGTATAATGTCTTCAGCAAAATACATTTTGTTGATAAATATGTGAAGCCTTAGAATTGACTTTTCCAACAGAAATTATTTGTCTTTTAGCTGTAAACACATTGAATTGTCAATATTAGGATTTTGAAAAGTGTGTCTCTTCAGGGAAAACTGCACACGCTTAAATGAGGTTCTTCTCTAAAAGTTGGAAAGAAATGAAGTGATTCAGCGCTCAAAAGTCAATAACTCATGAGGGGAACATTGCTTTTGGAAGAAGGACACCTCTTTCCAAACAATATGAGATGGACCACCACCTGATTTTCACCAGTACCAGCTGTCCTGTTAGCTGGACGGTTTCCAGCGGTTTCTCTCTCTAGCCGGCTGTGGCTCAATTGAAATGTGAAGGGACTGTCTACAAAGTGCAATACCGGGAGGAGGTACCTCAAAAATATTCAACCACATAATCAAAAGTGTTGTGTCCTAAAATCCCTTCACACCTTAATTGACCCCTGCTTGTCTACTAGACAAGCAGTTTCAATGTGAAATCAGCGTTTTAGGGCTCAAACAAAGCAAACAGTCCTCCTTCAATTCTTAACATGACCACTAAATGTGTGTTCTGCCCTGCTATGTGTTATTTTGTTGTAAGTCAATTACATATTAATACCTGGGTTGATTCTCTTGCTTTACTATTTACTACACAAAAGGCCCGCACTGGTTTGGACTGGTCAGAGCGCTCAGTGTTCAGGGCTGCCTCCACTGACAGAGAGCCATGATGCAGGAATAATCTGTGCTATTGAGCTGCACAGCGAGCTACTCATACATCACAGGCCCTGACATGTCCTTCAGTACCCTGAGAGCTTCCTCCCAGTCCCCACGTGAATGTGCTGAGCACCAGGCCAGAGCAGTACCTCTGCAATCCAAGTGTTCATTAGCCTTACTATTAAGACTTCGATGTGAGCCTGATGATTACAGTATCTGTAATTTCAGTATTTAATCTTATTTCACAGCCGATCTGATTCTGTTTTCCTCTTAACAAACTTTAAAACATCGCAATCCAGTCATGTGAAACAAATAAGCCTTCAACTACACAGAGTGTGAGTGTGCTCCCACTTAAAACAGCCTTTTTATGACATGAAGAGACGCTGTGCAAAGCTGAACACAAACTGAGCTGCCTCTAAATAGTACAAAATGTTCATCCACCAAACTGTCCATCACACGTGTCTCTGAATGGATGAGAGAATCGTCTGTGCTCTCTTGTCTTCATGAACAGAGTTATGCAAACCTGTCAGCTGTCTATTTTAGGGAGGAAAACATGTTACATAGCACCGCAGGTCCAAAAACAAGAAAGAGAAGAATGGGATGAACGCTGCTCCTGTGGACTTCTCTGTAAATTCACCGGGAGACTGAGGCTTTGCTGTTTGGTTACATATTAGAGAGATGTTTGTAATCAATCGTCCTATTTTTTCAGTGACAAAAATAAAAAGAGAGTTGATTTATTATTTATCGTTTGAGCTGCACTTGCCTGTTGTGTTCTGTGCCGGTTCTTCCAACACTTGTTTCAGCCTGAAACTCTTATCGGGTACGGTGAGACATTTATGACTGTCGTAGGAATTAACTAAATACTTGAATGACTTTTTTTCATGTCATGCTGCACTACAAGCTTGTAAAAGTTAGCAGCTGCTGTTTTTCTTCGCACAGGACTGCTGTACTCAATAAATTAGCTGATCATGTCAACTAGTCTGTTAGCCTTCTAATACTCAAAGTAAGCTGTTAAACCTGGTAAACAGTCAATATTTCAGCAGGCTAATCCTCTAGAGATTTTAAAAGTATGTAACGTAGTCAGTAGTACTCGGTATTAGAAATTGTAATGATTGTTATCCGACAAATGTTAGTTGTTTTGGGAGGACAGAAAAAAAAAGAAGCTACCTCCCACAGAAAAAATTCCAAACTGATTTGCTCTTTGACCTCTCTGTTTTTGTTGCACCTAAAGGGATTTCCATTATGATCAATCTTTGAGCTTAAAACACAGTAAAGGCACAGCCATAAGCATGGCTTGTAACTGTGATGAAGAGATATCTTAAAAAAATGATATCTTCCTAAATTATTCATCTTAAATGTCTGGAGTTATTTAGCACATGTGGCCCATACTGCAAATTTAATTAAATCCAAATAAAGTCATTATATCTTTTCAATGCTAATTATGCCTCAGTCCAGTACTGCTCCGGGAGCCCAAAATTTCATCTTCATCTTCATGCCACAAATAAAGTCATGTTAATTCAGACAGGCAGGAGGAACCTCAACGCCACAACTGAGATTTTTGCTGATAAAAACTTTGACAGATGGAAAATGTATATCAGATTATTTAAAATATTTATAGTCTTTTATTGTGCTTCCCATGTTGCATATTTTCCAAAAATCACACTCCAAAAATGAGAACACAGATGAAGCATTACAGTTGAATTTCATTGGTATTATTATACTGTCCTCTGCAGGGACCTTTAAGCTCTCACAGTCTTGTCTTGAATGCTTTTCCTCGTCATCCTGGCCAGGGCTGGATGGTTCCAGCTGTCAGTGCTTCAGGGCCTCCGTTTGGCTCTTAGTTTGGCTGTTGGTCAGCTGTAGTAGATCTCTCCTTGCTCTTTTCCTCAGATCTCTCTAATGAACTGGATTGATTGATCATCCTGTGCGTATGTTTTATCTCCAGTTTAAAGTCCACAGTCAGAGTGGGGACACTTAAAGGGATTGAATCTGTGCTTCTTCATTTTACATTCAGACTTTCCCCAGATGGCAGGATGTTTGTGTCCTGAATAGATTCATTCATTTAGACCTCTTCTCGGGGGTTACAGGGTTTCCTGTGTTTCATCCTCATAAAGCTGTGCATCAGTCTATTACTGTTCTGTGTTATTTGCTACTAAATGCATCTAAATGATAAGACAGTTAACTTTATATTGGTCTATATCTGAGACTTGAAATTAATTCTCCATGCTTTTTTCTTTCTTTCTGTCTCGTTACTCTCTCTCTCTCTTTGCGCCAGGACTGAAAAATCGAACAAGGAGAGCCCTGGGCTTACGGAAAAAAGACAAGGATACAGACACGTAAGTGTCACACACATAACACAGTTTACATGCGAAAGTTTACAACTCTCAAAACAGTTTCATTTGTGAAATACATAAAATATACTTTGATGCTTTTTTATAACTATAATCAAACATGACTGATGTTTTTTATATCATGATTTTGAAGCCTCAAACATGAGTGAGGGAGTGAGTGTCAGCTGAGCAGCTACAGAAACAGCTCAGTTTTAACAATTACCACATAGATATTCACAATTTGTTTATATTTGACTGTCAAAAGTCAGCAGGATGAGATTTTTTGTCACCACTTAAGAATGTAGAGGACAGGAGAGGATCAAATTGTTGTATTTATCATTAATTATCAAATAAAGTCAAGTGCTAAAGTTGAAATTAAATCTTTTGTAAGATATTTAATTCTGTAAACTATATTTATAAGGCTGATTTTTACTAGCTGTAAAAGGGAAATAGTAAAAAATGTTATCATACCACATGGGGATACATTTGTCAGTCAGATTAACAAAAACACATTATTCTGGGATTTGAACCAAACCTCAGCTGTTGCACAGACACTATGATTTTATCATTTCATCATTTCAGATGGGACACAGCCGTATGTTGGAGATTTATTGATCAAATGTTTCAAATCTTTCCTTTCTCATTTCTTCAAACAGGAGTTCACCTGACAGAGAGGGAAGTGGAAGTGGGAAGAGAGGAAGTGTATGTACACGGTGTCTCTCTTTCCTTCTCAGTTATTTGAACAAAAAAGAAAAAAAATGTAATTTACAGAAGTCTTACTGAATTGTTGGCTGATTTTTTTACATCATTACTTCATTACAAGGTGCACCGGATTATAAGGCACACTGTGAATTAACGTGTCTTTGTTCACACATAAGACGCACCGGATTGTAAGGCGCATTAAGCATTGATTGGTTTATTGTTGCTAGCGCGTACTCCGGGCCCAGGCTGCCTTACATGAATACACTTCTAGTTTAGACATTACAGTTAGGCAGTCTTGTAGACTCCTCAGGGGTCCTGTGACGGGGCTGATCAGGTAGTGACACAGCGTACCATAATGCTTCGAATATCCATTGAGCGAAGCGGCTTTGTCGCTTACCAAAGTCGTACTTACACATTTTGACAGATTTTTGAGCGGATTGTACTACATAAAATCGGTCAATAAGCACAACAAGTAATCATACATAAGGCACGCTGTCAATTTAAAAAAAAATTTTTAAGTGCGCCTTAGTCCTAAAAACATGGTATAAAGAATGTCTCTGCCAGCCTGTTGAATCTCAGCTCCAACTGTTGACAAGTCCTTCCTCTGACAGGGCAAATAGCCAATCATAACTCAGAGTTTTTGGGCAGCACCTGAAGAGGCAGATCAGATTTTCAAGGGGGGCTCGTGCCACCCCTGACCACCACTGTAGTCACACTCCTGATTACAGCTCACCATCATACTGTTAAACCATGTCACAGAGCGCACTAAAGAAGACTAACATTTACCTGAACATTTTCACAACATTTACTTGCTTCAAATTTTTCTTTCCAACAAGTTAGTACAACTTGGGTCTGTAAATAACTTTGTAGCCTCCTCATTTTTGCTCATTTTTGTATTTGCTTTGCTTTTGTGTGTGTGTTTTGGGTAACTTGTTTGTAGTGAAAGTGAAAACAGCCAAATGTTAATCCAAGTAATCAATTATAATTCCCTGACATGATGACGTTCTCCTCTCATCGCCATCTTAGAAAAAGGCAAATGGAGCACCGAACGGGTTCTACGGGGAGATCGACTGGGACAGATATGTGAGTAAATTCTTACTACTCTGCAATTTACATTGAACTCTTTCTTTTGGATGTTTTATTCAGCAACTTTGCAGCTGCACTTATCCATAGTAACTCATGTCACATATCACTAGCTCTGATAGTTTTAAATTAACTTAAAAAAAAAGACTGCTTGTTCAGTGAGTCAGCAGGAGGCGTCAGCCAGGAAACTGACCGTGAGACGAGCCATCTGTGAAATCTGATCCACATTTACATGCAGAGGGAAGAAATCAGTGATGTTAGAGGAAAGTGTGATGGACTGAGAGTGACTGTCACCCTCTCCCTCTCTCCTGCAGGCATCTCCTGATGTGGATGAAGAGGGATTCAGCCTCAGGCCTGGAGACGAGGGAGATTATATCCTTTCACTGGAGGAGAGGAGAGGAAGTAGTGTTGGTAGAAGTAGCAGTCATGGGACTCTCCTACAGAAAAACTATTGACCTGTTTGGCTGAGTGACTTATTGGACGAGTGTTTCCCAGCATTAAATGGACCGAATCAATAATCCCTCTCTCTCTGTCTTCATCACATGTATGTGTCTGTGCAGTGGTAGAATAGACAGGATCTAGGGGGTGGGGGGGAGTTGAGTTTTAGAGAGAATGAGTACAATAATAAGGGCTTCCCTGAGCTGAGATAAAGTAAGTCTGATAAAGTCAGTCACAGCTGGTTCAATGCTGTAAACTTCAACATGAAAAAAACAAACAGAACAAGAAAATAATAGAGCAAAAGTACAAAACAAGAAATGAAAATTAGTTAGTTGAAAATAAAACATGCTGCGGTAAAATTCTTGCTTGAGTTAAATAATAAAAAGTTTGCCATCAAGACAAACTTAAAGGGCTCTATTTTCGTGCGCGCCGGTGAGGCGGCGGAGGGCGGCGACCCCCGCGCAGTTGTATTTTCATCTGGCGGAGCCCAGCGTAAGGCCAATTTGGTATTTTCGTGGCATGAGCCGCACGGAGGCGAGCCGAGATCCGCCAAGCTGGGCGTGGTGGTGTGGCAGGGGGAGGTGTTGACAGAATCAGCCGGCGCAGTGACATTTTCGTGCTCGCCAACGGCGTGTAAAGTGCGCTGAAAGCTCGCCGATTCAAACCTGGTCAGCTTTCAGCGCAAGGCGGAACGCAGCTGGTCTAGTAGTATTTTGGTAGACCGGCGGCGTATCGACATACGTCACTGATGCCTCACCGGCAGGTTTCCACAGTGTCAGGCACGTTTCAGTGCAATAAATAATCATCATCAACTATTAATCTGAGTCAGCACATACATTTAGATCTATATCGATATATTCTGATCTATATCTGATCTGATGAGCGCGTTTGGCACGCGTTTGGACAAACAACCTGACCGAATCAACACAGCTGAAACCGCATCAAATTAAATTAAATATCTAGTAAATAAACACACATGATGAAGTTAACAAGATATGTAATGTGTCTCCCTCCTTTTCTTTCTTCCTCTTCCTCTTATTTCTCGCACAGCTCGACCTGGACACGTCTCCGTGTCCTCTGTCCGTCTTGCTGCTGCTGCAGCTGAACAGATGATTTGTTTCAGTGCTCAGATGCGTGATCTACTTTAAGCCGACATACGGATATTATAATATTCAGTTTTGTGAGCCAAATTTATTTTGTATGCCAACATCTATGAAAGAAAGAGCCAGGCCACGGAGCGCGATGCGTCATTTACGCACAGATGGTTCCGATTTTAATGCCATTTTTTGAGTTTATGTTGTGATCTGTGCGCTCAACCCACCTTTGTCACGTGAGGTTTGAATATGAGCAACTTTATGTGAGTGTCTTTATTTGTGGAAAAGGCTGTTTGTCTTACCAGTGGGTCCAACATTACGCACACTAAATCCATCTGTGCTCATATGAGAGAGTGCGGAGGACACTTGTTGAGGAGCTGCCCTCTGTCGCCATCTTGTGGCATTACTGTCTTAAGACATCTCTTGATCTCTTTGACTACTTCATGAAAATAGTAATACGCCTCGCCTGTGGCGGATTTAAAGGCAAGGAGAGGAGCTTATGTGATTGGTGAAAACAGGTCTCGGCTTTGTTAAAATCACTACACGCCCTTTCTACGACTTATGGTGCTGGGAGGAGCTGAGTTAGGGAGGGGGGATACTTACGCCGGGCTGCGCGGCTCACCAAAATACCAAAATGTGCTTGGGAACGCCTTGTCAGCGCGGCGGATCTGACTGACGCTGCGCTTGCGGCACGTCTCCGGCGAGGCACCAAAATAGAGCCCAAAAGTCTAAAGAGCGACAGTACATGTGCAGAAAATGCAGATTATCCTCATGACAGTTTAATCTGATAGTCATGATTAATTGTCGGAAAAGTTCAAAAAGAAAATAAAAAGTTCCTCATCTGCTGCTATGAGAGACTAAAAATACATAAAAACCAAATTAAGTAAATGATCCTTTTGTTTTTCTGACGTTATGTATTCATCACCCCTGTAAAAACATTTCAACCTTTAATTTTAATTCTAATTAATTCACGAATCAATTATTTCTATCTTTTTCTCATTTTGCATCATGGCCTGTTAACCTTCAGTGCATTAAAAATATTGAAACATTAAACAGGATGAACTGTTTCTGTGCTGTTAAGACTGAGTTGAGTTCATCTGTGTTTATACTTTACCTGCTTTGTTTCTTCTGAGATAAGCCCTGAGGATTAAAACAACAGTATCTCAGTGTATGATATTTCATCATTGATTTCATCATTAATTCAGTCAAAGCTGTACAGTTTTATGAGACTAAGTTAACAAAAAAGTTAAAAATTCAAGATTTGCTTTCAAATTGTAGTTAAAGAAGAAGACACTTTATAAAGAATTAAGTGTTTCTTTGAAGGAGTAGTTCACCATTTTTGTAGTGTAAAGCACTGCCTGCAGTATTCTGTAGTGTGTAATGGAGGTTAAATGAGTTCATTTCAATAGTGATGTTATCTCTAAGTGGAGGAGACAATGTCCTTGACCTGCGTTCACCAGCCTGCAAAGGAAAGCAGTTTTTCTCCTCCAGTGACTCAGAGGACGACGAGGACGAGAGCAAGAAAAAGTTCAAAATCAAGATCAAACCGCTGGTATCGGACAGCGCCAAGTGTGTCCCTCCATCCATGGACGAGCTGAAAGCCTCAGTGGGAGGCCTGGCTCTGTCTCCGTCTCTGGTGAGCACAACTGATCTGCTCTCTTTTTCCTCTTTACATGACTGAAGGGCACAGACAACACACTCTTAAACACACACACACACACACACACACACACACACACACACATACAAATACACATGCAATAAGCCTCATTCAATGATATCTCTTAAAGAGCAGAGCTGTTGTACTGCAGAGCTGTGTGCACACAAAGAGGAAGAAAGACAAAAGAATGCTAAAACCAAAAGTTAAAAACCTAAGCCTGACACACCAGACTCAAAATCTACTCACTTCTGTGAGGAAATGTTATTTTCTGTTGACCTTGGCACCTCATGGATGAAACAGTGGGACTTTGCTCTTTGCTAATCTTGTACTGTAGATGTATAATAGTTGTCTTTGACTCAGAAACTTCAGCTTTCTTTTTTCAGCCAAACGGTTTGTTTATTATTTATGAATCTTTATTGTTGAAAGTATGAAGAAAAGCACAGCTGGTCTGTGTGCAGTTTTTGTCTTGTCTTGCAAAGAAGCGTTTAAAAGATACACAAATGTAGTCAGCCTTCTTTCCCATGGTCTCATTTGATTTTAAAGGTCATATAAAGGCATCAGTGTTAAGACCAGTCTTTTTTTATAACCACTGAAAGCTCCTTTTATGAGCTTAAAACACCATCCCGAAATGCAGAAAGTGATTAGTAAACAGGCCTGACGTATTCAAAGTGTCTGTAGTGAAGGTACAATAAATACATTATGGGAGATATGTACCCAAAACTGATGTATCAGATACTCCTAAAGTTTGCTCTAAATCAGTATATGTTGCTCAAACAGAGGAGGTGAAGCGGCATCTCTGAGCAGCAGTACTTCCATGCAGTCTCCTTTGTGTTTGACTTTTAAAACTGGGAGCAAACTCTGAGATAATTCAGAAGATAAGGAGATATTGGGTTTAGATTCTGCATTTCTTTAAACTAAACTAGAAGACTAAAGGATCACAGTCACTTCAGAAGTCAAGCTGATCTGTATGCTTATTCTATGTACTGTATAGTCATACATATAAATATCTCAATTTTTCAACTGTAATATATCAACATCAACATAACAGCTATAATTAACACCAGTGTACAGTATATAACTTTTTTTTTTTTTACATCTTTTTAACTCTTAGGTTTCTTCATGCTTTAATTTCTCTTTTGTATTTATCGCTGCTGTAAACTTTAGACTAACCCCTTGTGGGACGAATAAAGAAATCTCTTAACTTATCTCTTATGAAAGCATTTACTCCTCAAGCAATGACAAAGAAGCAATCATTTCAGATATACGTATGCTCAAGAGTGTGTACATATTTTTCCTTGACTAAAAATTTGAGAGTGTCCCCTTTAAAGCAGCAAGAAGAACTTTCTAAAGGTCTTTTCTCCCAGAAACAGAGTGAATGAGGCCCATAGATTTTAATTTATGGTAATAGTGTTAGAATCATTTCTATCTTTGTCCGTCTCACACTCTGTTTTTCTTTTTCCTGCTTGTCCTCCTTGATCTTGCAGAAGAGAAGTCCGGTAAGCCTGCTGCACACTTTCACATTTGCATCACCCCAAACCTGAGCTGCATGGCATGGATTCACTTACAAATGCTTGATTAAGTTTCCTCTATTTACCCTGATTACCTTTATAGCATCACACTATTCCCTGCATGCAGCTTTGTCCCACCCTCAGTGTTTTTGTCACTTGTAGATCTTCTCTTTTCGTTGGATTTTTTCAATCTTTACTTGTACCTGTGAAGCAAAGTGTCTGCTCTTATAATGCACAGTAAACATAACACAGAGACAGCTCTAAATCTGTTGAATTTGTCTCTGAGGAGCTGTACAACCTGCTACCTTCAGTGTGCTGCTGCTCTGTGCGTGTTGGTCGTAGATGATGCTGATCTTGTCCTCAGAATTTTTGGGGTGTTATGGCTCATGTTGCATTATTACGGCTTTGCAGTGCAAGTAAAGAAGTGCGGTGTGTGCGGTTATTATTTGGTGTCCTTTTGACTGATTTGTCACTCACTCTCTGACCCAGGTCTGTTCTCTCTTCCTTTTTGCTGGTCTCAGAGACGCAGCCCGGTGAGTCTACTGCGCCCTCTGCTGGCTGTTTGAGAGACAACAGCCTCAACATGTTTCTTATCACTGATGTCAGACCAGTTTATATAGGATGTAGGTCATACAGTTACAGGAATGAACTACAGATGAAGAAACAGCAAGATGTATGTGCATTTTGGATAAAGATTGGATTGGTTTTAATATTTTTTTATATAACTGGAGCTATATGAAACCTGTTCAGTTTTTGTGGCCTGGAAATAAACACAAATGTTCAAAAACCTAAACCTAAAAGCTTTACACCATCTGAGATGGTTTTGAAGAGCATACATCAGACAGTAGACCAAACTAATGATTTCAGGTGAACATTTGTGCGGCGTAAATGCTCACATCAAATCGTCTGTGTGCTTAATTTTGTTTTGTTTTGATTCTAATTTTCTTTACAGGGGCAGATGAAAAGAAATTTGTCCTGTAAGTACATGATTTTAACATCCTCTGGTCCTCTACTATGGCAGTGTTTTGAGCTAAATGCTATTTTTCTCACAAAGTTCTTACATGCGTATATGTAATTGCAGCTCGCTATCTGAGGCTAGCATGCTAATATTTGTTAATTAGAGTGTGAAGTAAAGCTGGGGCTGTTAGAAATGTCAGCGTTGCATGAAAACAATAGGCAAACTGCCCTGACAATGGCTTAAATCCAAAGGTCAAAGGTCAGAATAATGATTTTGAGTCATCCTGAGGTGATTGTGAATATCTTTGTTGGATTTTGGGTGATGTATTCAAAAGCTTTTGAGCTATTTTAGTCCAGACCGGCTGGCTCACCAACAATGTTATCCCTGGAACAAAACTGTCAGCAAGGCTAAAAATAAACTGTTGTGATGGAAGGTGTTCAAGCACAAGTGAAACAGAGCAACAGTTAAGACTTTTATGGTTCTCACAGGTGAGGAGATTGCCAGACCCAGACGCTCCATACCAACGCCGAGTCCTGCACCTGAGACGCTAAGGTTTGCTGACCACAGCTTCAAATTAATACTCCTTTGAATCATTCATGTTAGATCAGAACAGAAGAACATACACTTTAAGCTACTGTGAGGACCGCTGTGGACCCCTGTGGACAAAGATGGCTTTGCTAATTTTTTCCTCTACGTGCTTAAATAATGTCCTATGACATAAAAACCTAATCCTGCTGATTTATGATGGTCAGATGCATCATTAATTGTTAATATTTTAAGGGAAACCACTGTTTCCTCAGCTGACAGCAACCCCCTCGCACCATTTTCGGTCATTAAAAATGACTATATAAAAATCAGCATTCATGACGCTGATTGCCTACCATACAAAGGCGCCAATAGTGTGTTTTATAAACACTGGAGCATTAATTAATCAATGATATATATTGATAACCTATGAATAGTTTCGAAATTTTTCAAGTAAAATGTCAAACATTTCCTGTTTTGGCATTTTTTAAAATAGTATTTGGGACTTTTCTTTAAGGAATAGTGGGTCAGTTTTGGACCGTTGTTCGTCAAATAATAATGTGTAGATGCCACATTTGGCTCTGGTAACGGTGAGCTGTGTTTATCTGAACCGTTTGCCTTTTTTTGGGACAAACAATCAACTGATAAACTGATTGAAAAGAAGTGATTTCTTGTTTAAATACATACTCCTGTTGCTTTAAGTACTGATGCATTGCAGCACTAAAGCAGGAAGTTTGGTTATTAAAATACTTTGATTTGATGAATGTGTCTCCTTTTTCAGTGACCGACTATCACAGAACGCCCCTGCCTTTTTTGGGCTGCCTTCAGAGACCAAATATGCCAGATATGATGGTTTGTCCTCTTTTGATAGTCCATCATGAAGCAAGCTTAAATATTTGACATCACCTGCTTAATGTCATTGAGGTAACATGTTATCTCTGTGTGGTTGTCCAATCACAGTGGTCCCTACAGATGTCTGGGCAGACTCGAGACATCATTCAGAATCTCCGCTGAGCAGAAGTTTCCCAACAGGAGGTGATCTGCCATAAAAACAATTAAACATTTGTTTCCCTCATATTAAGAGAAACAAATGAAGGATTTGAATTTTCTTTGTGCTAAACTGACTTAAATGTGCTCCATGTTGCAGCTCCTCCTCCTCTTCCTCCTAAAAACATTCCTTCTAGAAGTCATTACGGCTGTCCGTCAGACTTTGTTGGTAAGTTTGGTTGAAAATCAAATATTATGTATCTGGAGCAGATCTCAGAACTTGATTTAAATCCTAAAAACTCAAATTTTCTTCAGCCGATCTACCCAATGGAAGAGCAGCTCGTAGCTCCGCCCCCATCTACCTGAACGTCCTGTCACCTGCCTCGTACAGAGGCTCCCCAGCCCCTGACCTGGATGATGTTTTTGGCCCCTCGGACAGCCCCCGCACCACTGAGGAAACTGTGTCTCCCCGATGGGTCACTTTTCATGATGACAGACCTCCCCCACCTGACGAAATCCCTCCCCCTCCTCCACCAGACTCCCCCGCCCCTGACACACCCTCCTCCACCCCCTCCACTCCCTGCCTCTCCCCAGGACCGCCTCCAAATGAGCCCCCGCCTTCACCTCCGTCCTTCTCCCCTGGGTCTCCTCCTCCTTTCTCACCACCGGACTCTCCCCCCTCAATCGTGCTCGGACCTCCACCTCCCGATGAACCCCCTCCCCTGCCTCCTGACTTTTCCCCCTCCAACTCACCTCCACTGTGCCTGGATGAGGACGCCATTGATGAGGAGGTGCTGCAGTTTGCTGAGTACTCATCGTCTCCTGCCCCCATCAGCCCTGTGCCCCCTCTGCCAATGGAGAGGAGGTCACCTCGAGTCGGGGGGACATCCCCCCTGGTCCTTGGGGGAAAAAGGACTCCTGAGGGGACATACCTGAGAGACGATATCCCGGACTTTATGGGTTCACCTAGAGAGCTGACGCCCAGCTTTAGAGGCACGCCGCCTCCTCTTCCTCCAACCACCTACAGGTCCATCATGTCTTCCCCTGGGCCGGGCTCGGGCAGCAGTGAGTACTCTGAGATCTTCATCATTTCTCTTTTGCACAAAGTTGTATTGCTGGTTTATGTTTAATGGCAACAGTGTTCTTCAGCTTGATTTGTAGAAAAGTGTTCGTTTTACACTTAGTTCTACCGTGAAAAAATCACACAGAGATGCTTGTTACGCAGATCTGCTTTTACCTCATAAATAGAACATAACTATCCGACTCGTGGGCCGTTAATAAACATGTAATCAGCATTTCCATCTCCCACAGTTGTACAAATTTGAAGCTAAAATACACCCATGAATCATGATGAGGGTTTATATGTTGCACTAATGAGGTCAGTTGGAGCAAGGATCTCTGTTGTAAAGATCAGCTCCCAGAGCCTCTTCAAAGCAAAACACACATTAAACCAGTGGTTCTCAATCCAGTCCTCTAGCCCCCCCTGTCCTGCATGTTTGGATGTTTCCCTGCTCCAACACACCTGATTCAAATGATCACCTCGTTATTAAGCCATTACAGAGCTTGATAACGAGGTGATCATTTGAATCAGGTGTGTTGGAGCAGAGAAACATCCAAAACATGCAGGACAGGGGGGGCTCGAGGACTGGATTGAGAACCACTGCGTTAAACACAGTCAAGAAATCAGTATGTAGAGAAAAATACACAATGACAACATTTTAAAAAGGCACCAAGTATTCTAAAGTGTTGTAGTGTGACCTGTGTCCCATCTGGTAACAATGTGGAGGTAACAAGACTGATACAGAGACAGAGTGACCCTTTTATATCAGATATTAGCGTAATTTAGCATAAAAGAATTTAATACAGTATCCAGAAATAATGGTTGATGAAAATTGTTGTTATTGTTTATTGTAAAATGAAAAGTTTTGATGATTTAACTCGTTGTTTTATTATGTCAGTAAGTTCTTTGTAAAAATCTACAAGAGCATTGTATATCACCAGTTAATGAAGTGATGCAAAGCAGTTTATCACATTACCAAACAATGTTTCCAGTTTAAAGTCATTATGATAATGTCATTATTACTAAGAGAGTCAGAGCTGTACAGTCAAAGGAACATATTCACCCACAACAGTGCCATTTAATGAAGAATGTAATTTTAACCTAAGCAAGCAATTTAGTTCGTTTAAAAAAATGAATCAATAAATATAAATACAGATAAAAGCTTTATTTTTTAATATCAAATTTAATAAGGTGCACCTGTGAAAATGATGAATAAGAAGTAAACAAAAGCTGTTTGTTAAATAAAAATAGGCCTTCAAGGCATATTCACAGATAGTATAAACTTGCTTTCAATCCTTTGGTTGTGACGAGTCTAACTACTGTTTGATTCATTAAACAGTCTGCAATGAAGGATGAGAAAGCTGTCAGTAAAATGTCTGAGTAACATTGTCATTTTGCGGATCACTGAGTATCCTTACAGAATTTGTTTACCCTGGATACACACTTTTTGATAAAAATAGTCCCCGTTAGATATCTGAGCCCTCCCCAATTCAGTGACCATGAGCGTGTTTTGTATTCTTCATTTACCAAGCGGATCTCCTTGTAAGATTTTATACTATTACTTGTACCCTTTCGTAGCCTTTGTGAACTTATCTACTGGACCAGGGTCTCCAGTGTGGATCTGGTGGTAGAGCAGCCATCCCATGCACAAAGACTAGAGTCCTTGTGGAGCTGATTGTTGTATTGATTCCCTGTCCCTGTCAACTCTCCCTCTCCTGTCCCCTCTTTCTCAATTTGTCTTTTCAAAATAAAGGCAAAAAATGCAGCTCTCTAGGTCAGGTGTTGGCACTCCTCCCTCTGTGTACATGACGTGACAAAATGCTGATCTCTTCCTTATATATGACACAGGCCCCTCATCTCCAGCTCGTCCAACCACTCCTCAGTCTCGGGGCAGTCCAGTCCCTCCTCCCCCTCCTCCACGACCGTCTTCTCGACCAAAGCTGCCACCGGGGAAACCAATCACAGACCTGGTACATGTGAAGAGTCAATAATCTGACCTTTGCTGATTCCTCTTCTGCTGGTGTACTTGACTAGAATAGATCAAACTTGTTCAGTTGTGTGTTGTTATCCTCTGTCCACAGACTCGGCCCTACAGTCCGCCGATCTCAGGCAGCCCTCCACCTTTTGCCCCCCTTGCCCGGGCAGAGAGCTCCTCCTCCATCTCATCCATCACAATGCAGAGTGCGGCATCCACTCCAACCTTAGGGAAGGAGCTTATCACGCCCACCACAGGTATGAAACCATCTACCCTCCTCGTTCTCCTTCCTGTCAGTGTGAGTCCATGTTGTGTGTTGCTCCTCATCGTGTCGTTGCCTCACAGTTTTGTCCCTCTCCATGATTCTCTCCTCCCCATGTCTCTGCTCACTCAGAGGCCACACTGCCTCTGGTTTGGTTTGACCACGGCAGGTTTTATTTAGCTTTTGAAGGTGAGTAGAGCCAGACTGCTCCTGTAGACCCACCAGTGCATGGACCCAAAGCACTAACCCTCCTTTTTCCTGCAGCCCTGACAACACTTAAACTCACCTAACCAAAAAAGGTTTCCTATCCCATCTTGTGTCCTGTTACTCCACTTGTAATCTGGTGTGTGTATTATTATTTTTTATGTTGTGTGGTTGCTTTTGTTGTTCTTAGTACCCTATCCTCTGCAAAAACCCATAGATGAACTTTTGAGCACATAAGGAGTGACCAGAGAAAAGAGTTTTAGTTTAGATTTTAAACGTTTGTATGTCTTTTCTAAAGGATGCTCCAGAGGACCTAGTCCGCTCACTATGGGACCTCAGGACACTCTGCCAGTGGCTGCAGCCTTCACAGAAACCATTAATGCCTACTTCAAAGGCGCAGACCCCAGCAAGTAAGTCCACATTTCTGTCTTTGTCTTTTTAGGTCTCAAATTAAACATGTATGCAGTTAGTTACTATAACTAAATAAAAAAATAGCTACCGAGATTAACTTCTTGCCAAAAAGCACAGAGAGTTTGTCTCACCCTGAACAGACTCTAAATTAAGGCCAATTAAAGCACCCTTTTTACATTTTCCAGGATGATAAAAGTTCAGTCTTTTTGATCTTTTTAATGATAAGAAGAAAGAAACATTCTCTTTCTTAAAACAAAGGACAGAAAAAACACTTACAGTTTGCTGCAATTATATGACAGGGTTTTAGACTTTTGGCGACTAGACTGACAGAACATCAGAAAGTTGATATTTCTGTTTTGTAAGTGCTAAAAATGCATCTTTATCTTCAAACACAAACTTTGAGATCTGTCTCTGCTCTGCGTCCACACCAGGTGTGTTGTGAAGATCACTGGGGAGATGGTACTGTCTTTTCCCGCTGGTATAACCCGACATTTTGCCAGCCACCCAACTCAACCCATCCTAACCTTCAGCATCAGCAACTACAACCGACTGGAGCAGGTCCTCCCTAACCCACAGCTGCTGTGCTGGTAAGAATAACACCAACGCCACAGGAAGACACACAAATAAGGTTATCTCTTCGTTTTATTACAGATGGATGATATGTGTCTGGAATTTTGGGGCACTGTAAACCTGAACAAGTTCAGAAAACTCAAAAATGTTGTCATAACAGATTACATAAGAACTTTTAAGTTATGCTGATAAAATTTTTGAGTTACACTGTACTTAAAAAAATATGTGTTCAGTTGACTTAATCCTTATTCTAAGTTCAATCTATTTTTTTTTAATTCCCTTAACGTAATATTTTTGTCTTCTTCATACTTAATTGGTTTGATTAAATAAACTAAATTACATAGACTTGAAAAATTCATTGTACACAAAGTATTACACCTTAATGAACTCAAAATATTTACCACTTGCCAACTTAAAATGTACAAGACACCCTGTTTTCAGTTTGTAATGCTCAATGTGGCATATTTGAATTGTATTGTACTCTGGGCATCTGGATGTGTACATTGTATTGTGAGTTGGTAATACGTACTTCCTCTCACTCCTCAGTGATTCCACAGTAGACGGTGCAGACACAAAGGAGTTCTGGGTAAATATGCCAAACCTGATGAGCCATTTAAAAAAAGTGGCTGAACAGAAGCCTCAGGCGACGTACTACAACGTGGACATGATCAAATATCAGGTATCAAACATCAGCACCGCTCTGTATCTGTTTGTGTTTCGCTACAGCATTAGCATATAATCTCACTGCCTTGTGTTTCTCTCTCTCTCAGGTGTCAGCAGAGGGGATCCAGTCCACTCCTCTGAACCTGGCGCTGAGCTGGCGAAGTGATGCCAACAACACAGATCTTAGAATAGACTACAAATACAACACAGAGGCCATGGCTGCCCCTGTGCCACTTCATGACATCCACTTTGTGGTTCCTGTGGATGGAGGCATGGCCACAGTCCAGACCATGATACCCCCTGCCAACTGGTAAGGATGCATTAAAGGTCCACATTTCAAAGGTGATCTAGGAAGATTTATTCATAGGAGGTTTTTCTACATTAGAGTATGACCTGCTGGTCTAATTTAGGACCTTTACCTGAAATTGTTCTCTCTCATTCAGGAACCAAGAGCAGCAGACGATTCAGTGGAAAATCCCCAGTCTGTCTCATAGATCTGAAAATGGAGGTAGGTGCTAATTTTGTCGTGTTCTTGCATAATCTGACTGTTAACCCTAAAAATGTTCAATGACTTTATTAAACCAATCAAAAACTGAAAACTTCACCACAAGCAAAATTTAAATCAGGAATTGTAGGATTTGTCTATGGACAACAAAAGACTCTTACTCTGTCCTGTACTTTCCTACATTTGTTGAACTCATGTGTCAGGATAGAGTGTATGTTTATTCAGAAAAATGTGCTGAATTTTCATGCCAGTTTTTGAACGTTTTGTCCAAGACATAATTTTAATTTCTTCTTCATCAATCGTTATTGACAAACAAAACCTTCTAGCAGTGGGTGTGCTAATTCTAGCACACTGTAGCATTTTAAGAAATGATTGGGTGATGCTTGATAGTTTCCCAGATGACATAAATATCAGTCGAGGCATGAGTAAACTCTATTCTTCTGTCCAGTGCTGTTGTGTGTGAAAGATAGAGACGCCAAGACCCGCCTTACGTTGTTTTGATATTGCGTGGTGCCTTCGGTGGTTGGTTAGATTTATGCACCAGGGACTGATGGACTGGTCTAGGATTGGTTATCTTGATAAATACAGAGTACTGAATGGAGAAATATAAGTGTGAGAAATGTCAAGTGTGGCGTGTGGTGTGAGAATGGGTCAAATTGCATGACTGTCACACTCAAAGCGTGACACTTGGCAGCTCTGTAACAGGCCTCAGAAACTGAATTAGTATGATAGTTTGCACATTTTCTTGCAGTTTGATAAAAGCTTCAAACCTTATCTGTGTCCCTAAGGAGTCGGGGCTCTTCTGGGCCGGTTTCAGATGACCGAAGGTTTGTGTAGACCCTCTCAACTCTCAGTCCAGTTCACCAGTGAGGGCAGCACTTTGTCAGGGTGCGACATCCAGCTGGTTGGGACGGGCTACCGACTGTCGCTGATCAAGAAGAGATTTGCTGCAGGTGAGTTTAAGCATCAGAAAGTACCTCTCAGGTTTATCTTGGAAAAAAAAGAAGCATTAATATCTAACTGGAAATGTCTTTCTTAAATGTTGTGTTTTGCTTCACAGGGAAATATTTGGCAGATAATTAGTGGACCTGTTTGTGAATGGAACCGAACAAATCAATGGCTCGTGACTGTGAAGACTGCGGATCCATCCCATGTTTAGTGCATTTGAAACATTATCTTTAGCAGCCACTGATTGAGATTTATCAGAACGACAGAAAACACACACTCACAGATGATATCACATTCAGTAGAACAACTGCTGCTGAGTTTATGCAAGTAAAAACAAAGCATTACTTTGTGCACTTGGAACACTTAATGGGCTTACATTCAGTCAAATATAAGGAAACTCTGAATCTTTGTTCTTGTTGATATATTTGTGGATTCATTCAGTGATCCAGCCTTATTCATCGCAATTTCTTTTGTCTTACCTGTTGTCATTGCAAATGCACTGTATAAAAGAAAATGTGAATAGATTATGTAATAACAAAATAATCACAAACAAGGTGGAAAAGACTGGAAAATATGAAAATTGTAGTGTAGAGTTACTTTGCAGCTTTATTCTAATAGGTTTTAGGTTATATGGTAATATTTGATTAATACTGCCACATTAAATCTGATTTGTTTTTCTCCATAATGTGAGACCAATTTTAACTTTCTGAATAGAAACTGTGTCGTAGTGTCAACAGCTATTAAAACATCACAGCCCATTTCATCAGTCTTCTGCTTAAAGGTGACCGGTCTGTCTTCTGTTCAAATGATCTGCAGCACTGGAATAACATCAGCTCTCTCAATCTGAAGGTGCTTTAAGTTGTTATTGAGTCTGAACCCTGATTGAGTTTGGAGCACGGTGGAACATTTTCAGAGTACTATAGTTATATTTTGTAGATAAATTATGGTCGCACAAAGAAATCGAGCTTTTATTTCCCACACTAACATATTTGAATTTAAGTTTCAAGTCAAGACAGTTTTCTCTTTTTTTAAAAACATTGACATTTTTCATTAAAATAGTCATCTTAACATTACCTGTAGTAGCGATTGGCAGCTATTATAATCAAAAACATTTCAATGATAAGTCCCTTAAACATTCAAGCTAACAATGATCTGATAGAGACTAAAAACATAACTTAGAGTAAAGTAAATATTGGGGTGAAAAATGGCTTTTATTTATGAGTGCCTGTGGTGTGCCAGTTTCTGAAGCTACCTGCTGAGCCGATGTTTTTAAGCTATGCTAATACTAGCAAGCATGCTGATAAATGAGTGAATAGATGTATTCAAGTGAAGTTAGTGTCAGCTCTCATAAATTTATCAACAAAATATCATCTTTGTACTCTTTTGGTGCTCAAATTTTCCCATCATGCAATCAGGATTGAAGCATATATGATGCCAGACTTTTACACAGGCATTTACGTTGCTTTGATAGCATTTAGCTGTTAGCGGGCGGTGTGGACAGAGGTTTAAAACTGAATTTGACCTGTTGATTAGCAAAATCATAACATTATTACTATGGGCACATGCAAAGCTAACACATGTATTTTCTAACATCACAACTATGTCTGTGGTGCTGTGGGAAAGGTCCATTTTAAAGAAGTACACCTATGTGACCAACAGAAGCTGCTAACTTAAGTAGAACCATTAACTTAGCCTGTAAATATTACAGAAATGAAGTTTAAAGGGCCTTAAGGTGTGAGAGGTATACAGATCCAGGTGTGAGTGCCATACGGTGGTGAAAAGGAGCTTTAAGTTTCAGGAGATGTGTAGACAGGACCTGGGCTGAAGGATTGTTGGGGTTGTCTTTGATGCTGCTTAAACTTGGCCAACTCCTTCAATGATGATCTCTGACAGAGGTGACTACTGGGGACATCACAGAGTTATTAATAGAAATGTCTATCGAAAATTAGCACTATCCCGTCCCTATTTTATTTTTTCCTTTTTCACCGTGTTGAATAAATGTTTTATCATTTTCTAATAGCAATATTTAAAAACTACAGTGTAAAAAGTGTACATAAAAAAGATATGTTTCAACTATTTCTCTGGGCATCTGGATGTGTCTGTGATTGTCTCTTGGTTTATTGATGTCAGCACTCATAATGCATTAGTAATAACACCACCACTCTTCATCTATGGTTTAACATGTGGGTTTCTTGTAAAAACAGAAAAAAAAAGTGTTACTGTTGATTAAAAACTCCAAACGGTGCCGCATGAAATCTGCATTTGTCCATCACAGGTCTTATCAATGCAATATCAATTTACTCATTTCAATAAGGTCATGATCCGTGTGTTATTGTAACATTGTGATATGAGAGGAGACCTTTTGCCTTCACTTAAACCTCCCCTCTCTGTTTTGCTGTTGTTGCACCTTCAGAAACCCATCATCAATACATTTGGCATGTATGCATTGATATTCCCATACCATGCAACTGATATAGGTGTTTGACATTCTCCTGTGTTTGACTTGCACTCAAAACACATCTTAAATCGTATCAATAAAATGACTCATGGCTGCACACACCTTGGACATCACATTTCATCAAATGTTTTCATGTGTTGACTCACAGTTTTGGCCTGGGTGTAACATTTCATTTAGTTTCTTGCAAAGTAAATGAGACCATTTTTTAATTATAAAGAACAAAGTTTCTGTTTCAAATGCTTATCTTTTTCTTTGCCTTATTTTTGAGCAAACACAAAGTCCTCCTAATGGAGGGTTTCTGTACTTTTATTTTTCTGTGAGTTTATTTTTTCTACTATGTTTTGGCTGTTTATTCTTTCACTGCGTTAGACAGAATATGCAAACATTTCATGTAAATTTCCCATCCAAAGATTTTCAAAGTAAATATATGAAAAAATCAATATAATGTAATACCTGTTTTACTTGGTAATAAAGAAGAGGAAATATAAGACTTTCTCTATCTCATGTGTTCAGTTATCTTTTTATCTCTATAAGTGATATGACATGTTTGAAAAAGAAACCACTGAATTGATTTTCAAATTACATTTTATCCGGTATAATTTATTCCTAAATGTATTCCTTTTTTCTCCACAAAATAATAAAAACTTTAAACCAGGATTATAAAAGACAGGGTTAAGCTGAGAGAGTATCAGGCAAGTTAGGCAAAAAAACACTGTCACCAGATTTTTTCCAATCTGTTTATTTTCAGACTAGAAGTTACAATAAGTACAGACCTTGGAAAAGGTAAAACTGACATGATACAGTGTTTTTAAAGCACAGAACAACAGCATCCATTACATTCGAGCAACGCCTGTGTTGATTCTGATTCTGATGAATTTTATGAGCAATGAACATTGGATAAAAAAAAAATGGCTAGGGGCATAGCAATCTTTAAACATAAACTTATTTAAGTTCAAGATTGATGACTAGATATAGTGAGGGCCATCACTGACACAATATGAATGAATAGATTTAGATCAGAAAATACAGTTTTGCTGATAATATGACATACTTTAAAAATAAATCTTAGGCTTTATCACAAGTTTTGTACTAAGATAAATTACAACTGCTCTCAGTGATCTGAAAGGGTATCTCTGGGTATCTGACAACTTACACAATTTACAGTGCATAGGGACTCCTCCAGTGAACCTCTAGAAATTTTTCAGGGCTTAATTTTTTTTTTCCATCAAAATTTATTCTAAAGATAATCAATTTTAAAATGTCAGATTTTCCCTGTTGAAAATGTTTACACAATACATAATACCAGGCTCCAATAACTACTACTGCTGCTTTATTAAAATAACTACTTCTCTGAAAAAATAATGATAATGAAATGAACATGATTTCAGCAAAGGGCAAAACTTAAACCAAAGACAACATAATGGGGGAAATGACTGGAGGTAGTGTAATTGATAAACCTGATCAGGCCTTTAAGGTCATGATATTTGATATTACATAAATATTCTTGTCATGTGCTCCATTTAATGTTCATTTTTATTCTGATTGATTTTTTGCCCTTTGCGAGGCAATTCGATCATTGTATTAAAAAGTTATTACCAGATGTGTTCACTCCGTTTATTTATGCTCAATTTTCCAGCGTTATATATTAATTTTCTCACAGGTATTATGCTATATTTTTTTCTATATGCATATGCTTAATTTTTTTTTTCTTTGTTTCTCTGTTTTTGTTTTAAATAAAGATACTAAAATAAAGCGAGCCAGACACCCTCATACATGTGCTCTAGTTCAGGCGACCGATGGTTGCCATGACAACGCCAAGCTCTACTGCTCTGACGACTTCGTCCTGCTCCGAAGAGGTGCTCCGGTCAGGTCGGTAAAAAGTTGACAACTTCACCTCTGTAATGTGTATATAATCTATATGACATAACATAGAACCAAAAAATTCACAAATATATACTGTGTTTGAACGCTACATTAATAGAAACAATATTGAAACATGTCAGTGGGTTTACCAGCTCATAACAGCCGCTAACAGCTAACAAGTTAGCTTTTTTGTGTACCTACCCAAAGGAGCCTGCATATGTAACAGTAGAGATGAAGTTGTTTAAACCTTAGCCCCATGTTTTTGCCACTTTACTTTGATAAACTCTGCTCTGAAGAATTGCCAGCATGTTTTTTTGTCATTACATGTGTATTGAACGTTCATCATTATATTTAGATAACTTTACTCTGAAGATCTGAAAAGTGGTAACCAACAGGATGTCTGATGTGGCAAAAGACAAATCCCAAAAAAGAGAGAAGAGGACAGGAAAGGTGTCTTCAGAGGGAAGCCATGGAGTCAAAGGCAATACAAGAACTAAGGAGTGAGTGTACAGATAATATGAGTTCATGTTTACCTGTAGTTATATCATTATAAGTTGTCCTCATCACCTCTTGGGTGTTGATTAAGAGCGATATTCAAACAACATTCAGAATAAAGTATGTTTCCTATCAGCTCTTCTTATTTTCTTTTTGTTTTGACTTGTATAAAATCAGCATCAGTGTCTCCTTATCATGTGTTTCAGTTCTATCAGCACGGTGTCATGCCTAACTGAGTTAGGGCACCATGATGAAAACATTCGAATGACTGTTACAATGGAGAATACCTACCAGATGGGTGAGATAACAGCCGCCTGATGCACAACAGCTTCATCACCAACTAAAGACACACTCATGCTTTGATCTTAAATGTTTTGATATTTATTTATTTATTTTATTTTATTTAAGTTTTCTCATTTTCATTTGATTGACTTGTGCATCCAGGTGAAAATGTGTCTTGTTTATTATTAAAACAAGAAGTGTCATGAGAAGATGCATTTATTTGCTGTGGTATTTTTGCTGCTTTTTTTCTTGCAGGACCTCACAAACGCTTCCCTGTCCCTGCTGTCACTGACATTCTGAAGGATGTACTCGTCAGTTATCTCCAAGAGGAGAAATATGAAGTAGAGTGGTCTCAGAAAATGACAAAAACAATATGTGAGGTGAGTAAGATTGAAAAACAAAGACATGCAGCTACTGTTGAATACCTTGTAAGTTTTGATCTTTTTTAAGTCATCCTACCCTTCTTAGGTGATAAGAGCCCGAGTCAAGGACCTGATGATTCCCAGATATAAGACTGTGGTCCTGGTCCACATTGGCCAGCTGAATGGGCAGAGCATGCAGATGAGCAGTCGCTGTCTCTGGGATGCTTCCAATGACACGTTTGCCTCTTACTCCTTCAAGAACAGCTCTCTGTTTGGTGTGGCAACTGTCTACGCTGTTTACTATGAGTGACTCAAGCGGACAGACTCATTTTAGTCACAGTTAGAAAAGAACAGCTGCTGTTCAAGAGTTATTATTTTTTTTCTGTTGTGTATTTTGCCTTGTAAAAAAATTATAAACAGGAATCAGCGAGTAAATTTCAGGGAGTTTTATTTCTGCGAACATTGAAAACAGAATTAAATTATGATTACAGTGTTATCTTTTTAACTGATTAATGAAAATAGTGATTGACATTGGGTCTCCTGGGGTGCTTCTCTCTAGCAGAGCGTGGAGAGGTCACTCTTCCGACAGCCCAAATGACAGCACACTGATATTAGCGCTTGGTTTTGGTCTCGCTGATAACGGTCCATCATGAGTCCCAATGTTGCCTTCAGTTTTGGCTCTCTGCTACCTGCCAAGAAATGCTTTATTTTACCTCATATTACAGTTTTATTTTTAGATCATTTCTTAGATTTTAACTTAAAAGCCTCTTAAACTATTTGACTTATACTTACTGGTGTTTGAAGCCTCCTCATCTCCCGTCAGTCTTTTCCACCTGGATCCTCCGCAGGTATACACCACTGCCCGTAAAAATGCACGTCCACACAGCCTGAGTGCGTTTGTGTTATCCGGCAGCTGAGCCTTTGCTACACACAACATGCACAGCAGCAGAGCAGGCAGAAGTAGGGACTTCATGTTGTTCATTCTCAGGTAACACCTGTTCTGATCTCCCCTATTTAATGGAGACTCCCATGTGATGTCATAAACTTTCCCAAGTCACCCCCAGGTGTGTAAACAGTGTGTGCTTTTAACAGCGGATATCAATCAAGCCATTTAGGATGTGTGTGGGAATCTAGGCCATTGCCAGGATCACTGATTGAGCACATTTCAGTCAATGTCACTGGGGAGAAATGGCTTTTAATGTCCAAACTGCGGGGTTTTTTTATTGCCAGGGATTAAGCAAAGTGTTTCTTAATGGGTCTCTTGAGATATCAGTTGTACAACAAACTTGGATGATGGGTCTCTACATAGCAACATGGCGTGGGATCTCATCCTGCTATCACAAACATCAATCAGTGATTCTCAGAAAGGAAAGTCACATTAACCGGTACACTTGTTTTCAAACTGCGCCATAATACCAGGAAAGCTGTGGTTAGAAAAAACATCCTGTTAAATAGAGCTGAGAATAACCAAAATCAAACCTTTATAACAAGAGTGCTCGCCATTTTACACTATGTAGTTCTTTTTTGAACAATAAAGATAATTATAAGTGTAAAAGCTAACAAAAATAAAAACAGTTGGTTGACAATTTTTCTTAAAATCAATATACAAACCTAAAACCTCTTTGAATTGAGGCAGGTTAAAACTGTTAATGTAAACAGCTGATTTTATCACAACAGATTAATCTATTCCTTACATGGCTATTTGTTAACAGATCATAGATCCAAGCTAATTGTTCTCTGGCATTATCTGCACCAAATGTCACAGACCTTTCACACCAACTGTGCTTTCAACATCATGCAAACTTTTTTAATATCCTTAATCCTTATACATGGATTTTCTTAAGCTGTGTGTAATGTGCCAAGTTTAGTTGAAAAGCTTCATGTGTCAGATGATGGATAAATCTGGAATCAAAGCAGCAATCAGCTTTGCCTTCATAATCAGCATTACCGCCTGAACATGTGAAATAAGTGTTTTTTTGTCTTATACTGCTGCTGTATGCTGTGAAAAAATGGCGTGCAGGAACATTTCGTGGAACTGGAGTATTGTGTATCCATTATTTTACCTTCAATTGTACCTTCTGTTGAGGAGGTCCAAGGACCACCTCAACAGTGGGTAGAAATAGAAGGGTCATTCCATGAAATCGGTGCCTTTCAGCTTAGAAATTTTAAAATTTAAACTATATTTAATTGTTAATTTTTATGTACCCAGGAATCAAAGAATGTTTAAAATGGCAGGAAATTATATTGTGCCTTCTCAGGCGGTGTTATTTCATGTTTTATAACCGTTTTTCTCCTGGCTGTTTTCATAAGCTTGTCAACCCCGTTACCGACATAAACTTCACAAAATTTCTAATTTTTCTAATATTTCAGATTAGAAATATGCAATATGGTACATACTGTATATTAGCAGTACTTTAGTCTCTCTTTCCATTGAGATTATTTTATTTTGTGGATTTTTTTCTCCAATCAGATATTTGTCATTCAGATGATCAAATATACCCAAATTTTTCATGGCGATCACGTCTCAACATATATCAGATATTTAGAAGAGAAATGCTGAAAAATGGCCCAATCTAAAATGTAATGTAATTTAAATTATAATGGTAAGTGTAGAAAGCCCGTTTGAGTTGTCATTTTTTACATTTTTATCAAATTAATGTCAACAACAGGGTTGACGTTATGGTAACAGTGCTGACTAGAGTAAAAGTAACTGGACACAAAGTAACTGGCTCTCCACCTGCGTATCAAAAAATCAATCAATCAAGCAAAAACTATTAATTAGCTTGATAATGTTCATTTGATGACCTAAAAATGTATTAATTTTAAAAGGTTAACCTTTAAAGCGAGTACAAAGAGGGTAAACACTATTCTATGTCATCCCTGTTACTCACATGTAAAATCCTGTTACTCTGGAAAGGTAACGGGGTTGACAGTAACAGGGTTGACTATTTTAAGCTAATCTGCCTGTGGCTATGTTAAATAAGTGCTAGCTAAAGTGCAAGTTAGGTACCTTGAAAGGTAATTACTTGTAGATATTGATTACATTTTGAGAAATAGAAAATTGTTTAGGTTTATGTGTTAAAAAGTGGTAACAGTGTTGACAGTAACAGGGTTGACCATTTTAAGCTAATCTGCCTGTGGCTAGCTTAAATAAGTGCTAACTAAAGTGCAAGATAGTTACTTTGAAAGGTAAATGCTTGTAGATATTGATTATATTTTGAGAAATAGAAAATTGTCTAGGTTTATATGTTAAAAAGTGGTAACTGGGTTGACGTTGTATGTTTGTCCCCCCTGGTTAAACCTTGAAAAAACTTCAAAAAAAGGACATCAGAGATGCGATAAACTTAAGTGTCACTGAGCTGTTAGCATCCTGGCTCCTGTCAAATCTTTGTATTTTTTTTTCATGTCAAATCTGGAATGTACAGTTATTTTAAGGGTTTTTTAGTTAGGGTAACAGGGTTGACATGAAATCAGTGTGGGATGCCATGTTAACTACAAAAATGTTAAAAGTCTGTAAAAGGTGGTGGTTACTCAAATATGGTTACAGAGGACTCGTTCTGAGTCAATAAAAACTTATTTTTTTCAGGCAGTTGTTCAATAATTAAAGTCAACATGAATATTAAATCCAATTTCTACCATGTCTTTTCTGTTTAAACTTGAAACTGCACCTTGAAATATTATGTACGTCGGTTAAATATGAAAATAAACACAAAGCCCATTAAGTGACTTGATTTTTCAAATACTATACCACCAATAGCATCTTACAGTGGAGTCATATCACAGTAATATGAACGCAGTGAAGCACTCGCTCTGCTCCAGTCTGCTCTAATACTGCAGGTGGGCGGGGCGCTACATCCGGGTACTCCCGCTGACCCGTGACGTGACCCTGCAGGATCGCAAACATGGCGGAGGTAAGAAAGTGAAATAAAAATAAGGAAAATATTAATTTGTGCTGCTAGCTGGTTATTTCACTCGAATGTGTGCATATTTAGTGTGTTGTAGCTTTAAAACACGGAATCGGGAATTGGCGATTCGGGTTGTTTGATATGTGTCATTTGTTGACAGGGGTTGTTTAGTAAACTTCGGATTTAGCTAACGCTAGCATGGTTAGCTCTGACGGAAGGTAGCTGCAGCGTTAACCATGTTACTTCGCGGTATTGTTTAACAACACCTAACTATGCAAAGTAGCCTTGTAAGTTCAGTTTATGGTGGTATTTTCTTTGCTAGAGACATTATCTTTTTGTATTTTGGTCATTTTTCGCCGGCTGCTGATCTCAAGCTTAACTTAGACGCGTTAGCTAAATATTAAAAGGAGAATTAGCTCGTAGTTTGTCATTTAAGTTAGCCAGGTGAGCGGATAAGCCCAGGAGGACCTCACCTATCGTCGTGTACTATGTTTGAGGGCACACATTTGCACACAGAGTTTTCTATCATCTTGAAATGCTGCCTTCATGTTTTCCAGGACGTGGTGTCAGTCTTCTTTGTTTCTGTTTCACTGATCTGGAGTCAGCTCTCACAGTCCGCCGCGCTTTTTTCCCCCACACACATGAAACATTTTTGCTCCCTCGCCCGCCTCTTTAATTCTGTTTTAGCAAGTTTTCTATCACTGCCAACACTCTCTTGTTGTCCATATGATAAGACATTTCTCACTGAAGCTGTTTCTTAACTTTATCTATGTTTCTCTCTCTTTCTCGGTTTGTAGCCCTCCCTCGGGAACTCGAGCCCAGGTACTTTTCTGTTGAATCACTTGCCCAAACTTGAAGGTATTCAGGTGGATTCACCATGTAACTTCTATTCATACAAGTAAAGTCAGAAAACTATGAAACCTGCAAATCTCCATATACTGGATCAAACACTTTCACTATAAGAGTCAATGACGTGACACCTAAATATTCTGTCCGGCTGTAGTTTTTTTTAAGTTAAAAAAGGTTTAAATGCACAAAAATATACTTTATATATGTAGTATCTCTCTCATATATGTTGTCACTTCAACTTTTCAAATATCAGGTCTAATTTGTAATTTTTCTGAACTTCAAAGTGTCAAAATATGTTGTGCGACCAATAATAACATTAGTTGTATTAAATACAAACTAAAATATCTAACTTCTGTAACTGAAACATTAATACCTGATACAACATGCTTAAGTGAAAGGTAGTTTTAAAACATTTTTATCAGTATTATGCAATTTAAAGAAAAAATTAGTCAGTTAACTACATTGAATTTAGTGACTGTGACATTATAGAGCTAAAATGTGAGATCATTATTTACAAAAACTCAAATGAAATGCAAACACTGTGTTTCTATCCACTTGATATTACTGACAATTTGTAATTTAAAAAAAAACTATAAAGTCTGTTAAAAGAATGTAATAATTTTGAGATAAATTATGGTCGTACCACATGACATTTTTTAAGGCCACGGGCAATTCACCTATATGAAAAAACACTAAAATTGCGTAATTTAAAAAGTTAACACTAATTTTTGTATACACAACATCTCAGTGTTTGAACTTTTGCAAAATATATTCTTATTTTTGCTATTTTAAAATTGGCATGTTTAAAAACCTTCTACGTCATTGACCCATAAGCACTGATACATATCAAATTGTGTTCCTTGAGTGTGATACACAAGCTTGATAATGATAGTGATAAATTATTCATGATAGATGTTTACCAGAGGTGTATATACAACTGCTATACTTAAGAAAAACTGATAAATAATACTTTTAATTATAATCATGAGTCAAAATAAAAAATTATATTGAAATTACAGGCAAAATCTACACTAATTTATCCAAATGAGGCTTGATTTTAGAAACTTTTAAAAAATGCAAAAACGAAAAGTATATATACTTTGTGTTACCAAAGTTTCATTTTCATAATAAGAGTCATTGTCAAACATATTCCAACATTAAATTCCCTTAAACAAAGTACTCATTGTTTCAAAACAATGTAGAAAAGTTAGTTTTCCTGTGCTTTGGGGTTCTACATAGACGAACAGATTTTTATATCATCAGCAGTTGTGAAATTGCCTTAACTTAGCTGTCTATCCCTTCAGTATCTCTATTCTTGAGTAAAAAGTTAAAAGCCAATGATCCTCTATTTCATCCAATAAGTTTGAATGGGGAAAAAGCAGGTCATATGCATGCTGATAATTAAAAAAAAAAAAAATCTCATCATCTATACTTAATTTCATACTGCATGTTGTATTTGCATTCGCTCGAACAAAAAGCATTAGCTAGACCTCAAATAAAAGTTTAACCCATTAAATTCTAGTCTGAAAAAGTTAAATGCTCACTTTGTTTGGAATTACTTTTCCAGGAGGTTCAGCAGGTTCCGATGACCATGATTTCGACCCATCAGCAGACATGCTTGTGCATGATTTTGATGATGAACGCACCCTAGAGGAAGAGGAAATGTTGGAGGCATCAGATGAAACCAATGCCAATGAAATAGAGGATCTTGCACGGGTGAGTTTCAGACTGAGATTTTTCTTGTTTGTTGCTCAGCATTTGAACACTACTGGTAACTCTTATATCATGATTAGAATTATAGCTTAGTTTTTAACATTCAGACCAAATTAACCCCCTTATAAATGTTTAGGATTATTTTTGTGTTGAATTCTGACACTAGGTGAATTTTCTGTCTACAGGAGGGAGAGATGCCCATTCATGAGCTGCTGAACCTATACGGTTATGGTGGTGGTTCACCACCAGATGAGGATGAAGAGGAGGATGAAGAACCAGAGGAAGAAGAGGAAGATGAGGAAGAGGATGATGATGAGGACTTAGACAACGATGAAAGCAGCAGAAGCACCAGCGAGTTGAAAAGAAATGAGGTGTGTTGATGTTTTTTGATTCAGTCGACAGTGATGTGGTTTCCATTAAATTCACCAGTTTAATTGTGTTGACTGGTGTTAGAAACTTCAGCCTTACAACCGACACTGTGTGTTTTCAGGGCGAGGGGGTGAAAAACTCGTCAGTACAGGAGGATGAGGCCACGGCGTCCTCTGAGGGCCGCACACGCTCAGTCAGATCCCTCGGCACTGCAGAACTGATTCGTCCTCAGAAGCTCAAATACTTTGAAAGTTTGTACCAAACCTTGATTTCTTTCACTTTCCTCTCCCCTCACACTTGGATAAATGAGAGATGTTGAAATCTGAACCATTAAGAATAACTGGATTGTGGTGAGCTCATTTGGTTTCTTGGTTATCTCACCGTGTCACAGGTAACAATGATGCAGAGGAGGAGTCAGATGAAGATGAGGACTATGTTCCATCTGAAGACTGGAAAAAGGTACGAAACAACATTATCAGACTGCCAGACTTATGAAGTATCACATTATAGCTGGAGTTTAACCATGAAATTATCGGTCAGAAAAGTAGACCACACAGTTTACTGCATGAAACAGTCCATAAATTACACTTTTACTCTGAAAGAATCACAAGAGATCAGCCTACCCAACTACTAAAGCTATCAGCGTACCACTGGAAAGTGATTCTTCTGGATAAATCCAGAACTCCAGACTTTCCGACCCTAAGAGGTGATCCAGATAAATCATGGGTTGGATATCAGTAAAAACACGCTAAATCAACCATTCCTGCTTTTTTGTCTGATGCTAATCACACGTCTGAGTCTAGTATAACTGAAGCAGAATCAGCAGGATCAACTACAAAGCAAAACTGAGGAAATATGTAGTCTGTGAAAATTAAGGCTGAAAGGGCTCAACATTTAGCTGTGTGGCATGCTGCTTTATTTCTTTCTTTCTTTTATGCCTGTCTTTGTTTCTTTCTTTCTTATTTGCTTCGTCAATGGGAGGGAAAAATGTTTTACATGTTAGTAATGCGTTTTGTAAAAAGCTCTTTTGGTCTTTTAGCAGCATTTCTCTGGTAGCTTCCTTCATCATCAACATTTAAAAAACATTGTCCCATTCTGCTATATGCTAACTGTGGTCACATGCATTTGTGTTTTCCTACTAAGTGATTATTTCTGTAATGTCAGACTGATCAGTCAACCCAGTATTTGGTTAATTTTAAGGTCTGAGGCCAAGCAGTAGTGTGGCCAAAGCAGATGTAGTAGACTGCACTGAACTTTTCTAACAGAGTACATTTTTAAAGAGAAAGCAAATGTTAATTATTTTGTAGGACTGATTTTATTACAGCAGAAATATGTAGTAAAAGTCAGCCCGTCTTTACGCAGTCTCTATGATGTACTTGTTACCTACAGGAGATCATGGTGGGCTCTATGTATCAGGCTGAAACTCCGGTTGGCCTGTGTAAATATAAAGACAATGAAAAAGGTAAGTCTCACTATCAATATCTGCATATTAAATATTAACATTTTGTGACCATGTGGGTCTGAAAGAAGAAAACTTTGTCCAGAAGACAAAAGTTTGACTTTGACTTTTTCCTTTTTCCTGAAGTATATGAAAACGATGACCAGCTGTTGTGGAACCCCGAGTGTCTCTCTGAAGACAAAGTGGTGGAGTTTTTGACAGAGGCATCAAGGCGGACGGGGGAGGAGAAGGGCGTGGACGCAATCCCAGAGGGGTCGCATATCAAAGACAATGAGCAGGTGACCACAGTATAGATTAGGCTCCGTTCTGAAGGATAATTGTCTGAAGTATATTTTTTCTCCTCTTAGAACAAACCCATGAAAAAAATAAACCCGTCATTAAATTAAGTTTGCCACTGGCTGTTATGATGTTTAGTCAAAGCTTGGAGGATTATAATTCCTTTGTGGAAAACCTGTTACAGCACGTCTGTGAGTGACAGTAACCAGATTTACTGAACTCATCTGTAACCAGTGAGTTTCCCCCTCTGAATACAGAGCTGACAGTTTTACTCTGACCACAAAGAGATTCTGTTTATGTGGCAGCACAGACTAGAGCAGGAAGATAAATAAAGGAGATGATGAAAAAGCTTTTCATGATCATTTTCTTAATATTTACAATATAATCAATTCAAGTACATGAAGATAAGAGTTTGCTTTCGTTTTTTTAAGAGTGTTAAAAAAATCTTATGCCTCCTTTACATCTATATCTTTACAGTTTTACATACTTCTCCACATACATATACTCGCATTCTGTTGCTCTAAAACAGTGGTTCTCAAGTCCAGTCCTCAAGGCCCACTGTCCTCCAACACACCTGATTCAAATGATCAGCTCGTTATTAAGCCATTACAGAGCTTGATAACGAGCTGATCATTTGAATCAGGTGTGTTGGAGCAGGGAAACATCCAAAACATGCAGGACAGTGGGCCTCGAGGACTGGACTTGAGAACCACTGCTCTAGAACACACCTTTACACCCCTTATGCTTCACCATCAATGTTCTGGAGGTGTAATGGTGGGAGTTGTAAGAAAGTGTAACAGAGGGAAGACAGAAAAAGGTCTGAGCTAGCTGAGGATGTGTGAATCTGTGCGTATGTGAAGCTCATGCTGTGTGGTTTTTACGCCATGCTGCTGGTGCTTCTCCAACACTAGGACAGCAGTATTACACTATTTATGTATACACTACACAGACAGCAGAGCTTTGTAAACAGACTTGTTGGACTTTAATTTTAATGCGGTTTTCCATGGCTGATTAAAAGTACTTAAAAAGGTTAATTTGGGATCCTGGCGAATCACTGCAGCATTTTTTTGTCATTTTACTCCATTAAAAACAGTTACTGTAGTTTGTTTGGAGTCACTGAACAAGTTTTAGCTGACACACTCTGTCTACTTCTGTTGAGTCATGTCTGCTGAAGTCTTATCCAGTCTGCACACATCTATTTCTGTAACATTCTTGGCCTTTTTGTAAGAAACTGCTCATTTTTAAAATGTTCATCCCAGGCAAAAAGGAGCAAGCTCGGAGGTCAGGAAGTTTAAAAGGCTCGTTGATATGTAGTTGTTGTCTCCACTGGGTTGTTGACAATCAGAAAAATACCCATCATTCTGCCACAAACTAGATTAGAGATGCCAATGCTGTGTCACATGTTTATCTCTGTTCATACCAGTTAACTTGATTTGTCATTTGTCTCTGTGCAGGCTTTGTATGAACTGGTGAAATGTGATTTTGACACAGAGGAAGCTTTAAGAAGACTGAGGTTTAACGTAAAAGCAGCCAGAGGTGAGGACATAATTACGCCTTTCTTAAAACCTCCTTTCTAGTTTGATCTGAATTTTCTGGGGCACAGCTCTCTTTGCCTAATATGCTATATTTTTATTGAAAAAGCATGCAAGTTTTATTTTGAAGGAGATTCTGTGGAAGCAGCAATAACACTCAATTGTCTTTGTAACAGAGGAGCTCTCAGTCTGGACTGAAGAGGAATGTAGAAATTTTGAACAAGGACTTAAAGCTTACGGGAAAGACTTTCATTTAATACAGGCCAACAAGGTAGGTCTTTAAAAATCCACATTCATGAAATGCTAATTTTACCATTGATTTAACATTCATGTTGACTTGTTTGCTGGTGTGGCTGTTTGATGCTCAGGGTTGGAATCAGCTACATTTCAACCTTGTTGCATTCTGAGACAAATCAAATTTCTGTTTTTCATCCTGTAAAAATGATCATGAGATGATGAGCTGTTAGGCAATAATTTGATTTGTCTCGCATTTAAAATGAACTGAATCTATATTTTCAGACGATGGTAATTAATGGTTATTTCATGTCTGCTGAATTAAATCTTTCAGGTGAGAACTAGGTCTGTAGGAGAATGTGTGGCCTTTTATTACATGTGGAAGAAGTCTGAGCGTTATGATTTCTTTGCACAGCAAACCAGACTTGGGAAAAGGAAATACAACCTTCACCCTGGTGTCACGTAAGTTTGAGTTTATTCCACAAATGAATAATCTTTTTCAGGGTGATGTGTGTTTTTTGTTTGCAACAGACAGGTTTTTCAGCGATTTGTTGTCCTTAACCCCACTGTTTTGAAACCTGTTGCTGACATCAAATTAAAAATTAGCATGCATTTGAGGAAAAAATCAGTTTCAACATTTGATATGTGGTCTCAGCAGTATTTTCTATGAAATATAGGGAGATAATTTTGTTTGGTAAAATGTGTCTTTTGAACTCAAATTGTTACCAAATTTTATTCTGTGTTACTCAATATAATTTACAGATGTAACATCTGAAAAAACACATAACTTGTAAAAAGAACCTTGTGTTTGTTGAGCCAAAGCCAGATGACAGTATGAGTCAAAGAAATGGATTGCACTGATTGTGTTAGCTACAGGGACTCCCTGTAATAATCTCTACTCTGCCGCTGAGGTTGTGTGTGATGACTTGTTTGCTGTTGTGTGTCATCAGAGATTACATGGATAGATTACTAGATGAGACGGAAAGTGCTACATCCAGCCGAGCAGCATCACCTCCACCCACCACCTCCAGCAGCAGCACCAGCCATTCAGAGAAGGAAGACAGCAGCAGTCAGAACGGTGAGATTATCATCATTGAAATGTAATACCCGTATTTCTGATATTAGAGTGCACACACGGAGGTTCTTCTAGGATTCTTTTGGTCATATAGACAGAGCCAAGACTTTAAAGGGGACCTGCCATCAAAATTTAAAAATTGGCAGGTCCCCTTTAAAGAAATTGTACTTGTTAAAACAAAGTGAATAGAGATCATTTTAAAATTTATTTTTTAACTTTTTTTTTCAACTCATGTTTTTATGGAGTGACAGTGATCAAATGTTTCAGCATTAGGGCCTGTGTCCACTAATGTTATTAGGGCCTGTGTCCACTAATGGCATAAGGGCCTGTGTCCATTTAAGAGCACTTAACCTGCTGCTTGGATATGAAAGCTCTCCCTTGGTACTTTTACCTTCCTCCATTTTGGCTGTTGTCATAGTTTTAAAGTGTTTACATGTATGTCAAATGTTGCCAGTGTCTAACGTCTTTGCTTGTCACAGGTATTGCCAGCCATAACTCCAGCCACCCAGTCGAGGGTCCTCAGTTACTCCCAGCAAATGCAGTCAAACCTGAGCCCATTCAGTCCAACGGTCCCTCCCATCCCCCAGTGGAAGCTCCGCCTCCCATTTCAGACAACAACTCCAATGGCTGCAGTCAACCTAGCGCACCCAGCCACGACCGAAACGGGTCTCTGGAGCCGCTGCTGGACCACAGAGACACAGCAACACAAGAGAAGCCGGCCAAGAGGTGCAGGACCGAGGCAGAAACGCTGGGTCAGAGTGAAGTGGAACCATCCAGAACACAGGAGAACTGAAGGACCCAGGTGCAGAGCTCAAGTTGTAGACTAAGAGACACTGAAGCGGGGTGAAAGAATCGTCCAGACTTTGTCACTGCAGAGGTAAGAGGATGATGAAAATGAGCCCCTGTTGGCTTGTGAGCACATTTTTTCTTGAGAGAAAGGACTCCCTACAAAGGTCACTGAAGGGCACCTTGAAGAACACAGCCAACCAAATTGCAGCTAATCCTCCAGGAGGGGCAGCAAGCTTCCCTGGTCCCTCCACTACATCCATGTACTGACTGGCTGCGAAGCTCATCCCAAAGCGCCACAGCTCCATCACAACCTCCAAAAATGACACATTTCCTTCGTCATCGGCTCTATTCCCTCTCTGGAGACTTGACTGACTAAATTTTTTGCCAAGAATTTCCTTTTTTTTCTATTTGTACTCAAAGAAAAGAAATCACCTGTGATATTTTTTTACACAAGAGATATTTATATTTTTTAGCAAAAGAAAATTATGATGGGTAGCTGCAGTTCAAAGCTCTTTGAACATTTGATGAGACAGGCGACATGTTGAAAAAGAGTATGTGCTTAAGTTTGTCAAAAAGAGGCAAAGTAGGCAAACGAGTCTGGCTGTTGTGTAGCTGGTCTTCTTTAGTTGCACTTTGATTGTATGTTTCTCTTTGTTATCGATGAGGAGTGGTGTCGAAACCCAGCAGAAATACATTTTTCACTCCTCTTTTGAATCTGCTCCGGCCTCTGTGTGTCACAGCTGTTTGTTTAATTCTGATAAATAAACCGATGGGTAGCTTCTCCTGCAGGTTTATTTGTGTAAAGCAGCTGACATCAGTGATGTCCTGTATTATAACTCATGATGTAGAAGATGGCTGTATTTTTGGATTTCCATGGTCAGTGCTTTGCTCAACGCTTTGTTTTTACTAGACAGAATGTCCGTGGTTTTTATTGTAAAGTTTGTATAGATTTCTTACCTTGACCAGTTGGTACATTTTTTATAATAACTGTCAGTTCACCCCTGTATTTTCTGGTCTTCTATGAAGCCTGTGCTTCTTGTCGACAAATCTTTCGCTCTGAGATGGATGTAACAAAAAAGTAGCCATTCCTCTTCGCCCTCTCTGCCAGGCAGCACTTCCCATTCCTGTGTGACCTTGCTTGAACCGATATGTATGTTGCAGAGAGCCTCGTCTTTTGTCTGCAGTCGAGTGTGCAGCTTGCCTTTGGTGAAACGCCTCTTTAAAAGCTTAGTTTCCACCAATATTAACTGTCTCTTTCCTCAGTCGGTGGCTTCAGAGCAGATCAACAGTCCAGGTTGAGAGCTGTAAGACCTTCAGTTGTTTTGGTACAGTAGCTGTTCAGCTTAAGGCCTTTGTGTTTTACTTTCATTCACACATTAAGATAAGTTTGTCTCAGATAACGTTGATCCATGTAGTCTTTTCTTTCTCTTTTGTTGACAACTATGTCTTGTTTAATTTTTTTTTCTCTGTAAATGATGACATGAATAAAAGTGAAGTGTATTCCAAGACTGGTTATGAATGGAATAGCATTGGTGATATTTAATAAATGTATTAATGAGTCTGAGTGGCTGTGCTGTGGGATGTATCCACTTTTCCTTGTATAACTCCTTAGAGTTAAGTTTGAGTGTTTGACTTCCATGTTTCACTAACATTTAATCTCAATTTCTCCCCTAATGCAACTGCACTGTCAGAAAAAGAGGAAATTAGACCTGGAAGTAAGCTGGAGCTAAATAAACGCTAAAATATGAACATTTAGGGCATTTTAAGCTGTTTAATACAGCTGCAAGATCAAAAGATTGTAATTTACAGCCAGTCTGATTAAACAAACAACAAAAGAAAGTATTTTTGCATTGAACTGAGTTTGGATTTTGGGAGATGGTGATTGCCTTGTCTTTTTAAATGCTAATCATCACAATCATTCATTCACGCTACATTCATACACTGATGGGGCAGCTATTTCAGGGGACCTCCAGTACTCCAAGAGTCCCATTCATACACATTCACACGCAGCTGACTGAATTACTGCGATTTGAGGTTCAGTGTCTTGCTTGAGGGCACTTAGGCATATGACTCAGGGGAGAAAATCCTCTCTGTCACAGAGCCACAGCTGCTCAGTTTGTGTCCTGTTTCTTTCAAACACGTCACATCGGGAAGGATCGATTAAAACCCATTATGGAGAACAGTGAATCATTACATCCCCCTGAGCTAAACTTAGCACTAAATTTACTGTGTTTGAATGATTGAATCCTAACAATAAAAACAATGCATGTAAGCCTTTATATTTATTGATATGTATAAAATCAGTTATACATGATTATAAAAATATGGCATTTAATCTGAATCAGAAATATAAAAGCTGATAAAAAAGATCTTATAAAACTCTATGATTAAAGCAATAATGTGTGTTGACAGACAGAAAATACATAATCAACTGAGGTCACCTAAGCACATTAATAGATCTTCAGTGTTGAGTCCTGTCTCTGTGGTTTATGCCTTTTCTGTAAAATATGAAGCAAACATTTCAGAAACCCGAAGCCTCATCTGTGCAGTTTCAACATTGTGAAGTTGAATGTGACAGTTTCTGATCATGTTTTTATTGACACGACTAGAGCCAGTCTTACTTGTTTGCTCCTGTGTGAAGGTGATGTAGGAGTACACCAGACTACCAGCAATACTGTGGGAAGCAAAAATGAGATATGTTCTAGATCCACAACAGTACAATCTTGATTGTGTGTACGTGTATGTTTTTATTTTTTTTGTACCTGATATTTAGACCTAAGAAGTTCGTCCAGGTGAAAATGTAGTCTCCACCAAACACCATGCCAATGTAGGTCACCAGGATGTTCTGCAGAGATCACACAGAGTAAGAAATGTTTCCTGATGTAACACATGCCCGGAGCAGGATCAGCTGGATGTTACTCACTTTAATACAGCCGATGATGGAGGTGGTAAGAGCTGAGTTGTACTGCGTGCAAAGCATGATGGAGTACATCAAGATGAAGCTAAATGACAGAAAGAGAATTAGAAAAAAAAACAGCAACATGTAACATAAAAGATTAACCCATGATGGATGTGGATCTTACCCCATCACACAGGAGAGCACAAACTGCACAACAAACATCAAATCAGACCATCCATCATACTCTGACGCCTGTGCTCAAACACACACACACACACACCATCAGAAACACGTATTGGACAAAAAACACATTAACTGAAGATACAAGAGTTTCACTTACTGTTTGTAAGTCTCCCGAGTAATAAGCATATGCCATAGTGGGGAAAATCATGATTAAAGCATTGTAGTAGAGGAGGCCATATTTACCCAGCTCCTACGAAAACAAGATAATGTTCTTCATTTAAAACATGTGCTTTTATCAGGATCAGAATCTTCGCATAAGACCCACATGAAGAAATAAACATTCAGTTTTATCCACATCTATGGTGCAGTTTCAATATAAGGCAAATTTATATGCAAGTGTCACCATTCATCAAAGAGTACAATCTTTAAAAAACTGGAGTGGTGAGTGTATGATCGATATTTATTTTTAAATTTTCATATTTATACATTTGAACTCCCGTATAAAATGTAGTGTGATCAAAAAGTAAAACTGAAGAGGTGATTTCCTGTGACCTGACATTGTAAATTTTGTTTAAATTTGAGCAAAGAGAAAAAATAAACATGAATTCCAACAGATTGTCTGAAAAATACAAATGAAAGTAGAGTTGGGAGGGCTAATCAATTTTTAAAGCACAGTTCACCAAATAATGCATCTTACAAACAGTGAGGGAGTGTGAGTGGCTCACCTTTGAGTCAAGTTTCTGTTTCACATATGCCCCACTGGCTGCTGTCAGAACATTGTTCAGCATTATAAAAACATATCCTTCAAGGTCAAAGGCTAAGTCATCACTACAAAAAAAACATAAAACAAAGAATAAGACTGAATCTTTTGAAATGCTTGATGTCAGGTTACGGTGTGAATACTGTATGCGGCTTCTCACCTAGCAGCGATAAAAGCACCAAAGATCATAGTAAAGACAGTCATCTTAACCGGTGTGGAGAATGTCTTCCTGTTGGCAAATCAAAATAATGGGTTAGAACAGTGATTCGTGTTCAGATGCAAGAACTTTCTCAATGTGAGGTAACTTTACTTACTTGAGTAAGAATCCTTCAAAAAGCATGGTTAGAAAAATACTGAATCTTCTTAGAACTGTGAACATTGGTAAGCTAGGTGGAAGGAAAAACAGATTTATGTGACTCTTCAATAGTGAGAAAATTGTGTCAAGATTAAATGACAGTAATCCTAAAATACGTAGTATTTACTTGAGTTTTTGAGTTCCAAACAGCCCTGATATCTGATTCCCCACATACAGCAGAGGCAAAGGAAACATCTGAAAAGAAACACAAACTTGTTTAATAGGAGGTTCTTGTTATCACAGCTCTAAAAAGTGATCAAAATATCATAGTCCCACCTTGCCTGGTATACTCATATCCATATCTGGGAATGATATCACACCCAACATCTTCCCAGTCCTCAGAACTACGACTGTGGCCAACATCTACAGTCATTTGAGGGGAAAGACTCAGTACATCAGGATCTGTTTAGAGCTAAACATCATATGTGGCTCACTTAAACACAAACTTACCTGGCCGATTCCGACACATGTTGATGATGGAAATCTAGAAACATCCAGAAAGTATTTATTTAGTAATCTAAACATGTTTTATTCTTAAAATGCTCTACAAGATTTCATCAGTAATTTTAAGTTGAAAGTCAGTGTCTGGATACGGTGGTCAAGAACCACCACTGCTGCAAATAAAAAAGTAGTCACAACAGAAGTTACCGGCGCAACAAAAAAAGAAACTGAAGCCCACTGCAAATAAAAAAAGAAACGGTGCAGATAAAAAAAAGCCACAATGGAGGTTAATGATGCAAAAAAAAAGTGGCAATGGAAAAAAAGAGTGACTTAATGCAAAAATAAAAGGATGCAAATAAAAAAAGCCACAACGGAAGTGAGCTGCCGGGGACCAATAATGATGATGCACCGGTGCTGAGTTTTAAAATGACATTCACTCAGTGCGCACTGTTTCCACGAAATCAAGCCCTTTTTTAAGTTTATGCATTTTAATACTGTTTTTGTTGCAATTAGATCGTGGGGTGGGAATGAGGGGTTGGGCTGGGGTTGATTTGGGTATTCTTTTAATCTTGGGTTGGGGTAATTTTGGGTACTCTTTGTTTCTGTCACTCCTTTTTCTATGTGAATCACTTTGTGCTACATGTTATGTATGAAAAGTGCTATATAAATAAAGACTGATTGATTGATTGATTGACCTGTGATCTAGACATACAAGTACATCTAATCAGACTGTTGGCGGGCAACAATAGACAGTAACTTTGAGCTAATGTGTTTGAATTCTTGCATGAAGTTTTGACATGTACTTTAATCAGAGCACTTCTTCTGATTTTGACCATATTCTCTCTGGCAGGCTAATGTAACATGAGTTTAACTGATGTCACTTATTTCATTTGCCAAATCAGTTATTTAATTTACCTTATTCTAATGACTGCTGGTTGAATTGGCTTGCTAACTTCCTTTATGTGTTTTGTTGTATTTGTTCAACAATAAGTGCTTTGTATCACAAGTATAGAAAAGTTTTATGTATATAACTATCATTACTGTGAGGTCCTGTAATAAAACTTCATTCATTTTTCTAATCAAGACCTGTGCCACCACCTTGGATAAAGTATCCTGAGTTCACATCCCCATCACCACAAACGTTGCTCTGTCTTACTCCTGCAGCTGTCACTGCAGATACAAAGTTGGTCAAGAGTCCGAACCAAAGCTTCCTGTACCTGTTGTTTGTACTTTGAACTTTTACCTGTAGCTGGTGAGGACGCTTTTGTTGACAACAACGATGAAAAATGAGCTGACTCCGTAAAACGCCGCCGCTAGCAGTTTCACGAACACCGTGGGGCTGTCACCGGCTTTCTCAGCTCGCGAGGACGCTCCCTCAGGTGTCAGGTCACTGTCACTGAGCTCGTGTCGACGTTTATGAAGCTGTGCCATCGTCGACGTAACGAGTAGCTCCTCTCGGACGTTTCAGTGGAAGCCTACGAGCCCTTCTGCGCAGGCGTATAGCCATCCAATAGACGACCAACCACGAGAAAAAGCGGAAGTAGAAAATTGTAAACAAACAATTGATGTGACGGTTTTCAAAACAGGAGCGACTTTATTTCCACAGACTACGTATGAAAGGTTTTAAAATAATGTTAACTTACTGGCTCTCCCCATTTTTCTTTCGTGTTGTATTACTTTCGGGTGACTTTTTTTTACAACCAGTAATTACCCAGTGCCAATGAAGCATGTTCACTAAATACAGGACATATCACAGAATTCCGTGTTCAATGTCTTGTCAAGCTTAAAATTGAATAAACACACTACTCAGCCTGCAAACCTTTAAAAAAGAAACTGGAGAAGTTGATGAAAAAGGTTTAAACACCCAAAGTACTGCTGAAAGATACCCTGAAACCGTTACATCTTACTCATGTGAAGTAACCAGGGGTGGAAAGGGGACTAAAATAATTTCTAAGAAGTTCAACTATAAATCCACTTAAAAAGAAAAAAGAAGTGTTCTATTTGAAATGTGCTTGGAGTACTGAGTACTTACTGGAATACTGAGTATTTCCACCACTGTAAGATGTACCTCCAAATAAGAATAAGAATAACTTTATGGAATAAGAATAATCAATAATAATTAATAAATAAAATATAATCACAGAAACTTATTTTAATGTTTTAACATTATTATCGTGTTAAGCTATTCACTTTGCAGAGCACTCCTTTAGCATGAAGTTATTGAAAACCTAAGCATCTTATGTAATTGCACCTCGTGTATATGGTCCCTGCACATTCATGAGTACAGCACTTTCCACAGAAAATACTAAGGTCAAAGTAAAATTAGTGATTCAGAAAACTACTTGAACACGTAACAATTTGCAAAAAGCAACTCAATAACAGTACAAATAAGTAAATGTTATTCATTATTTTCCACCTCTGCTGCTTAAATCCTACTCTCCCGATATGACTGGCTTCGAGAAGAGAAACAGCAATTGTGATTCTTTATTTTTGCTATGCTCTCATTTGGATCACATCAATTAACTGTCCCACATTATCAGGTTATTTTTAGCTCTCTAAAGTCTCTTGCAAAAGCATGACTTAAAGTACAACAGCAGCCAAATATTCAAATCAGATTTTACAACACTTCACAGTAAACACAAATTTCAGAATGAATTTTTCTGTCCTTTTGTTTTAATTTTTTTTTAATTTATGTGGTTAAGCTGATTATTCTATTGTTCCACTGTATTATGCTTCTATTCTATTTTTATTATATAGTCCCTGTATTTTAGCACCCTGGGCAAGAGAGAAACATCCTTTTTGATTTCTGTGTATGCACTCACATATGGCAGACATTAATAAAAAAGCTTGAATGTTGAAACTATTTCAGAATACCTGCAAGTTTAAGTTTATAAATCACTGCTAAAATTCAGATGTCAAGATTTACTGACTTAATGGAAAAAGTCATTATGTTTGCAACATGGTGAATAGATCAAACACAATGTGTCCTTTTCTTGTATTGAAGCTGGCACTATTGGTAGTTTTTTATCAACCATATTTTTTTTAAATTAAAATTTACACTTTCTTTTCCCATATGGTGCTGTGAAGTTATTCCTTGCATAAAAAAATATTAACAATTGCATGAACAAAAAATCTACCAAACTACAGCCTCAACATTATTTACCTTTGTGAAATGCTGGATTTATTAGTTTTAGGTAGGTGAACCTGAAATACACGGACAACTTAGTGTAAATTAAACTCTTTACACTGAAGTCATTAACACCTCCACTATGTCATAATTTGAAGTCCACAGCATATTCATTTACACTTTTAAATCAAACTTTTGACTTCAAACAACCCGACAACCAGTGGCGGAGTACATGTAACACCTCTAAAGCAATTTATTAGAACAGGGATGTTTGCAGAGAAAGTTTCACTGTCATGTGGCTCAAACAGTCCTACACAAAAAAACTGCTCTAGCCGTCTGTATCAGTGCATGACCAGCAAGTCTTTGCAGAGCACAGCATGTAAAGCTTTAAATTCACTCAATCATGGCCCTAATACCCCTAAACCCTCCCCCCTTAAATGTGAAATATACCCGCTTCATTTTAAGTTAACTGGAAATGCTGACACAGGTGGCTTGAAGCACCATTAGCTTACTTTACATTCTGTAGCTCATGATTGTTCCACGATGACTGCTGACGTTTCTTTCAGACAAATTATGCATGTTGTGCTGCTGCACAAAAAACAAAATAAAATAGAAAACAGCAAATATGGTTTACAGAGAGAGGGGGGGGACAATCTTCAGAGGGCTGGTGCTGATAAAACCAAGTGCTTTGAGATCTGAGAGACGGTACAGATACTCGAGGAGTAAGATATGTCCATGGTCTTTCATTCTCACCTACATTTCAACAATCACATCTGAAAAGACTTCTGAACTCGCAGTCTGTCTGAGAATGACAAGTTCATTGCAGAGGAATACTCAAGATCTAAGTAACTAGCTGTCATCAAAATTACACATTCAACTTCACACTTGCTACACACACTCACACAAGCACACACCCTTAAAGAAAAATATACATACAATATTTGCTTTGTGGTCCTGAAGTTAACAAATAGTACAGTCTGTGTGACCTACAAGGACCAGCCTAAAGATATACATTGGGCCCTGGGACAGCCTGAAAACACAGGTAGCACGTGTGGATCAGGAGATACAAAGCATTACTAACAACTGGTCCACCAAAAAAAGGCAAGCTACCGACAGAAAAAAAAAAGAGAAAAAAAAGGAAAAGAGGCATTTACTTTCACTGCACAACAAGCAGAAAAATACCAAGCTTTAGTAGGAAGTCACTTGGCCTGGTTACCCATCCTGAATTTGTGCCTCACAGGAGGATGGGTATTCAGGATCAGAGTAATTACACTTTAAATGCATGTTAAGCCATACTTCAGATAACTAGTACACGTTTCCTATGTAGTGTAGTGCTACCACATCAGTGTGTATTACTTGGAGGAAAAACTCCAGTACAAAGTCCTTTCTAAGATGACCCCATAATACTGAGCTGAAGTCATGAGGGGGAAAAAGCACAAAAGCTTCAGGGGGGGCATTAATACACACACTTCAAACTAATTGCAGAAATGCATTAATTCAAGCAGCACAAAAAAAGGAAAAAAAAAAAATCAATGAAGTATGCATAATCTCTGAAAAAAAGGAAAAAAGTATGAAAACATCCCTGCTTTCATGTTCCTAAATACAAAACTTCAGTGTAACAAGAGGTCCTTTTTCCGCCATTTTTTTTGTCTTTTGTTCTCCTTTAAAACGGGTAAAATTTTAGTCCTCTGGTGGTGTGAGTGGTATGGGATGACAGTCTTTTTTTGTCATTTAAAATCTTTTTTTTTTCTTCTTCTTTGTTTTCTTATATATTTGAAGATGTGGTAAGCATGCAAGCCTCGTAGAGGAGGGACCCGGAAGGGCTGATGGGTGGGCTGGTGGTGGAAAAAAAGCCCTTAGGCCAGAGCTGGGAAGGCCTCAGGATCATCCACGTTGGGGACTGACACTCCACTAGCCTGGAGGGACAAACACATTCTTAATTAAAAAACCTGAGAGTGCCTCTGCAAAAGCTGCCGAGACTCATGTTTACACAATTATAGCTCAAGTATAAGAATCAAAGCCTCTTGGTTTGCATTTCTATCAAACAGCTTTGATGTTTCAATTTAGGTTAACCACCCCTGTAGTCACTTTTTAGGGAAAGTCCCATGACCTGTCTTGGAAATAAAGTTAGTGAGTAAGAAAAAAAAACCTACCCTTTTCTTTAAATATATTTAACTGTTTATACAAACACCATTTCCATAAGAGTTGGAATGTTGAAATTTTGAAAACCAAATCAGGTAAAACAATGAAACTTAATGATTGAAATGTGCTGCTGGCATCAACTTTAAAATTGTCTTATTTTCTTCGCTCAACAAAAAACGTCATAGTTTCAACCTTTGATATGTTGTTTTCAAACACTTTTTAAAAATTCCTTGTGGGCTTTAAACGATTTAAATACCATTAAATTCTATTTTTTTATTAAAAAAAGAAGAAGAAATAAGTTAGATTATGGTGTGGAGACTGTTTGTAACTCTAAACTAGTTGATCTAAGTCAGTCATTCACACAGCTCTGCACCATCACTACACTCGGCTCCTCTCTGACATCAGGTCAGTGTGTGTGTTTAGCATCATGTGCTCACTGCTCTGTTATTTCAGGGATGTGTGTTTCACTGCAGGTTTTCCAACTCACTGCTTTAACAGCCTGTTAACAGTCCGTGAGCTGCAGCTTTTGTAAGGGCTGCCAAACCTTTACTGTTTGCAATGACAACAGCTTTTATTGTTACCTTTTCAGAGCGTCCTCCCCCGCGTGCCGTCCTGCTGCCTCCCCCGCCGCGGCCCCCCCTGCCTCCACGAGCTCCCCCACGCCCGCGGCCGGGGCGGCCCAGATCTCCAAAGTTGATCTCCAGCTGAGATGTGATGTCATTGGCTGGTTTGCGGAAGTGGTGGTCGCTGGACTCGTCGGGGTTGGCATGCTGAGGAGAAATTTCAGTTATTAGAATTCTCCCAGGCGAGTTTTAGACACACTGTTAACGCCGAATATTTTAGCGGACTGTGTGGATAACAGAGGAGTGTGTGAGAGCTGCAGGCACCTTGTGGTACAGAGTGTGTGGTTCTGCTTCTGCTTCTGGGGTGTCGATCAAAGCTCCAACAGGCCTCTGAAATATGAAAACAGAAAAAGGCTTTTCATCAATATGATGTCTGACAAGTAAAGATGTTCATCTGAAACCAAGTTTGTGCATGCTAGGAAGGTCGAAGATGTTCTATATAAATACATAAATCATGAAGAGAAAAAGAAAAATCAGTGAGGCCTCCAGGCAGCTTTCAAATAACGTCTGAGGAGCTGGCAGAGCTTCACTAACGCTCATGTATCAAAGAACAGGGTCTTGTGTGAGCAACCTTCTGATTAAAAATAGAGCTGGAACAATCTTTACTCTTTATATATATTTGGCATTTATACTTCTTACTTATTTGATCATTCTGGGTTTTTTTGTACATATTGATGCTACTAGAATTTTAATTTCCATGAGGGAAACTTCCCAAAAGGATCAATCAAGTCTATCTAATCTAATCATTCCATTGGCATATGACAGAACTGATCCACACCTGTTGTGAGAACCGTTTCATTTGTTTCTGTTGAACACTGCAGTGTCTTCTATTTGAGGATTTTCTACTTTGGTCTGCTCAGCACCAATACAAACAGAAAACTCTTTCGTTTTTATTTTTCCTGTTTGAGAAAACATGAACATGAGCCCTCTGGGGAGCTGTCATGTGCAACCTTGACTGACGTAGACTAATAGAGACAACACTCTGGAAATATAAACACATAATTAGACTGAGTTATCTTGTGACACAGCAGTCTGCACGTGTGCTGTGTACCTTCAGTACTCTCTGAAAATGGCCAACAATAACTCCATGTTTGATTTTACTCAATATTTGGTTTAGAAAAGGGGGCAAAAGTATGTGTGATGCATTTTCTGTGTTAAAAAGAAGCACAAGTACTTGGTCCAGCCTTGATCATATCTCTGTTGATGTTCATGCGTCTTACATTTCATAATTTTCATAGTTTGATGTCTTTTTCTGCAGTGTTTCTATGTGTGCAGGAACATTTTAAAAAGTTGGTATGATAAAAATCACGAGGTTAAATTGTTTTTCTTTCACTGTTTCGGTGAATTGATAAAATCCCCCAAAGAAGTTTTCAACCGTGTGACTGATTTATGACGTGAGCATGTGCAAAGCTGGTGTTCAGACAGAGGCAGTGAGCAAAGTGAACAGCATTCCCTCTCTCTGAAGGGGAGGGGCTGTTTCTGTTTAAATATGTGTCATAATCACCTCACTCACATCCTCGCTCTTGGACTTGTGGAGCACGTATCCTTTCTTCCACTGGCTGTCGGCTCCTTCGTTTGGCTTGCGGATGTTAAACTCCACCTTGGTGCGCTCCTTGTCCTGCATGGCCTTCCACTCGTCCAGGGTCATCTCTTTGGGGCCTTCATTTTTCACCTCTTGAACCTCGTTTTCTCTGGAAAGCCAGCACACAACAATGTCGGACCTTAAAGCTCAGAGTGCAAATCCTCTTAGCTCCAGACATGCTTCTGTAATCCTCAGGCCAAGAGGTCAGAAACAATGTTGATCCCATTTGCACTAAAGCTTTGTGACGAAAGTGCACACGAGGAGGTGCTGCTGTGATGTAGAGCAGCATGGGGACATAGAACTGCAGAGACATGTTCTGATGGAAACAGACTAAGTCACTCAATGTCCAGATATCAGCTGAAACCTGAATATCCAACAGGAAATGGATACTCACTTGTTCTCGGAGCTGGCGGGGGCATTTTCCTCTCCCTCTGGGGTCGTCTCAGGAGCAGCAGTCTGTTCAGCCTCGCTGGAAACAAAGACATAGCAGGACCATCAATACTCAAACATCATCTCTCAAATACACAGACTTTGCATCCATTTCTACCTTGTGCAATTTCATACTTCAATTGTGAAAACATTCATTTCCCATGGTTCACGGTAACCCTGGGGCACCATGTGTACCAGACTCTCCTGTATCTAATGCACCTCGGAGAAGAATGAAATTCTCTATTTTCGCCCAACAATGGAGCCTCTTTACCGAGCACACTCTCAGTAACAAATATCAACTCTGCATCACCATCTGTAGACAGTAATGCTCACAGACAGACAGTGTGTCTCTGCTTTTAGACTCACCTCACTTCTTCCTTCACAGTACCCCAGTTGTTTGAGCCTCCTCCACTGCGCTTCTCCTCGCCTTTCAGTTGGCTGAAGGAAACAGAAAAAACACACGCATGAAAACACACGCATGTATAACACTTCTTAAAGCATGAGAGACAAAAATGCAAAAACAAAACAAAAATGGAGGCTCAAGATCATCCATCGCTATCAAAACGGCAAGTAAACTGCTATCCATATCATGATTGGCAGCTACAGCATACATTAAGATGTTAGATGTGATCACTATGAAAGTTCTTGATGCCACACTCAATGCTGCCTCTATAGCCCTGGGTAGTGAGGTATTATCATGGCGCTTAACTACTATGGCAATGATTAACTCCTGCCACCATAATTTAGACAACAATGGCAGACAATAATCATTCTCAGCTAGTGTTAGGAGGATACAGCTAGCAAAATAGCAGCATGTGACTGTACTTCTGATTGGTTCACTGAATCAATAAACAAATTCACTCCATGAACACCATTAAATTTAGATCCTACATTAGGAAAGTTGATCAGCATCAAAATAATGAGATTTCAAAATCTGACTGGAACTGTTTTCAGACACTTTCTTGTATTGTTAATGTGGCGTTTCCCATCGGGGATCAGTGAAGTTCTTCATAAAGACTTTTGTTTCCAGTGGCTTTTAAGTCCACAATTCAGAGTGATGCTGAACAAATAAGAACCCCCTGACCTCAAGCTTGAATTCAGAGGAAGCTTAGTGAATAATTCTAAGAAAAAGAAGTCTAAGTCCTGAAAGCAAGACTTTCAAAGTAGTAGTTTCAAAGACACACAAAAGTGCATTTCACAATTAAAGAGCTCATTCTCGTTCCTGTCGGGTCATCAGACATAAGCTTGACAATAGGGTGTCAAATTGCGGGCTCTAAGTTCTGCTCCATGTTCTGTTTCAGTCTTGACTCACGATTTGTCACTGCCGCTGTGTCTGTCAAAGTCTCGCTTCCCGCGGGAGTCGAAGCCGTCTCCTCGGCCCATGCCCCGTCCTCTTCCACCACGCCCACCCCGGCCGCCACCACGCCCTCTCGGGGGCCGATCTCCAGAGGGCCTGAGGGACACAAATAGACAGTGTCAATTGCAAGTGCGAAAACATTTCCTTTCCAGCAATGACATCAGAAAACACTGTATTTGCTGTATACGTCAGTGCAAAACTACGTACAGATGATGTGATGTGATGTTGAGGTGAGGTGCCCAGAGACAGTTAATGACTCTTGACCCATGTGGATGTTAAAAACCCCTCTAGAAAGTCTTGATTGTAACCTGCATGTCAAACCTCACTTCTTATTGTTTATCCCATCCACTCACTTGTCTGCAGAGAACTCTCCTGCCCCCTCAGGCTTGTCCTCAGCAGGCTTCTCAAAGCGGCGCTCACGGGGAGGTCTCCTCTCCGGCCTCTTGTCTCCTGGCCGCCCTTCACCCTGTCCACCCTGGTGCTGAGATCCCGGCTGGCCCTGCTGGTCCGGTCTTCGGCCCACCCGTCTGATACCTTGAGACCATAACACTGGGCGAGTTAAACTTGCCAAACTCATCATGAATTCTTTTTTTTTTTCTTAATGTGATTTTTCTGCAGATGAATATTTGCAGATTTAAAGCATTTTATTTTCAGACAAGTGCAAACTGTCATGCGCACAAAATACTTCACCTCTTTATTTACAATCTGTCTGACTGCGAGTATTATCACTCCAGCTAACAGAGGGCCTCTCTCTCATTGACTCGTTGGTGTTGTTCGTGAATACGGTTTGTAAACGAGAAAAAAATAAGTATTGACTCAGTGAAGGAATCATCAGATCAAACAAAGAGCCGTCTGTCTAGTTTTTTTCTGTATCCGGGTTTAGATGTAGCGCATTTGCTTTGCAAAGCCTGCAGCTGCTAACAGAGCTGCGCAGACAGCACGAAGCAGCATCCTCCAGCAGCAGCAGCAGCAGCACAGTAACATAACACCAACACTGACACTGAGCCTTCCTGCAGGATGATGCTGCTGCTGCTGCTGGAGGAGGAAACCATCCCTGCGACACAGGCACGAGCAGGTGGATTCACCTGAGCTCGCTGAGTCGATGATGACTCCTCTGGTTGTCTATCTAACCCCTGTGTGAGCTTGACCTCACGCTGTGTTTGGCTCCCAGCAGCTAACGGAGCTAACAGACTCTGCACATGACAGCTGATGCGATAAAACACGAAAATAAGCGCGCAGAGTAAAAGTGTGCAGAGCAGAGGGGAAGATGTTACCTTCTTTCTTCAGGGGGACTGGAGCCTGGGACTCCTCCTTCTTGTCCAGCAGCGGGTTCTTTCTGTCCTTCTGTGACTCCTTCTTGGGCTGCTTGGCGGCTTGAGCAGCGGTCTTGGTGGACCCAGCGGCGGCCCCCTCCTTCTTCTTGTTTTCAGCAGCTTTCAGGATCTCGAACGGGTCGGACTCATCGTCCAATAACTGGTCGAACCGGTTGGTTACGACGCAGCCGAAGCCTTCTTGCAGGTGTCCGGGCATGATGGCGCCCCTTCAGCGGGATTCACCTCCGATTCTACGAGGCTTGATGCGAACAATTCGCTGGATGCTGCCACAAGATGGCTGGGAGAGCTGCCCCTTCTCTTCCGGTGCGAGCTCCATCCGGGACATTGAGCCGCGCGGCGCGCACCAATGCGAGCACACTGGGATGTTTATATTCAGATTATGTAACGGCGTGCTGTCATGTCCTCACGGAATAATCCGGGTTTTACTTTCTGACAGGATGTGTCATGTAAGGGAAGCTGTCAGTGCTCCCGTTAGTGTCTTCTGTACACTAGGTGCTGCTGTGAAAAAAGCCAGTCTCTATGAACCCATACCAACCATATTTACCACAGTGATCATAAATTAGCACTTCAGATACACCATTAAACTTGATTAAAGAGCAGACCAGACGGTTCAGGGATAAAGGAAAAAACAAACAGACATTTAAGGAATAAAAATACTGGTAAGACATATCTCAGAGGTACAGTGTTTTTTATTTAACATTCTTAGGAGTAATACAAAATGATAAAAATAAAATTTCAATGCCAGATAAAACATAAAACAAACAAACAAACAAACAAACAAACAAAAAAGATAATAATAAAGGCATAGATTAACTGAAAGCAACTCAGTAGAAACTCAGAATGAAAACTACAGGATGAAATAAACTGAAAGATAAATGAAAATTAAGCTAAGCCTGTCATAAACCCTGACTAAAGTGGAAAACACATTCAGAAGATACAATTAAAACAGACAGATAATTGTAAATGAAGGAAACTTTTTGAATCTGGAGGGGGAAAACATTTATTTAATACAACTAAAAGACATCAAATGATGAAATTGAATGAATATTTAAAGTTAAGTTGAGGCCAGACTGAAAAGTCAATTACCATAAGGGCCTCTGGCGAAGGCCTCTTGGTCGTTCCAAAGTCGAGACTCAAAACTAAAGGCGATCTAGCTTTCTCCATCAGAGCGCCTCGACTTTGGAATGACCTACCAGAGGAGATAAGACGTGCAGAGACAGTCACTTCTTTTAAGTCAAATTTAAAACTCACTTTTACAGACTTGCTTTTATGTGATGCCATCTTTTCTCTTTTTTTCTCTTTTTTCTTTTATCTCTTTTACCTCTATCTTATTTCGACTTACTATCCTTTTAGCCTTTGTTTTACTTATAATCTTTTCTTATTTTACCTTTTAGGTCCTTTATTGATTTCTAATGTTTTTTTTTCCTGTTCATTTTTATTATTCCATTTTATCAATAATATTACTGTCATTATTATTTTATTATGATTGTACTGTCATTATTAATATCCTCTTTTATACTTACTATCCCGTTTCCTGCTTTCTGCCCCCTTTTCTCTTTCATTCTTCTTCTTATCTATTTTATGTTTTTATTTTGGTCCTCATGGTCTCATTTTATGTTGTAGGGTTCTTGTATTGCCTGGGTTTCTTATGAAAAATGAAATTGGCCTTCAATTCGGAGGCCTTATATTTAACTGAGCTTTTGTTTTTATTTGTTTTATTTTCATGTGCTGATGTTCTGTGCTTTGCAACTGTTGTCAAAGCATTTTGTAAACTTCTGTTTTTAAAGTGCTAAATAAGTAAATTTATTATCATTATTATTCTTCTTAGTAATACAATGAATAATGATCAATCACTCAAACAATATGTAAATAACATGAAATATGTCACATGACTGCATTTAAGTCAATGCTCAGTGCCACCCCATTAAAAAATCATCTTTCTCTGATGAAAACACCAGCACCTGTTTGATAGAAGTAAAATAGTGTACTCCACATGGTGATCAGACATTCATATCTATAAACAACTCTGAATGAACAGCTGTGACTTTATCCTGCTGTTATAGTCACACAGTATCATAAGATTAGGAGGGATTTGTTGGTTTATAAAAAGCAGCAAATGGTGTGTTCAGGGCCAGCAGGGTCATGCTGAGGAGCAGCTGGTGGTAACATATCTGACAAGTCAGCCTTTCGGACAGTCGACTCTTTGGCTCACTGAGGAAGATGTCACACTAAAAGGTAAACTCAGGCTCCTCCTCATGTAACCTGAGGCCTGTTTGTCCTGGACTCGAGGGATACTATAAAAGTCAGGTCCGGTTACTTCACTTATATTTCTAAAGTGACTAAGAAACTAATATAAGGATAATTTGTAATATTTCTGGTTTGACATGGTTGTATGAACTGGTTTGTAATTTGAGAAGCTTTTCAATGTAAGGTGAAAAAAAAGTGTCTCTGTCGAGAGATTTCTGAAACTCAGTGGAAAAGAAGTATATTACTACTTTCCTCCTCTTGTATCCTTTTTTGCACCATCTACACCTTTCCAAGTTTTATGATAATCATGCCAGAACTTTGTAGTTTGCCGGAGATAAAAATGTGTGAGAAGTTAAGAAACAACTTCTGTAACACTGAGATTGAACAATTTTCTTATTAAGAGTACAAACACGTACCTGCAGAAGACTGACCCCATTAAAAAGCTAGTTTAATTTAGTCATTACACCTTATAGCATTTTACTTGAAGAAAGTGTTCATCTATGAGATCTTAAAAGATTTTTGCTCTGTTAGAGATCTCAGCAGCTGATTACAGCTGACTGTGTGGGAGGGATATTAGCTGTGGTTAAAAAAGCGGCAGATGGTATATCTCATTGTACTGATGGTGGTCGGTCAGAGGCCTCAGGAAACAAGAGAATTAACAAACAGCTAATTAATCCTGAAGTGAATGTGAGAAGAGTTTGCAGAAGAAACATGATCCAACTATCTGGTGGAGACAGTCAGTAAAGGTATCAACGTTACAAGAAGAGGACAGCAGCCAAGGAGACTCTGGTTACTGACCAAACAAAGAATAAATGCACATGAAGTCATGTGGGTGTTGTGAGTAAAATACAAATTTAATGGTATGAGCAGCAAGAATTAAAAAAACACCAACACTTATATTGTTTTTCATCATTAATTGCACTTGGTCCATTGATAGACTTTTTAAAGTGTCACTACTACTGTTCCTCATCCACGAGTGTTTTTGTCAGAATTTTTCATAACAAGTTTTCTTCTGACGTCTTTCTCAAGTTCGATGAGCTTTGAATAGAGGACCTCAGACATTTCTTCATCTATGTCCATCTGAAACATAAACAGAGAACAGTAAATACAATAACCCCAGCAAAAGACCACAATTTATAGTTTTAAAGTGAAAGTTATGAGAGTTTTTTTCTATGCAGTTCACATGCATCTAAACTGATCCCAGTCTCTGTTTTGGATTGTTGAATTTCTGATCTAAAGTGTTCAGACAGAAGGTGAAGTTTACTACTTATTAATCAACAGGAGCCTTTATGAGCATTTGTCAAACTGAGAATATCCAGTTGAAACCAGAAGTTTACATACACTATATAAAAAGGCACGTAACCCTTTTTTTCTCACTGTCTAACATTAATCAGATTAAACTTTTCCTGTTTTTGGTCAGTTAGGATTACCAAAACTATTTTTATATGCTAAATGCCAAAATAATGAGAGAGATAATTTTTTAGACAATTTTTTATTACTTTCTCGAGAGTCAAAAGTTTACACACATTTCATTAGTATTTGGTAGCTGCCTTTTAATCGTATGACTTGGGTCAAATGTTTTGGATATGCTTCCACAAGCTTCTCACAATAGTTTGCAGGAATTTTGGCCCTTTTCTCCTGACAGAACTGGTGTAGCTGAGCCAAGTTTGTAGGCCGCCTTGCTTGCACATGACTTTTCAGTTCTGCCCATATATTTTCAATAGGATTGAAATCAGGACTTTGTAATGGCCACTTCAAAATATTGACTTTGTTATCCTTACGCCACTTTGTAACCAGTTTGGCAGTATGCTTAGGATCATTGTCCATTTGGAAAACCCATTTGTGCCCAAGCTTTAACTTCCTGGCTGATGTCTTGAGATGTTGCTTCAGTATTTCCACATAATGTTCTTTCCTCGTGATGCCATCTATTTTGTGAAGTGCACCAGTCCCTCCTGCTGCCAAACAACCCCACAACATGATGCTGCCACCCCCATATTTGACAGTTGGGATGGTGTTTTCAGGCTTGCAAGCTTCCCCTTTTTTCCTCCAAATGTAACAATGGTCATTATGGCCAAAAAGTTCCATTTCAATTTCATCAGACCACAGGACATATCTCCAGAAATTCAGGTCTTTGTCCCTGTGTGCATTTGCAAACTGTAATCTGGCTTTTAAGGTTCCGTTCTTCCTGGAAGAGTGGCCTTTCAGCCCATGTCGGTACAGGACTTGTTTCACTGTTGATAATGACACAGTCTAACCAGCTTTAGCCAGCATCTTAACAAGGGCTTCTGCTGTTGTTCTTGGGTTGATATTCACATTTCGGCTCAAAGCATGTTCATCTCTGGGACACGGAACCTGTCTCCTCCCTGAGCGGAATGATGTCTGGACATTCCCATCGTGTTTATACTTGCGTATAATTGTTTGAATGGATGAACGTGGCACCTTCAGGCATCTGGAAATTGCACTCAAGGATGAACCAGACTTGTGTAGGTCCACAATTCTCTTCATGATATCTTGGCAGATTTCTTTTGATTTTTCCCATGATGTTATACAAGGAAGCAGTGTGTTTCAGGTGTGCCCTAAAATACATCCACAGGTGTGTCTCTAATTAACTCAAATATTGTCAATAAACCTATCAGAGGCTTCAAAAGACATGATATCACCATCTGGAATTTCCCATATTGTTTAAAGGCATAGTCATCTTAGTGTATGTAAACTTTAGACTCTCGAGAAAACAATAAAAAATTGTCTAAAAAATTCTGTCTCTCATGATTTTGGCATTTAGCAAATAAAAATAATTTTGGTAATTCTAATTGACCAAAAACAGGAAAACCTTAATCTGATTTAATGTTAGACGGTGAGAAAAAAAAGGTTATGTACCTTTTTATATAGTGTATGTAAACTTCTGGTTTCAACTGTACCTGGCAAACTGAACAGGCTTCAGTGTGTTTTGTATAAATCACCATGTGCAATGAGTGTTGTACTCCCACCAGAGGCACAAAATAAAATAAGTTTAATGAAAATCAAAACTTTTACAGTTGTTAAACCCAACCACAAAAATCACTTCAACAAAATTGAAAAAAGAAGATCCAAGTTTTGTTGTTTAATATTCTAGTCTTTCATGGACCTCTCAGTTCTTTTTTTTATTTTGCCCTTGGTCTGAGCACATAGTGAAATTTGGTACAATGTCAGTCACTGATCTTTGTTTACTCACTTGTCGAGGCTGAGTGTAGTTTGTGCCGAGCCCTGAAGTTAAACTGTGATACTTTGCTCTGGGATCCAGAGACTCTGGACTTTGAAGGAACAAGCGGTGCTGTGACAGTAGATAAGGAGTTAACTTTTACATAACAGACATGACTTTTTAAAATATCTAAACATGGACAATGACAGACAGGGCTAACTACATACCAAAGCCTCAGCTCCGTTGTAGGGTGTGAGGGTGAATGTGTTGGTGAAGATCCTAACCTGTGTAGCGGAATCAGAAAAAAATAATCAGCTGTTCAGTTCATTCACTGTGTCTGAGTAGAAAACTCCAGTCTCATTCACAAGTATGAGAAGAAGGAAAACTACCAGCCACATGATGGGCATGATGAGGGTCCAGAAGAAGGAGGGGAGGATACCGTAGGTCAGGTTAGTCATCACCAGTCCTGGACAGATTACAGAGGAAAACAGGCCCTGTTACAGAGGGAAGGAAGCAAAAATAAAGTAAACAGGTGTTTTACACAATGCTACTCAAGTGCTATGATAGAGGGAGTTATTTTTAAACAAGTTAGAGTTCATCCGAGTAAAACCACATCAGGTCGGACCTGAATTTGCATCCATTGCAGAACAACTAAGTCATGAAATACCTGTGCACTTCTCACAATCTCGTCTCCTTTGCCACCTCTTTAAAGTAAAAAGAGGAGTCTCTACACTCTACATGTGCAGGTTCTCTTAAACAGGTGAATAAGCCTATGGATAAACTATGTAAAGACTCAAGTCAAATTCACAGCAGCCTCAGTGATGTGCAGGTTGTGCGACATACACACCTGGCTGTTTTTGTGTCTGTTGAGTGCCACACTGAGCATGTCTGATGCATACTTGGAGGAGCTGTAGGGCTCTGTCCCATTTCTGTGCTGCATGTCCTCCATGCTGAAGGCAGAGCGGCGTGCATTACTGGAAGAGGTCCACACCACCCTGGAGGAGTGACCTGCCTGACACAGCAGAGGCTCCAGTTCCCTGATCTACACCACAGAGACAGGGACATCAACAGACAGATATGATCTGATAACAGTACAGAGATAGCAGCCTGACCAGGGACACAATCACAAGAATTTAAGTACAACACAGAACCATCTTATTAAGCCTTGTAAGACACCACATGTAAAGATTACCATCTGTCAATCTAAATTTAAAGAGAAACATTTTTATTCTCATTGATGAAAGTTTGCATTGCTTTTTTATGCACACTTTCCTGATTTCAATGCATGAAGTTACTCAAAAGATGATATCAGGTCATATCCATGCCATGTTTTACCACAACAAAATATCATGTGATTTGCAAATGCATCCAAATGGGAAATGACATCGTATAGTACATACACCTAGTTGCAACAACATGTAAAGCTGAGGCTCATTAATAAACTTTTCCAAAAAAAACAAAATAAATGTGTTCTCAAATATATATCTAATTTAAAGTAAATAAACAATTTGTGTTGTACCAGTAGAAAGTGGCCAAACAGGTTAGTGGCAAAAACTTCCTGCAAACCATCTGAGTTGATTCGGTCCTGTTGAGTCAAAAGTCCCTCTCCTGTCGCGAACATGTTGACCACATTCCTGCAGAGAGACAGGACACTGCTGTTACATTACAGCATGGACACTGGAGTACTTGTAAAGCCACCAAAATTTGACCAATAACAAAAATCAAAATGATGAGGAGACACTGAGGGAAGTGGGTAGGCAAGTAGAGAAACAAGACCATAGATTTACCTGGAGAACAGACCCTTGAAAAAAGCATTGATGTCCACCTGTGGATTGGGCATAATTCCTGCATTTAAATACAGGAAGTCTACTTTGCTGTACCTGTGGAAAATACAAAGGAATGTCAAAGTGTAATTAGATAAGTGAGGTTATTAGTAAGCTGCTGAGAGCAGGGAGCTGTAACATTAGTCTCACAACAGTGTCATGACATAATTTAATCATATCATCAGTACCTGGTCTTGACCTCTTGAGCAGCACTTAGCACTGATTGCACAGAGCCCACATCCAAGTGCAGTAGCTGCACATGGGCATCAGGGTGAGAGGTCAGGAGGGCAGAGCGAGCAGCCTCGGCCCGCTGCATGTTTCTGCAGGCCAGACACAGGTGAAGAGTGCTGTCCTCAGTTAGCAGCCTCTCACACAGAGCCAGGCCAATACCGCTGTAGACGAGACAGACAATCACAGACAAGCCAACACATGTAGGGGAGAGTGGGGTAAGATGAGCCATTTTTCATATTCTGGATCATTACATCAAGTCAATCATAGTTTTGTCTCTAACTAGTGTATCTGCATATATTTCAAGATGTTGTGAATCCCTGCAAACCAACAGAATGAGTGTAAACATAACTGTCTTGTTAATATAGCATGCCAAAAAGTGGTCTCCTATGGTCAACTTACCCCGAGTATGGAATAAATTGACCATAGTAGCAGGGTAAGTCGAGCCATATCCCTACTACTCCCCACTCTCCACTCCAGCCCTCCTTTACTTTTTCTCTCCCTAAATAACAGTCACTTCTTCACATCCATGTGTATTTTTATCTATTATATGCTATTCAACAGGTACAATAATTCTTTTTATTATTATTGCATATAACTGCTAAAAAGCTGTTTTGTAAAAAGCCATTTTAACATGAGTATGTGATTCAGAACATTCACAGCTGTATTCATGAAAAGAAAGGAGTAACACATTTCAACAATCTGAACTGAAACTCTGATCCTCTCATCAGACTCCTTTACTTTCTTACCCCAGAACTACTATTATGACTTAATTAGTCCTCTAAGCTAAAATGGTGGACTTTTATGTTAGGTTTTTGACCTCATGTTATAGCTCATAGATTCCACAATTGATGTATAAAACAAATTTAAAATGATCTTTTTTGGTCTGAACACAACTCTAATAAAACTTATGACAGACTAAATTCACTTTCAAGAGTGAATAATTTTTTTTTTGTAAATAAATGTCTAACCCCTTCACCCATGTGCTTCTAACCTTTACAGACTCCATGAATTGATGCCCATCTCCTAAATATTTAGTCACATGATCAATTTCTTTTACCATTTCCAAGAAACAGGGGGTGGATCAACTTACCCCACTCTGCCCTATGTGACCGGTAATTCCTACTGTGCAACCAACCTCATAAAATAAAATAAAACGAACAAATACACTAACAGCGATTTTCAACTGTCAATATTCAATTATGGTCGACATTATACCTGCAGGAACACTACAGATGATTTCCAAGTTTTGGGTGTTTACATCTCGCCATAAGTGTTTTTGTCCCAACGAGTCTTGATGAACTATTAAAAATGCGTATTCGTGTACTTCTATATAAAGTCTTTGGTACTTACCTATTAGCGCCGGTTACTATGACAACTTTCTCCATGTCTGACAGGAGCTAGTAGTTGCTGTAAATGTAAGAAGGACCGGTACAGAAGTCACAAATCAGATATGAGTTCCCTCTCACCAGAAATGCACAACCCATCGTCTCATCCTCCATGGAAACATCAGCCTATGTGCTCGAGCTAAGGCGTGGTGTGATTGGATGTCAGCAAACAGCTGACCAATCAGATTCCTGTACGGAAAGCGACGAGGGAGGATCTTAGAGGAGCGCAGCGATTTAAAGAGACGACTCTCAAAGGTCTCACATATGATTATATGGATATCAAAGTCTGTCGTAATTAACACACGGTTGGTGTTTAATACTCCTTTTGTATAAAGGCTAATTTTGAATAAGGAGAACATGTGTAAGCTGCCAAACGATAAGAAGGAAATCAAGAATTTTCTAAGGTTTTTTGTTCAGCAGCAAATGATTGCAGTTCAACTTTCCTTTACTATCAAAAATCTTTGGTATGACAAATTAAATAAACAACAACTAAAATTTTACAACTTCTATTTATTAATGCAAAAGACAAAGACGTTAAAACTATGCTGTGACTGTTAAATATATTTGACAGCAATTGAAAAAGCAGCATTTTGACATAAATTTCACTGCAAAAGGACACAAAAATGTCAACAAAGTATGCAGTCAGTGTTGAATTTTCTTTATTTACAAGAATATTTGGTCTGAGAGACATGAAAAGAGACAGCGTAGTAATATAGCTTTTATTATTCATCTAAGAGACATAAAATGGTTTCTAAAAATATGCCCCAAGGATTGACAGAAATTTATTTGGTTTGACATATATTAAAAAAAGCAACTATTAAATATTCTTACTTATATACAAAAAATGGATTCCTGACACTCATAACATTCACTTTTGAAATCATGGCTTTTGATGATAATAAGGGCTCTTTGGTGTGACTCTTATTAAAAAGGTGACTACTTATAAATATGCAGTCAATACATATTTTAAACTGTATACAAACATGTTAAACTGTATTTTCAACTATAACTTGCTTCACTTTGTACATATTTGATAAAACAATATAAGGCTCTTCTGTATCTGCAAAATGAATAAAACATTTGAGGAAAGACAGTGATTTTGAATTTTTCATCAACAACAAGAGTCTTTGGTTAGAAAACTATCCAAAAGTCATAAACTCTATGACAGCTACAGACAATGACCACTTCATGTATATATATCTGCAAAAGGACATTAATATATTAATCAGAGTGAAAACAGCTTTCTTTTTAAAATGACTGTCATTCTTCATATTAACGTTTAACAAATACATACAAAATTCATAGAAAACAAAACTGTATTGACATTCACTATGCACTAGATGGAGATTAATGCGTAAAACATTAATCTTAATCTTAATCTTGAAACTTAAGAATTGGCATTAAGTACTCCATAAATAGACATGATACAGGGAATAAAAAGAATTAAATAAATACACAGAGATGTTAAGAGTACTAGATTGCATAATATCTACTATAAGAGTTAAAGCTCCATTCAAGTGTACAACATCCCTTCATACTTTACTATTTACAGCATCATAGCAGTAAAAAAAAGCAAAAAACTTTTGAAAACTGTCATTGTTGGTTTCTGACTCCATATAAATCCAGACTGAGGAGAGAAAATGTGGCAGTGCAGGGCAGAGAGAGACGATCTGTCCCGACTGCTATGCCAGACTCTCCATCAAGTGAGCGTGAATCTCCTGAAAACTCGGCCTCTGTTTGGCATTCCTCCTCCAGCAGCTCAGCATCAGATCATTGTAGACTGAATCAGGACAGTACGGGGGCTTGGGCAGGTACACCTGAGGGATACATTATGAAATTAGTGTAGGTCCGGGGTCGGCATAAGTAAATACACTACTCAAGCAAATGTACAAAGGAAGACTGGTGAAAGTAGACATGCTGATTCTTCTTCTGATCGACATACTGTATCTATAGACTGTTTCTGTGCAAAGTTGGCTGAACTTCATGGCCTGTTTGTGTGTCTTTAACTAAAAAAAGTGTGTAACTCATGCAACTTTGGTAACTTTGCCGTAATGTATAAATCAAGACACTAGTGTTAATGTTCTTAATTTTTCTGAGGAAACTTGCCCAAAAGAATCAATAAGTTCTATCTAATCAAAATGAATCTAATAAAAGGCATTAAGCAGTATTTCATTTCATAAATGCATAGAAAATGCAGGACTAGTTTGTATGTTTCCCACAAGGAAACAGTCACTAACAATAACTAAGACCATAAACAGATTAGACTCGACGCTTAAACCTGTGTGCTGCTCACCTGTTTGCCCTGGTCCCTGAAGAACTCTCCTGTGTTTTCAATCACCTGTTCATCAGAGAGCTGTGAGTATGGCTGCTCCTTACACAGAGTCAGGATCTCCCACAGAGTCACCCCGAACGCCCACACATCACTGGCCATGGTGAATTTACCCTAAGAAAACAGGCAATGTGAAATTCATATGTAATTTGACATACGCTTAACATGGTGGCTGTACAAGTGGTTCAAACACATTGTTTTCCAAATTTCATTTTATTTTTCTTTCTCTTTAGGGGAGGCTGATTTAGAGGTCATTTAGGGTAAGTGAATGAGTCTGAGGACATGTGTTGGCTCAGGCCTCCTTTTGGATTTATCTGTCTGTGCATCACAGCTCATATTTTATATACTTCCTTAAAATGAACACACATGGTAAAGCATGTACAGTACTCACCAGCAGGATGCTCTCCCATGACATCCAGCGAATAGGCAGCACGGCCCGGCCCTGGATCCTGTAATAATCTCCTCTGTAAAGGTTTCTGCTCATACCAAAGTCAGCGATCTTTATGGTGAAGTTTTTACCCACAAGGCAGTTTCGTGTTGCCAGATCACGGTGGACAAAGTTCAGAGATGACAAGTACTTCATACCTGATGCAATCTGTACAGCCATGCCAATAAGTTTGCTGAAAGAGAAGGTATAGGTTGGTATTTCATTCAGTTATGGTTTTACAAATTAGGGATATTTGCAGCTCAAAAAAAGACACATACACTTTGTAAATTACAAGTTTGATTAATATCCTTCTGTTTAGAAATAGAAGTGTGCCACTTATACATGGAAAAGGTGACTAAAATCATGATTTTAAAAACATACATTTCATAATTAAAGGTGTTCTTAACTCAAGAAAATAAGCACAATACAAGAGATGATGTGATTCATACTTGACTGTGCATATCTCACATAATTAACACCACACATCCCTCCTGAATCATTTTACAAGCTTCAAGAGGCTAAGGAACGAGTGCTATTCTCAACAATGCTCTGAAACCCTCAAACACCTTAAAGAATCTGTTCAAGTGGGTGTAAATGTGGTTTTAACAAGATACTCTTCTACCATTTTCTTCTAATGGAGCAGGTAGCTTTCTCAAATTTTGTTCCCACTACAAGATAAATGATTTCTTGAGATGTCATAATTTAGCTCCCAAGGCAACAGCACAAAGCTCTAAAGCCTGCGGGAAATTGTGTGATTTACTCCAAAGAATAAAAAATACCTTCATAATGACTCAATTTTCTGACACAAAAGGTACACAATCATTTTACATTTGCACCTTATTTATCAAGGGATGCAACCAATATCGCCCTGAGCAGCCGAAGAAAAGCAAACTTATGAATAAATAAAGTACAGCATGGAGTCTGTGATTTTGAATTTGTTATGTCTCCATATCCCTGCTGCATTATTCAATACAGGAGAGATACAAGCAGTTTATTAAAATTGCAATATCTTTTCCCCTAACATAATGTTTACTCTACATATTTCCTCTCAGTGTCAGTCTAATGTGAGTCTGTGGGCCTACCTGACCATGCTCTTTCCTTCTTTCTCCTCTTGTTCTGTCTTATTGTCCTCTTGAAACTGTTTACGTCTCAGGCTGCACAGGAACTGGTTCAGGTCTCCATTCTCCATGTACTCAGTGATCATACACAGCGGGTCTGTGTCCACACACACCGCCAGCAGACGCACAATATTGGGGTCCCTCAGACGAGACATAATGCGTATCTCTTTCAGGAAGTCATTCCTGCAGGTGACAAACATCCATGACGGAATAGTTATCCAGTTTAATTATAACAATCTTGACTTGTGCACTCTTTGCCTTTTTTCATTATTGAAAACTGAGAAAAGAAACATTTTGGTTCACCTTGCATTTTTGTTGGCATCCTCCCGCAGTGTTTTCACGGCCACCAGCAGAGGTGAGTCTGAGTTTTCATCAACAGCCAAATCTTCGTCCAAAAAGTCCTGCATGCCCTCTGCCTCACACAAGTGTACCTGTTTGAAAAAGTACTTTTTTAGCCCATTATACACTTGGCAGCACATGGAGCCATCTGTTTAGCTCAGTTTAATACCACAAAGTGAAACCAATTTGTCATCATTCACTCGTATTTTTACTGCAGCCATAAATACAGAGCTATCATTCAGTTTTCAAATTAAAACCCCCAAAGTTACATCAACAAAACACTCTTGGAAAGAGCCCAATGGTGCATAAGTGTATTTTTTTAAACTACTAAATCATTGCCAGCAAACATTAGAGGTACCAAAGTGCACTCACTTCTCCAAACTGGCCCTCTCCCAGCTTCTCCTTGAAGGTGAGCTTGTGTCTGGGAAACTCTCTCATGGAAGATTCGGTGCCAGCAAACAGATTCATGCTGACAGCTGTGGTGGAGTTTGTGCCGCTATCTGAAGCCTCCTGCAGGCTGATGATGTCCGCCTCTGCATAATGAGGAGCTCCGTCTGAAACAGTGGCTGGAAGAGCTTTACTGGAGGAGCCTGAGTCTATCATGGAAACACACACAAAGGCACTTAATCTCAACAGCTGCAGCTTTATAGCCACAACTACAGTTTGATTTGTTTCAGTTTTTACCAAGGTGATCTGTGGACTGAGCAAACTCAGGTAGTTTCCGGATGAGGCGTGAAGGCTCCTGGTAGTCTGCACAGAGGGGAAAGATTCTCTCATAGGTAGAGTTGGAGGTGGAGCCACCCTCACTGGTCAGAGAGGAGTGTTGGGAGGAGAAAGCCTGAGTCTGGACCGCAAGGCGAGCTGTCAGCTCATCATCCAGCATCCGACGAGAGGCCTGTTAAAAATAAAACATGTGAAAGGATAAGATTTGGCATCTGATGTGTGTTTTATGACAGTTGTCTCTAGAAATACCCACCCCAATATTCCACTCATTTAATGTTTATGAGGTCTTCATAAAGGCTGAACACAAAACAGGTGATGTATGAGCTCTCACACTATCAGGGTATCATAGGATGCAAAATTATCAATTATCTACTACCTCTTTATATATATATAAAAAAACTAAAAGTCAGTTTTATGCTCAATCTCACTCAGATCATGAAAGTGATTCAATGCATTCAAAATGAAATGTTTTATTTTAATAAACTTTTTTCTTGCTATCACTCCCTTTAGGAGACTTTTTAATATCAATCAGCTGTTCTTTATTTCGTGAACTAGTCCATTTCGCATCATAAAGCTTTCCCCTATAACGACAAAGCCATTCACAGTCCCGCCTCCTCAATGATAGGTCTTCTCTGGCACGGAAATAAAACCTGATAGGAACTGTCTTTAATTTATGAATTAGTCTGCCTATGTATCAGAAACAAGTGAAAAAATTATGTTCCTAAGTATTTTCTTTAGGTTTGTTCAATATTATTTTGATTTTTCTCTTATGAACAAATTTCACAGTTAGCCACTAGGGGGCTCTATGTGTTTGTTTTACAGTACTGTCTTTTTGTTTTTGGTCGTGTAACCCTGATATCTACATGGTTTTTGTTGAAACATTTTTCACACATAATCATGTGTATTTAACACAGCTTTGACTGCCTATTTATGCACAGGGCAAACCTGAGGATGCTACAAGCCATTTCAGTGTGGGGCAGTCCATTTCTGTGTGTGTGTTCCTTCAACTGACCAGCACCCGAGTATGTGAATAGTCCTGTTTACCGCTTAGTTTTCACTTTTTTAAAATTGATATTTAATCTTCAGCCCTTACATGACTGAATTCCTTTTCTCTTTATTTAGTAACTCAGTAATTGAGTCTGAATCAAAGGGAATATAAGGCCTTGAAAATGTCATCCACAAGTATTGACAAAGGGGGAATCATACAACTACAACAGAACCAACACAAGCACTTTCTTCTCACCTTCTCTAGCATCTTTTGCCACACCTGCCTCCACAGGATGATGACTATGATGGTCAGAAGGATGGCGATGATGGCCACCAAGCAGCCAATCAGGATCCTGGTGTTGCTGTCATCCACCTTGTGAGTCGGATCATCTGCTGACCAAATGGACAGATGAGAGTTTTGGTGGATTAAATTTAATCCGACACAGTTCAAGATCTTTTTATAGTATATTTCTTGTTTAATCCCCCTCATGCTTTATCGCAGAAAGTGCCGGTAGAGAGAGAAAAATTACAGTGTGAGATCATTTTGTTTCTAACAGCAGGGGGCAGTGTTATACTGACCAAAAGCTGATATAAACAACCTTTAAATGTGCAGGAGTCAAAACCTGGCCTGTGAGATTACATATTAAAGAGGTCAGATTTTACATATTTAGGTATTTTATCTGTATATAAAAAAGAAGCTTTTTTTTAATGATTCTTCTTTATCCCCTTCCTTTTAACAGCCTGGGTCAAAAACTCAAAGGATTAATAGTTTGCTTAATCTTAAACATCACTGAAAACAGAGCAAACAGGAAGACTGACACATTTTAATGTTGAAAAAACCTGAAATTTTACTGATAACCAAACATGCATTTACTTTGTATGCCTTTTTCAATGACAAGCAAGGTTATAGAAAAGAAATACATTTTCATATCTCTTGTGAGGGGTTTTTCAGAGGACATGAAACAGACTATAATGAACAGTGTTATGTTTCTATAACTTACAAAAGCAAATGAGATACCTGATGACATGATTCACAGTTTCTATATTATGATCTCAGTGTTGTAAAGAGGTATGCTGGAAAAACAGCCTCAGTCATTTTCCCACAGCAAATATTCACCAAGATGAGATGTAATCAGCAATGATTTAAAAGCTATCACTTTCTCCGGAGGAGGAGGCTGCAAAGTCAACACAAACAGAAAGGTTCTCATGGGAGCTTTAGATATTTCTCAGATGTTATTTTCAATTTTAGGAAAGCAAAAATGTTTGAAGAGCTAGAGTCATGGGTTTAAGGTCAGGCCAACACCGTCACCATTTATGATTAATACACTTTTACTCACTTGATGACTTGAATGAAGTTTTAAAAAAATAATAATAGTTAGGATGGACTAGATATTTGTGTTTTCTTGCCACATTACCTTCAGGCAGACTCCACACATGATCACAACTGATGACAGATTTCTCAGTTTTGGTGGTGAACACTTTGCACCACACACACACACACAAAGACTCTTTTCCCCAGCAACCAGAGTCCCAGCTCTTAAAACAAGATATCTCGTTTATCTTGCTGGTATGTGCACTGAAGAATCGGTTTCTTTTTAATGCCTCTTCTGTCATTTCGGTTGCAGTATGTTTTTCTGGACAAAGACTTGAGTTGTTGCCATGCAGCAACAAATGGGTATGATATGATATCTGATATGATATGATACAGTAAGTACTCAAGTGCTGCACCATTATACCAATGCAGAAATCAACTGGTCAAATCATTCTTGTGGTGTGTTTACTGCTTTACTTTGTTGACTTAAGACAAAGATGGAAAAAATGAAAACGGTGTTTAAGTGCTGACCTGGTAGTGTGTTTGTTGGGTGTCCATGTTTGCGAGGAGTCAAAGAATTGTTGTAGACTGCTGAGCCTAAAAGAGAAGAATAAGAAGTCAAAGAGGAGATAGCTACTTGATGAGTGAAGAAAACTTTGATCCCTTCTACCTGACTGAAAGGCGATCTCACTGAACAGCATCCACATGTCACTGAAGTGGAAACGGCACTTGATGGCGCTGGCTGTGCGGTCCCCAAGCGGCACGGTGACAAAACGGGCGCTCTGGCTCACACGGTCCACAGAGGGCCTGAAAGTCACAGGTTCAGCCTCCCAGTCTGATCCTGAGCGGAAGTAACAGCCAGCCTGTCTGAACATCCGAACCCCTCTGCTGAACATGTTGTTACAGTGAACCTGAGGAGGTGGAGTTTGAATCTGTTAGCCAAAGCACACAAATTCACTAAACAAGGATCTGCAAATATTCAACCATCCCGCAAAAATCTAAAGGGAAAAAAAGTGCTTTTCTTCTTTGTCTCTATTTGATGAGTGTATCTGTGATGGAGAAGAGTCAGAGGATAGTGCAGGAGCAGGTGTAGTGATGACTAATCTGTTTTGCTGTGCTGTACCTAAAAAAATCTGTCATGTCTGGACACAACTCCTACCCATCCTCTGACAAATGGTCTCATTATACAGGGCTACTTTGCATCATTTCATATATTTTATGTCTCAATAAAAAAATCACAGCAGCTACAGGAGATGGATGCTTGCCCAACGTTGTGCAGCACGACTCATTTTGCAGCAGTGTCACCTCAGCATATTCTGTAATAATTCAATTTTGTAACATCTAGCTGTTTGGTGTGCGACTCTAAAAGTCTACCCAGAGTTTCACCTTCATGGAAGTGAAGTTTCGCACATGGTCAAACTCAAAGATCATCTCCACATAGCCTTTGGGGAAGCTCCTGTTACTCCAGCCAACAAAGTCATAGCCGGGCCACATGCCGTACATGTGGCTGTGGAGGAAATCATCGAGACCCCAGGTACCATCTGTCAGCTGACCCAGTCCTTTTGTTAGTCTAGATAAGGGATGAATAGAAAAACAGTAGACAGTGTTAGAAGTTAAAATCTTGTCTGTTAATGAGGAAATACTCTTTGAAATGTGGAGAAAATTCAGGTCCATTTTTTAGAGAATCATAACAAGCAAAAATGATTGAGATAGCTGTTATTACAGAGTTTTTATGAAGCAGTAAAATCCAGACCTTTCAGCAGACGCTCCATCATAAACTGAGTCATTAAAATAGACATCCAGGCCTCTGTAGATCATTTGGTGCCCATCTGGGATACTGTAGGACATCAGACCATCTACAAAGAACAGGTCAAAGGTCAGAGGTTAGAAAAATATAGTAATTATATAAATTAAGTCAGTTCAGTTTAAACTTTATTACAGGCTCAAAGCCAAGATAGAAGAGACAAGATTACATGGAGTAAATGACAGACAAAAGGACTGTATCACTTCATGGTTTAAAGTGGGATAATTATGGGGTATAATGCACAGTGAATAGGTTATTATAGCAGATATACCTCACTATATACACCTGCTTTTTCTATCTAATCCTGACATTTACATGGTTACTCAAGGAATCAATAATTTAACACAAAATGCTGATTTAAAAGGACTAACTTTTCTCCTATAAAAACACTCTGTTACACTCACAGTTTGAGCTGTTTCAGAAGTAACCCTGAACTCGGCAGGCGTCTTAAAATGAGCTTGCTCCGCTGTTATTAGTCACACCAAAGGGAACATTTCCACTGATGCTGGAGTTAAACAAGGTGAACAGGGCTGAATCAGCGCAGCATCTGACTGAGTTTTTCTGCCTCCTGTCTGTCAGAGTCTGTGATGTTTTCTATTCATCAGTTTTTAAACACAGTTGAGTTCTTGTTGACATTTACCTTGTGTGCATATTGTAAATTTCTCTTTTATAGCCTACAGTTTTTCTAGGAATAGCAGACTTTTTCCTGACTGGCCTAACAGAATCAAGTCAGAAAGACAGCCATATGTAAGTACACGTCTCACAAAGTCCTCAAAACCAGGATTTGATGCCATTTTGATGCCGTTTGTTATAAACTTTTGCATAATTTAGCTGACTGTGTATTTTCCTTAATTTTCATCATGTCTTATGGGCAGTGTCATGACCATATACTGTACTATATACTATGGACACATTGGTTCCGCCTTCCACCAGTATATGGATTTGAAGTTAAAAAGCTCTCTGTATTTTTTTCTCTTCCTGAAACCAACATTGCGCAGTAGCATTGTACGCATTTGGCGGAAGAGTCGCCGAGACTCGCTGTGATGACACTCGGCTCAAACAGCGTATCCCCTGGGTGAGCTACGCAATCTTTGTACGCCCATAGGCTGTATCAAGTGTCAATAATAGAAAACATGAACCCCCCTAATAACTTTGACATATGACATATTACACTAGATGTTTGATACAACCAAGATAATTATATCCCATTATCAGTCATGTAAAGTAACCAAGTTTAGTCTTCATCATATTTGGTGATCAAGACAGCACTCATACTGGAAGTGTATGTGATATGATCAATGAAAGTGAATAAGATTTTTCTATTTACACCTAAAAGTAAAAAAAAAAAATCAACCTAAACTAGCATTTTAAGAAATAAACAGACAAACTAACCAAGCCATTCACAGCCGTAGAGCTCCACTCTCATACACACGATCATGGAGTGATCTGTCACAGGCATGAAGCGCACAAAGCGAGCTATGATAGGAGGCTCCAGATCCTTCAGAACCACATCGTATGCATTCCTGTTCCCCTCAATCACCTGGCAGAGGAGAGGCAGGGAGCACAGAGAGGATTGGGAGAGAGAGTGAGACGTGTCAGGGATAAAAATGAAAGCATACAAACAGTCTTGACGTGCTAATAATGTTTGATTCCTCAAGGAAATCTGTGTTGTAGTGAAACTATACTGCTGTATATTAAGTTGATGTGTGCTCCACAGCATTTAGTGAAAAACTGTGATTGACAAATGGCTTTGTTTTGGAAAATCCCAGAAAAATTTGTGTCATTTATCTCTTGCCTGCTTTAATGTGAGTTTTACCTAACTGATGACACCTAAAACTATCTGCTGTTATCTTATGATCCCACATCCTGACATCTCTCAGCAGCGACAAGGGAAGTCTTCACATCAGATGGTTTGATAAATAAATACTTTGCTGCAAAATCCTCTCAATCCCACAAGACCTCATATGAAAATACCAAGCTTTACGTTAGAAGTAAACTATGTTGCCGTCTACAGCTCATTTTCTATTCATGTCAGTTTTACTAAGGATTCATTTTCATATCACTCACCCGTTTCAATGAAATTCAGTCTGAAAGTTTTGCATCATTTGTGTCAGTGCCTGAATCACAGGTGAGTGTTTCTGCTGGCTGTCTGATAGGTGTCAGCTCATCAGTGCCACTCAACCTGACACCTCAGCTGTGTTTCTGTTGTTGGTGCCTTTTTAGGCGGAACAGCCTGTTGAACAGTTTATTGAACTCTAAAGCTTCCCAAAAACACAAGTACTCCAGTAATTACAGCGGGTCAAATTCTAGTGCTGTTTTGTGTAAACGATAGTGCTAATCAGCAGGTATCAGTGTTTGCTTTACTCGAACTTCTCTTGTCAGCTTGTTCAGTGTTTCTGTGAAATGGTTTGCTTGTGTCAGCCTATACAAAGGATTGAAACTTTTTTCTCGGCTTTACCCAGGGATTATTGTGATGTAGAGTGTTTTTGACATCCCCCACTGGTTTTTGAAGAGTAATAAAGCTCAACAAAACAGTTGCAGGTGACATGATGCTATCTCAACCTTACCATTGATCTACCCCAAAAAAGAGCTGGCACTGTGGTGGGCCTTAATGCCGAGGTCAGACAACACAATTTAAGCGCGATTACAGCTTGATCCAGCAGGTGTAGAGTGTCTGGACCCACTAATCTTGTGAAGTAAAGACGATCAATGGGGAAATCAATCACATTTGCAATGCTTCTTGACCACCTCACTATAAGTTAAATTTTTCTCTCTGCTTTTCACTATTTGTCGTGCCAAAAAGTCAACAAAAGACCAGGGGGGACTGCGCTTTTTCAGTGGTAGCTCCTAAGCTATGGAATTACCTACCCACCCATATCAAAATGGCCCCTACCCTGGATACTTTTAAATCTCAATAAATAATAATTTTACTCCTTGGCTTTTAGAGTGCATTAGAGTTGTGTGGTCTCTGTCTTTTATTATTATAATATATATTTTTTTCCTTTTGCTTTTATGTACTCTAAATTTACTGTATTTTAACTTTATTTGAATTCATTTTATCTTTTTTATATTTTATCTGTTGTGGAGCACTTTGGTAACCTTGTTGTTTTTAAAAGGCTATACAAATTAAGGTGAATTGGATTGGATTGGATTGAATTGTTTACGTGACATCACAGTTGTTGACCAATGAGAGCACGGGGCACTCTGCAGACGCAAGAGTGAAGAGTAAAAAAAATAATGACAAAGCAAATGCAGAATGATAAAGATGATGTGGAAAATGTAAGTAGGTCAAAGGATAAGTTTGTCAAGCTCTGGCAACAACATCCCTGAGTAAATGCAGTCCTGTTATGGTATGACCATGACAGGCTGAAAAAACAAACATAGACGAGAAATAGCAGACGCTGTTGTGCAACCCTGTGACTAAACACTGTCAGCAATTAGTCCAACCCCTTTGGCTTCAAATGGCCTCATGATGGTCACAATTATCATGTGAAGTCTGTCAGTCAACCAACCCAACACCAAAAATGAGAATTTTTTGCCTGGGTCTATGTCGTGGCTGTGATAGGTTCGTGACCTGTCTAGGGTGTATCCCACTTCTCAGCCAATGGCAGGTGGGATGGGCCCTAATCAGAGTTTGCCACTCTTCTACAAGGCCAAAGTTGCCAATCACTATACTGACCAGCAAAAACATGTTCAGGCTGTAGCCTTGCCACCTGCCTACAACATTCCCTGATTATGCACAACCATAAACTGTATATACTATGGACAACTTGGTTCCGCCTTCTGCCAGTATACAGATTTAGGCCAAAAAGCTCTCAGTAATTCTGTGTCTTCTCTCAACTTCCCGAAACCAACATTGTGCAGAAGGGTTGCATGCACTCCACCACTTGTGCAATAGCGTTGTAATTATTCGGCGGGAGAGCCGCTGTGATGACACTCGGCTTAACTAGTGTATCCCCCTGGGTGAGCCACGCATCTTCGTACGCCCGTAGGCAGTATCAAGTGTCAATCATAGAAAACATGAACCCCCTAATAACTTTAAAAAATGGAGCTGCACAGAAAAAAGAGGACTTGAGCACAAACCAGTCTGACAGTATGTCAACATCACAACCGGGGGGTGGAGAAAAATTCATATTCTGTGTGATAAATGTCTAAAGTTTGTCCACAGCTCCATAAGGGATGGCTGGAGGAGGCGGGATTTATGACCTATACTGCAGCCCGTCAACAGAGGATGCTGTTCTCAGGATGGCTTTAGCCAGTGAGGAGGCAGACGGCGTCCATTCTATATCCAGTCTATGAGCACAACTCTTTGTCTGCGTATGATCAAAACAGACAAGCTAAAAAAAAAAAAGAACTTCCATGAAGTTATTACAATTACAGAAATGCAATTTAGACACCCACCCTTTTTTCAACAAGGTTGTGAACACTGTTAATTTTACAGCAGAAATGAACCTTTTAATCCTCTTGGCATTAAGGCTTCTTTGGCTTTTGGAACCAGCATCAAGTGGATGCCTGAGAAACTGCATTTTTTTGCACTTCTGCATTAGCATTACTTTTCACACCAGGGGTTGCGGCTGAAATATTCTGCCATGCATGATGCAATAAACCAAACACTTAGTCTGCCATACTCCACAAGCTCTCTCAGTTCAATCCTTGCCACAAATAGAGCCTCATTCTGTGTCAAACAGCGAGGTTAACTAGCTCATTCACCTGCCGATAAATCAGCCATGATTACACATCTGATACCTGCTCATTTCTCTTCAGTTCCACACTCTTGCCCAAGTATGATTACTTTTGGCCTCGGTTGATAAAGATTGCTACTATAATCTAGATTTGCAGCAGCCAAACTCTAGTGTATATGACAATTCACAAACCAATGGGTGATGAGACTATAGCTTTATGTACTTTCTATAAAAAGTATAACCTGTTATGAATTCAGTTCAACACAATTCTACTTCTAATAACAATGGGATACAGTGTGCAGACCTAAAGTGAACCGTACCTCTGATTATCCTGGGAAAAAGAAATATAACACACAGAGATCTAGACACCCTTACCTGCCTTCCTTTCCTATCATGCCAGCCCACCCAGTTGGTGCCATCTCGGCTGTACTTGATCCTGTATCTCTGGGCAAATTCATTACCCATTCCGTCGGCATGGCGACCCTGGGTTCCCACCAGTGTGATGAAGTGCAGCGAGCGCAGGTCCACCTGGAGGTACTCTTTGAGGCCGTCGGGCTCTGACATGATGTCAGGACACCAGGCTCCATCACCGTCTCCATTGTCTAGGTCAAGTCTGAAGAGGAGGAAGAAACAAAAGCAGAGGCAGAGGAAGAAGAGGAGGGGCGAGAGATCAAGTAGAGAGACAGAAAGGGTAAAAACAAGGTAGCAAAGACAAGCTGCAAGACAGGCATAGAGGAGGGAGAAGAGGAAACAGTTGTATATAATATGTTAATCATGCAGTGCTCTTTCAAAAGCTAGAAAATATTTGCTTTGATAAAAATAAACATCACTCCCTTAAAGGACATTTTAAACCTCAATGATGCTTTCCTAGTTTAATAAAATTAATTAAAATGGGCAGGCAGCAAATGTAAAATCAGATTTTGTTAAAATTACAAATGGTGTCCCACAAGGATCTGTCCATTATCCTGTTCTTTTCACTCATTACATAACAGATATTGTGTCTCATCTTTATGCTGATGATTTAATATTGGATCGCACTTCTGATCATGTACAGTCTGCTGTGCATCTTCAGTGCTGCTTCTTTGATTAAGATATTGTACTCTCCAAACAGATTTGTCGTAAACGAAGAAAAGACTTGACCTGAAGAACCTCATTGTCACACCTAAAGTGGTGCCAGGGTAAGTGTATTAATCATATTTTAAATTTCGTCGAGGTAACTGTTCATCAGTGCTAGATTGTGGTTACATGGTTACAATACATTTTGTACAGGCATGTTTCGGCTGCAGCCTTTAAACCTCTTCAAGTTTTTAATTCCACACCAAGTTTTCTTGTTGGCGATCATAACAGCAATCATCACTGCATCTGGTACAAGAGTTGGTTGGTCCTTTCTTTCTGTGACATAATTTGCATATCTATCTGTTCATCAATAGAGCACATATTAGGATGTTTTCTTCCTTGCTAGTTTGGTTCTCTAGACTACATGAAACCAGCTCTAATGATTGACTTACATTCCAGGTTCCTAGGGTTTACTCTGAGCTTGGAAAAGCTGCTTTTGGCATTTATTCACCATCCTCCTGGAACTCACCACAAAATGAACGCTCTTGTTTCATAGACCCACTTCAGATCCTTCATTGTTGACTTCTTAACTTCTGATTGTTCCTGTTTTAGCTGGTTTTGTTCTAACTGGGCAATGTGCATCTCTTTTCAACTGATCATTTTTCTTTTAAAGGGGTTCATTTGGCCTGCTGGTGATAAATTTATAGAACGGCTCATCTATAAAGGTCAGAAAGGTAAAAATGTTTGTACCTGCCGGGGGAAAGCTCCATCCTGCCATCTCAGGTGGGATGGCAAAACCCATATAACTCATCACAGACAACGTCACACCAACATCATGGGACACCTCTGATGAAAACTGCAGAGGTAAGGTAGCCGAAACGTGTCAGGTACAAACATTTTTACCTTTCTGGCCTAGAGAGAGACTTAGAGACTTTCTTTATTTGTCATCGCACAGAATAAAACACAGCAGTGAATTCCTCTTCGCAACGAAATGTCGTTGCTTGGTTTCCATATCACATGATGATGGTGTTTAATTTAATATACAGAAAAAAATAAAAACAATGAAACCTAAGGGTAAAATAGCAGCATGCTGAGTAATATTGTACTTTCTGGAGGTAGAGTGGTAGTGGAATAAAAAACAAATAAATGATAGTGTGTATAAAAAGATATACGTTCTAATTTACACATAATAAATAATAAAAAATCACGGACACAGTGCGCCATGGTGGGAGTGGGGGGTTATATGGAGGGTCATTTGGCATTTAGCAGTCTGATGGCATAGACATAGACATATAGACAAACTGTTTTATAAAAATAAGTAAAATTATCCAAAGTGTGGGCAGTTTGTACTTAGATAAGTTGAAAACTTAAATAGATGCCAAGCCTCCAACTTCACTCTACCCCTCTCTAAGAGTAAAATGTTTTTTTTTTCTGTCATATTGAGTTGTCATGCAATTCAAACATCATTAAATTCATGACAACTGCTGATAAAGACCTCGCAGTTTGACTGAGAGGTCAAGAACTGTGACAAAATGATTGTTTTATGTGGTACAGTTGACATCAACTGTTTGCAACATTAATTTTTAGGCATTTTTATGACTAGGGAGTGGTTGGTTTGGGCAAAACTGAGAGGGAACTTGAATAGTTTTGGCCTTCAGGGTTAGATTACTGTCATACAATAGTGCTGAAAATCAACCTCTAAACATCTTCATGTCAAGACTTATCCAGGACAGATTTCCAATATTTTTTCCCTTAAATGATATAAAGTTAGAAAAAAAACAAAAACAAAATAAAATTCGAAACCTGCCTGCCAAATCTTGCAGCAGTCGACTCAGACCACTGACTGGATGCAGAGATGTCTTCATCCTGAATCTGCCCTCCGGTCATACCCAGAGGATACCGGCACATTTCTGGAACACATACAGAGCATCGCCGAAACACACTTTTATAAAGTTCATTTTTGTGATTCAGCTTTTGTGTTTTCTCATGTGTAAGTTTGATCCTTTTTGTAAGTTTGCAGGATATGAGAGAGTGTAAAGTGGTCAGGTCCCCTCTCCCTCCCCCCTAAATCTCCTTTCCTGGTGCCCTGCAGGCCTCTAAAGCCAAACAGAGGCGTCACTGTGTGGGTGCCAGTCTAAGCACAGTGAGGCAGGAGTGGCCTCAGAGATGCCTGCTCTTCCTTCTTCATATTTTCTAGCAGAGCCACGTGAGTGAGACTTTTGAGTTTTACAGCTCTGGCGTCTGTGGAGTTGGAAATAAATCAACTCAAAATAAATTTTTCAAAAACAGTCACTGCATTGAAGTAGTCATAGGAGCAAGAGACTGCACCTACATCTGCTGTGGGTCAATTTCTGTGTATTTTAACCATCTCCACCTGGTGATTAGACGACCTCTGTGTTTTAATCACCGCCCCACACTGAAAACTGAACGCCTGATGTGTGCTTCATGAGAGCAGCAGGACAAATAAGCCTTTTACAGTGAAAAATATTCAAAAGTGAAATCACTGCATGTGTGAGCAGGAGAGCATACGTGTGTGTGTGTGTGTGTGTGTGTGTGTGTGTGTGTGTGTAATACCTGTGGCAACACCTACAAATTCTCTAACTTTATTTTTCCATGAATGCCCCCTGCTTGTGAAAGGTTTGCCTGTTCTGAGGATATTTGCTGTCTGACCATTAGGTAAACCACATACACACACTCCCCCTCTTTCTATCTTGCACATACACACACTCCACATTCTTGCATTATAAGCCCACCCACCTGAAATTGCTTCCTTTCCACATCTTGTCGACATACTTATCCACAAGAAAAAAAAAAAAAAAAAATTCACAGATTTTTTTGGAGACATATCCCAGCCATTAGGCTCAATGTCATGCCTTGATAAAACTTCAATAACTTAAAGTTCAATAAAATTAATTTATCTCTCTTTTTTTTTGTTTGACCTGACATTTGCATGGAACAGAGTTAACCTTTGAGCTTGTGTGAATCTTGATTTCTTTAATAAAATATGTGTTTTAAGATAGAAGTACGGTGGATGTGAAAGAGACAAAAAGGACTGTACCTGGGTTGACTTGACATCGTACAGCAGCAGTAGCAAGCAGCAAAAAGAACACATGGTGCAAAAGCTGATGAACCGTGATGAACTTCATCTCATCTCTGCACAAATAAAAGTTCAGGTGTGGTGACAGGTCAAACATCTTAAAGTATATACAATGTCAACAATGTCTTAAAATGAAATTATGAGCATTAGATTCAATTTGATTCCTCATGCTACACAAACAAACCTTCTGTAGATAAAATGTCAAGTATTTAATCAGTATGTGGCACATATTACAAATAACCTCTGTGTAATATAACAGTTATAATTCTGTTGGACAGACGTCCATTAAACCCTGCTGGGGTACATGCTTGTAAAGAGTACACACCGTTCTCCAAGTAAGCCAGTCTCTCCTCCACAGTACTTGAGTTTTACTTATCTCATACAGGTTCTAGCTGTAGGTCTGAAGGTCAGTAGCAACAACATACACTACAGACTGTACCTGCTGTTTAGACAGTACATCAAGTCTTTCACGTGGTGGTTTCACTAAAGACACGCTGTGAGGATGTTAGTCTCTTAACTCTCAAATCAAGACCATAATACATTGAATTTAACCTGAATCTGTTACACATTGTTAAATCCAGTTTACCAGTTCTCCGTAACCAACTGCTTCAGGGTTAATGCCTTTTTATGTTTATTTACACTTCTTACTTTAGAAAACCAAGTTAAATGCAAATAATGTGCGCACGTCTTCTCCCTCTTGACCTCAGGTTAAAAGGGGACTATATTTCTTTTACTGTAGACCTATATGATGTCTTTGCCAGTATGGTACATGCTCTATATTGGATTGAGCTGTGCTGGAACAAACTTTCTTCTCAGCCAGTTTCCACCCTGAGGTCAATGGTTTCATATATGAAATGAAGATAGAAAAAACATGGATTTCACTTACTTTTGCAATTTCTTCTCTTGATTTCATGAAACCATCAGTCTCAGGATATATTCCACAACTACCGCTAGAGTTAATGCATTCAGTGCTGGAGTCACTGACCTCTGCCTTGTGAGGACTTTTTGGGAGTGGAGCAGAAAGAGAGAGAGAAAGTGAGAGAGAGAGACGGAAGAAGGGGGGGTTGGGGGGGATGATGGCTGATGTAAGAGTCTTTCTGGCTGGAGGAAAGAAAAAGAGAAAATAACACACTCCAAGAGTTTGAAGTGAGGCCCAGAAGTCCCAGAATTCCACCTGATCCACAAATGGTTTCAATTATGGCCCGCAGAGGCAGCTGAGTGCAGCGGGATCTGGCAGCTTCCGCCTAGAGCAACTGAAAAACACACAGACTGGACTTTCATTTTTCCAACAGAGGAGAACCTGCTAATTACTAAGGGAAGCATGAGCATCCACAAAAAAAAAGGAACACAAAATACAGCACAGAAACTGCAGCAGAGAGAAAGCAAAAGATAGCTTATACTATTAATTAATGATAAATGAGGTTACCAATTAATTTACATGCATCAAACTGCACATTATATGCATTAAAACGTACTGTACCAATTTTTGTTTGCTTGTCTTCCCACATTCAAAACTGACAAAAAAAAAATACCATAATAAATGATAGTTTAGTATTTCTTACCTTAAGACATCAAAACTGAGATGAAATCCACACAGTGCTAAATTTTCCTCTTAGTCCTGAGAAAATGCTGCTGCTGCAACTCAAGATAAAAGTCTTCCTCCAGGATGTTTTGTATGAAAACAAAGGCTGATGTAAGAAAAAAGAAATTGAAAAAAATAGAGAAAGAAAAATGGGATTAGAGTTTTTTTTTTGACTGCTGTAAATTCAGGGCCCCTCACATTTTTCTCTAAAACACTTTGAAGATTTTCATTATCGCAGAGCCCTGAGCTCCAGCTGATTATCATAAAAGAAGTTATTGCTTGTCTTGATATCTTAAAGAAAGTATTTCACATCTCATTTTATGCTAATTTGAAGAAATAGTTTGGAATTACAGTCATGGCTGTGACCTTACTTATGTGATCAGTATCTTTGCATGTCTTTTAATCAAAGTGAAAGTAGATCTGAATCAGTAAAAGCAGGTAAGGTAAATATATCAAGGATTTCAAAAGTTGTAAGTAAGCTGTTTTTTTTTTTGTAAACAGTCATTACCCTGTACATCCAACATAATAGTTAGCATATCAAAATCATATAAATTATGTTTGTCAGATGATTCTCAGATTGAGCATATTATTGAACAGACTTCCAAGGTCAGTAATGGAGTTCCACAGGGTTTGGTGCTGGGACCAATTATTTTCATCGTATGCTGCCACTAGGTAATATTCTTTGAACACACCATTTATATTTGAAGAGTAGGATCTAGACCATGATAGCTAGCTAGCTAGGTTAATTAATATACTGTAGTAAATTCTTTTTAATGCAAATGAGTTTTATTGGTTGTCTTTTTTTTAATCTACATCCACTTGAACATTTTCTCCCTATTTCCAGAGTATACTATGTGTAGCACATTTAAGTTGAATCAGCAATCAGATATTTTGGAAATCTACGTTTCTGCTCTAGGTTTCTGAATTATTCAGGGCTAAAGGCAGCGGTTTGTTAGCTATCTAACACACATTACTGTACTTCATGCTAGGCTACTTTAACTCGTTACTGAATATGTTTATATCAAGTGCACACACGTCACCTTAATAGACATATTTTAGGCATATCCAGTTATTTTTTCCTGTTTCATGTCTTTATGCGGATGTAGCCTTAAGTTTTGCAAACCTGAATGGCAGGATTTTGCTGCATTTAAACATGACCAGTGTAGGTGTTCATCTCTCTGTCCTTTTAAACTAAGCTAAGCTAAAATAAAAGGTTCTGGGTTTTAGTTCTTCAAAATTAGTAGGCGGTAACAGTTAGATTTGGACTCGTATGGTCTTCTTGTTCTTGATCCAGTCTGCAGCATGTCAACGGGTTAAACTGCTTGCTGGACACAGATCATTAATTAGACTTGATTTTATTGGGGCACATCTGGTCTTGCCTTTCTTCATATTGCGTTTTAATGCTAGCCTTAATAATTCAGTCAACCACTGAGAGTAAGTTACCTTCTTATTTATGAGAAAAAAGTGATGTCCCCAAAAACGCGGAGAATACTCTTAATTCTGTGATTACACAGAAGTCATTTTGTCATCCTTACTCTTATGCAGTGCAAGCTTCCTCCAAGGTGCATTAGTTGTGGGTGTCAGCGCTGATTTCTAGGTTCAAATTCCTAGACAGGCTTTCTGAGTGATGCGTAAAAAGCTTTCCTCTTTCTGTAGTCTGACCCATGCTTTTAAATTAGCATAATGAAATGGTGAAAATCAGACAGAAGTGTGTTCTTGTGGACAGGGCTGCAGCCTTTGAAAAGACAGGCTTTCGGTTCAAATCCAGCGCAGGGATAGTGCAAGATATAGGCAGGGATGATGCAAGACAAGAAATGAGGAAAGGAAAGAGAGGAAAAGGGACAAAGAAAAGGAGTTAAAAACATACGGTACTTGGATATGTGATTTCTTTTTGAAAAGATAGTGGCGATATCGGCCTTGTGAGGGCTGATAGTGATATGACGCTGGTAAAGTCAAAATGCCATTATTCAGCCTGTTGAATCAGTCCACTGATTAATCAGTCTGTCTCTAGTGTACATTGATTTACATAGATCTGTCATGTAATATGTTCAGTATTTGTGTTGTTCCTCTGGGAATATTTGCTGTGTGCTAAGATTAAAGAACCAAAGAAGGGAACAAATCCAATGGCTGTCACAGTCATTGCATTGGTTTCAAATTTGTTTTTGCACTATTGAGGCATTAACATAGATCCTGCTAGGGGGTGGAGCTATTCCATATTTTCCTTTGAACAAGTATAAAATTTTGCTTTTAAAAATTAATCGTGTCATACATTATCCTCCCTGAAAATGAGGTCAAATAGACTGCAATACACCAGTCTAGAAAAGACTATGAAGTACTCTACATGTATTATGGTGCTGAATCAGTGTACTTCTACTCCCTATACATATGTAGATGTGCGAAATGCTTGGTGACTGTAATTATGATGAAATTATACTAATGCTGTCTCTTCTGTTGTCATCAAACCTTAAAATTTCGGGGTGTTACAAAAGCTTTTAAAGGGTCATAAATGCATATAGGATATATGTTCTAATTACTGAGTTGTGAAGGTAGGGCCCATTATGATACTTTTTGAAGAGCCCCAGTAGGTCTCGTGGTGATATAAATGACCTTACCGACCCTTTTCATTATAATCTCACAAATGAAAGCAGAGCCCACCTCCTGAGGGCCGCCCACTATCTGTGTCAGCTGCATTCATGAATCTGCAGGGTGTCATGGCTGGCTGTAGGCGGATAACGGCTGGTATTCTTCATATTTTCCAGCTTATCTGCAGCCTTACAGTGTTAAGCTGTTGCTGCCCACTGTGCACACAGTGAACTAATGGAAGATGACCCCGTTTAATGACTACAGCTGGTGAATTTCAAAGAGCCGCCACCCTCACTAAAGACCTTCTCTGTGCAAGCCCACATCCTAATTTTCCAGCCAAATATAAACACTAACAAGGGAAACATTTTGAAAAGGTCAGCCCAGGAGCTTGGGCTGCTTACTGTTGTGTTAGTTTCCTATCACCACCAGATTTATTTTTTCCAGCAATTTGTAATTCACCCAATAAACTGAAAACATCTCAGCACTGGAGGTTGTTTCAGAAAAGGCACAAAGGAGACACATCTAATTAGGTGCACTTTTGTTTTAGTAAACCTTTTGTGAACAGACTTCACCTTGGAGGGAAACAGACAGAAAAATCTGGGTGAAAAAGGACTGCAGACAGATTTTGAGTGCAAAAAGAGCAAGAAGCCGTCGACAGGCTTTTGGGAAAAGAGGCGAGGAAGGTGAGACAGAGTGAGAGAGGAAGAGATTTATCGATTTTGGAAAGAGCTCAAAGACACGTCCCCAATTCAGTGATTCAAAGTGCTGGCCAGCTGTCAGCAAGGTGGAGCTGCTGCGACAGCTGGCTAGGAGAATATGAAGTGAGTCTGGGAGTTATATTTGCCTCCACCTTCCACTATATCTATCTCTTTTGGACTGAAAGGTGCACTTGGTGTTGTTGTACTTAGCAAAAACAAACCATACTATACGTAATCAGAGACAAATTTATGCAGCATTAATTGTGGCAGCGCCTAAAGCCAGTTTTGATGTAACTTCAGAAAACTGCATCAGAAACAGGATAAAAAAAAATTAAAAAAACAGCACGACAAAACCTTGTGCATACTTTGTGCGGTGTTTGTAATTTTAACTGAATTCCACTGTGAAAAAAAACAAACAACAAAAAAGAGATACACACCTTGTGTAATTACAGGTTACATACTGTAACAAGCACAGTCATGTTTTATTTTTCACACTCCAAAATATGTAAGCATATATGCAGACTTCATAGACCATCTTTAGAAAACAACATAATGAAAATGTCCATGCTGAATGTGTCACAAGTCCGTAAACAAAGACACAACCACAATGTAACAAGCCCAGCGAGTGGTGATCGCACCAAGTCAGCTACAATAATCACCAAAGTGACACGCACACAGTGTGCAAAACACATACGGACAGACTGCAGAGATTAGACAGGGCCTAAAACACCAGAGTGTTCATACTATCAGGCAATCCAAGACCAGAAAAAGCTGCACTGAGTCACATTCATAAAAGTACAACCTGTACCGAAAATATGTTTTACTTTTCTTGAATGCAGTTAGTCATGTCCAGTGACTGATATTTTTATAAAAACAAAAGTAGTTGGTTAGATATTTAAGTAATTAATCTCAAATCAAAATTTCATCTGTATTGTACTTTTTTTTCTTTATACATTCCTGCCTGCCATGGTCATACTTTGTGTAAATGCTAATTAGCAAACATTAGCATTACATAGAGTATGTAGCTATTGTTACATAGTGAACATCTTAAACATCACACAAGCATGTTAGCATGTTGACATAAGCACTTAGCTCAGCATGATAAATTATTAGAGCTGCTTTTATCATATATTTTTGGTCATATTTGGATCAGTATAGTGAAAAAATTACTGAAAAACAAAACGATGTTTTATGAGGAATAAAAAGACTGATTGAGTAACAAAAATAAGAGAATTTGATGTTTTAAAAGAATATCCTTGTGTTCATTTTGTTTGTAATGTGATTAACTGAAATATGAGAATCAAACTGATTAAAACACAAGAACATTAGTTCAGCTATACATTCTGCTTCAGTGTTGTTTTTTAACTTTAGATTATGAAGTTTAATCCATTATTCTCTTTTTTTTTTCTGTGTACAGAAGGTTACAAATTAAAATTTATAAGGGGATCTCAAAACTTACCTCCCTTCACAGTAGTAGTGTGCACTCAGTTCAGTATTAACCATAAATGATCTATACCAGCAGTAGTCATGATATATGACCTCTGTATAGTTGGGTCCAGTGAGTCGCACTGTTAATCCAGCTGGTTGGTGCATAAATTTGATCCTGTTTGTGAAACTTCATCATCACTACACAGCCATCTCATCCCCTAAACAGTCCGGCAGATTCTCTACATTCAGCACGTTAAATAGTCGAGCTGCACCGTCTGCCCCCACCGCCTCCCCCTGCCCCCAGCTGTCCCGGTCATCACTCTCATCTGTGTTTGATTCGTACTCCGATCCGATCCCCGACTCTCTGAACCTCAGCAGCTCCAGGGCTCCCAAAACCTGCTCTCCCAGCAGTGAGCTCTCGTCAGGGGCTCCATCACTAGGGGTCTCCCCCATGTCCTGACTTTGCTCCTGGCTTTCCGCCCCTCGAGAGGAGAAGCGGAAGCACTCAAACCTAATTCCACTGTTGCTTGATCCCAGCGGGCTGGTGGCAGTGCCCACTGTGCTCGGAGAGCAGGGTCCGGGGAGGCTAGAGGCCCAGGCACTGTCACTGATCTGAAGCATGGACTGAGCTGCCAAAGCACTCGTAGATGAAGAGGAGGTGAGGGTGTCACAGGCTGCACTGGGGGGTTTGGCACGGAAAGTGATCTCCAGAAGACTGTCCTGTGAGCCCACTAAGATCAGAGACAAAGTGTCAAAAGGAAGATGAGTAAGAATAGTGTGTTGGTTAACACATATCATGTAAAAACAGAGAGATGAGACATGAGAAAAGGGGTTTAAACAGAGATCAGTGAGAGCAAACAGAGCTGGGTGAGGTCTGTGTGGACAGGATTTGATAATTCATGACTATATGGCAGCATATTGCCACTGGCTAAAAGCAGGGAGGGGGGAATTGTGTGCAGGACTGAACCTCCTGAGAGGGCTGCTATGAAATAATTGATTACACCCTAGAAATGGATGTAGAGGGAGCCATAATGACAGAGAAGACCGAAAGAAAGAAAGAAAGAAAAAAAGAAAGAAAAGGATGGAGAGAAATAAGCCACAAAAAACTTGAAGATTATAAAAAAACATACAGACTTCAGACCAAATGTAACGTACACTTTGCATAAAAAAAGCGAATTGGTGCAGTCTGCAAGTTTTGACAACAAAGACTCCAAAAAGTTTCTGAAAATTTGGGTTTAAGAAAAATTTTAGGGACTGTTTTTGTAATTACAAGATAAAAAAACATTTAATGTAAAATTTTAGGAAATGTTTATTTTTATAAAACTGTGAAAAAAAAAAACTTCTGCTGTTCCATTCAAATAAACATTAAAGGTCTTTACAATAATACAACACAGATCCCTGAGTTTCCTTCAAAAGTTTCTCAAAGTTTCCTATGTGAGGTTTGTACATCTACCAGACTAATGTCTTCAGAAGTTTTCAAGTCTGTCCCAACAATTAGTATTCTTGATGAGGACAAGATTTACTCTTACTGGATGTGAGCTGTCCTGCAGCTTTGAGTTCCAGCTCCTGGATCTGTTTAACCAGCAGGGAAATGTGCTGCAGCAGGTCTGTGTTCTGCTGTAGCAGCCTCTGAACTCTGGCCTGGGCTTCAGTCCTCGCACAAACCTCCACTGACAGCTGCTCCTGGAGTACATGGACCTGAATAGATCAACAGACAAACACACACATCTCAGGGGGCGTACATGAGGTCCAGTCGGACACTAGAGTGAAATATTAAAACCAAAAAGCCCTTACGCAGCTCAAGGAAGAACAATTATGATCATTAATTTATCATTTTCTTGAAGTAATAATCATCATATAAATCATTTTGCACTGCAGACGCAGTAGTTTTTCTGCCTTATCATCTCGGTCTGATTGTATTTCCATGTGGAAATGATCATAAATGTTCTTCCTTGAGCAATGTCACCCCGCTGCAGTCGATGGACTCGCCCAGTTTGTCTCCGTACAAACAAGCAGCTGCTGGAAGAGAGAGGGTGAGTAGTGTTTAGTCTCTTTGCTAAAGAAATTAGGCAAAGTTAAGAAGATGTTTGGTGGCTAGTGCTGTGGCTGGGGCCCTATATGTACTGTTGATGAAGTTAGGTGCTGTTCTGAACATTATTTGTGGCTATAGAGTGGCTTTTTGGTTGAGGGCGTGGCTCTCTGTATTGCTATCGTGCTGCTGTTACTAGAGTTGGTATAACTAGAGAAGCAAGCGTTTTGCAACAATTATCTCTTGATGGTGTGTCGAACTCGGTATTATGATGTGTGTAAGCCTAACTTAATTTTACACCGGAATATCCCTTTTAGTCACCGTCACTGAGTCAAACTGTTCATTAAACACAGAAAATCTGAGGTACAGATTTTATGATGAATCCGCATCATGAATCAACTCAAATGTGAGACCAGCGCTGAGGCAAAAAATTTGCTTTTTCTCATTTTGACTGCCTTAGCCTGCAGTGCGTCCATCAGCTCAAGTTGCCATGACAACGCGTGAGCCTCAGGCCAGGCCCACAGCTGAAACCAATTCACTAATCAGGGACAGCTCTGATATCTCTGCATCATTAAATCACTTAAGGAGCAATTAAATAAATGTTAAAGTGCTGACTCTAAATCAAAATCCTTATTAGAGCCACAGGGCAAAAGCACTGAAGCACTGGTTATCACAGCCACTCTCTCGCCAAATCTGTAGAACGCTACTGCACAAGTGGTGATTCCAGGAAGTGGAGAAAATCCTGGAAATACAGAGAGCATTTTGGTTTCAAATTCGTACAATGACAGAAGGCGGAGCCAAGATGTCCATAGTATAAAAGGCAGAGCCCAAAGGCACTGTTTTTTTTTTTACTGCGGACCAATATCAATTTGCTACTAGTCCTATAGTTTGATGAGTTGTAGGACAAATCATGTATCAAAATGCGTGGTTTGATCTGGATCAGTGTGCTTTAACTCTTCCATAGTGTGTATGAATTTTCATGAAGCAAGTTGGGAAGCCTGCAGGAAAATTATGCACTGAAGTCAATGGGACAAGCCCCCAAAACAAAGAGCAATTATTGGAGTTTGTGAAATGTCTACTGCCTGGATCTGTTTTTTGTTGTTGTTGTATAAATAAACACTTAAAAAAGAAATGTTACTGTAGGTGTGCTCTTTGTTTATAATATCATAATGCTTCTATTATTAAATATTTGAAATCTCTGAAGAATCTCATCATAATGTTCACCCCCTGACAGTTGCCCCCGTGGCCCTTTAAAAATTTCCCAGAGAGAGTTTTTTAGTTTAAGTTACTGCTTTTGTCAGTGCTATGTAAACTAGTTTAACCTTTAGAACGACACCTCGTTCATCATGTTTACTTTCCAGTTTCTGACCAATCAGAATTAAAAAGGCACAAAACTCTGATATTGACTAAGTCAACAGGTCTGAAGGAAAAAATAACTGCGCTCGCTTTTTCAAAGGTACCTTATCCAGGTCTAGAGCTGCTGCTACTGCGCTGGCACATTTTCTATTAGCTCTTTTTAATAATAAAAAAGGCATTTAATGGATGCTGTCAGCGCCCTTCATACTTGTTCTCCTTAGTTTGGTGATCTCTTGACTTTATTTGTGAAATAATGCAACAACTGGATGGTAAAAGGGGGTCATGTTCCATTTTGTGTTAGCTTCATGTCTGTCTTCTTCAATTTTGCTGATGTCTCTTTTATTTAGCTCATGTCTCCAACATTCCTTGCTGTTTTTATACCATTTACCTCTTTTATTTTCTTTTCTGTGCTGATGATTGCTCAGCCTGTAAACAGAAAATTCAAAGTTTTGTGTTTGCAAAATAAAGTTATCAAAGTAACCATGTTGTTTACCCATTCAGAGTTCTGACAGAAACCAACAATTTTGCCACAGTATTGACAGGCAGATAGAAATGCTCTTTTCCATCAGTTGTTTTGATTGGTTGTCTGTGATGAGGCTTTACCTGTCAACACTTTGCTGTCAGGAAATAACAGACCGTTGGGATATCAACTGATTAGCATCAAGTATTTAACACAGTGGAATAATCTGATCAAGCTAATATATTTAACTAAGATGGTAAACATGATATTCATTTAATCTGCTTGACCCCAAGGTGCTTGTTTTATTGTTATTGTTAATGGTAAGAGCATGTTTGCACAAACACGAGAAAGTAAAGAAGTACAGGGATGCTGAATCCTCTTCAGACAGTGTAAACACAGTGGTCCTACTTCACTCTTGTGATTTAACTTCTTCAACTTTCCTTATGTGACCATGGCAACCACCAAAACTGCAGCAAGAGGAACAATAGGGGCTGATTTTACAGCATCTGAGTGCCAATAAATCTTGATGCTGTAATAGCAGAGAACAGACAGATCAATCATGAGAGGCTGAATGTGAGCTTTCGCTCTTGTTTATCTGATCGGGGACAATAAACTCTGATTTTGAAGCTGGCTGTGGCTTTCTTAAAGTCGAGTAATACAATGCATAAATATACAATAGATAGTATTTTCCTTTTCCATCATCTTCGTCCAAAAGGACCCTGAACTTATATTCCCCTTCGAGCTTCTCCCAGCTTACATTTTCTTTTACTATTGGATATGTTTCGGAGTTAAGCTAAGGGACTTGAAGCTCAACATATGAGTTCATAAACAGATGTCCCCTGGATTTCTGGACAGTGTGCGAAGAAGGAGAAAATAAGCCAATTTGTTTTAAAAAAACAAAACCCATTGGCTGAGGCACAAATAAATAATTAGTTTGTTAAAAGAAGGACAGAATACAGAATACTGAGGCTTTACAACTGGAGTGAATGACAGGATTATACGGACCTCAAGAGGTTGTTAAACTGTTTCCATGTTTTAAAAGAAGAAGAAATTACTACTTTTATGGAATTACATTAAGAAAGAGGCCCTGAGTTTAGCAGCTTAAACATTATAAGACGAGTAATGAAGTGGTCCAAAAGGCATCTCTCCATAATGAGCCTGTAAGTGATAGCTCCTCTTTGACTTCTTTCATTTAGTAGAAATCATTTCTGGATTTTCTCTCCATTTGTGAAGCTGAGAGTTTGGCAGACCTTCAGCCTGCTGAAGAGGTCTCTGTGGAATAGCTTTTATATGTGATAATTTGGATCAAAAACAATGAAAACTGGAAAAAAAAGTGTGTTTAGCAACATTATATTTGTTGCACAGCTATTCTCCAAGTAAGGCTTAATATTTATGTCAGCTTCTGTGTGTTGAAGCATCAAGTCAGAAGACAGTTTTGACACTGTGAGGGTCGATGCTGCTGCAGACAAAGACCTCTGATCAGTGTTTATTCTCTGGTTGATAATAAAGTTGTACTCCTGCTGCAGAGGAAGCACATTAAATGAACACCAATATAGAGGCAATAAAGGTTTTCTACTTGCCAGGGAAAGAAATACAAGAAACATACATCTCTCTTGCGGTTGAAAGACGATGAATTTAATTATGAAAGGTCTTTATGCACAAACAAGAAGTCAGCAAACTCCTTTTGTTTGTGCAAATTTATAACAGCCTCCTATGAATGAACAGGCACTCCTGCTTGCTGCAAAATAATGTGCTGAATCAATTCTGCATTCTCTGGAGTCTTAAGGGGGAAAAAAAGTTAATTTCGAGATGAAATTTAACAGGATTGAGAAAAATCATACACTTAGAGCCTGATTTACTGAAGGGTGTGTAAAGAGGACTGTCTTTTAAATGAGCAAGATAACATCGTTGAGAATCCTGGTGCCAGATGTTGCGCACAGACTGCTGCTGTTATCGTGGGGAGAAGGAGATGGAATTACAGACATATATCTGATAAATTGATGTGATTCAAAGTCATTTCTCGTAAACGTTTTGAAATTACTATTCAGGAATCTTCTGGAGAACAAACTTCATAACCAAACACAGCTACTTAAGCCTGAATAAAACTTAAATAGAAATTTCTGTCCTTATACGTTCCTCTGTTTGTGAATATCATATTCCTGCTTGAGATTTTCCTCTTATGCAGCATATTTGCTCCTTGTAGAACATTCATGGCCATTTTCAGAGCAGACACAGTCCAACCAGCTGTCTAGTGAGCGCAACACAGAGGACAAAGCTTGCACCTCCTGCTCCGTCGATAAAAATCCATCTCCAGGAGCTGCAGACGGTTTTTAGTTTGTGCATCAAATTGTGGCCTGGCAGGGTTTCTATCGATTCTGGATGATTTGAAGAGTGTGGAGGGGATGGCCTGCTTTATTTGCTGAAGTTTCATGTTTTTGTTTTTCTGCGGTTTTATTGATGTCACTTTTTATTTTCTTGTTTTACCAACAGCATTTACTTCCTTACTTGTACCCTCACATATGGTGTCCCTTTTTTTTAATATTTAAATGTCTTTGTTTGAGCTCACTTAATGTTTTTTTTCCCTTTTTTACTACATCTTATTGAGCTGTCGGTCAGCTATCTCTCTGAACTCTCTATGGCATGCACCAGTTAAACACACAAAACCCTAATTTACCTCCATAGTCGATGCACCTGACATAGTTTATGCAGTTCTTCTTGGTTGATCACTCACAAAACCTACCGTTTGTTGAAATGTACACACAATTAGTATGTGGAGGCTCAGTGAATCAGGCCCATAAAGTAACACGTTACATGCTTAAAGTGAAACATAAATCAGAGCTTAAAGTAAAAAAGTACTTTAGTAACCCTTGAAAGTTGTAAAAATGAACAACTAGCTATGGATAAAAGGCCACTTTATGATTGCAGGAATAAATATAAGAAGGAGACAGCCCTTTTCTTGTCTGTGGTATTGATTATGAGAAGTGAATTATCATACAATATAAAATTTTGGTCATTGTGAAAGCCATTTAGTTTCAGTGAGGGATTGAAAACAATGACCCAAATCCATATCAAAGTTTCTTTTGCCATCAAGAAATATAACTGTTTTCTGTTTATTGAGCAGAGGGAGGAAATAATGAGGTTAGAGAATTGTTTCAGGAAGATCCATCAGTGGTTTTATTGTCAAAACAAGAAGTAAACATTGTATTGATTAGGATATGTTTATAAATGATAAGTTTTATCTGTAAAACAAAGAAAACCAGATGCCATCCATACCTGTGCTGAAGCTGCCAGTGCCTGCTGCTCCTGCTGCTGCAGTTGTTTCTTCAAGAGCTGGACCTGATGCTCTTCAGAGAGGGGGGCGTCTGTTGCTGACTGACCTGACACAGAGGCTTCAAGGAGGGGGGAGGTCAGCAGGAGAGATTGGTCATTGGAAACCTACAGAAAACATGAGTGTAAATTTAACTTTTTGCTTTCTACATTATCCTAAAGTTAAAGTCATGTGCAGGAAGGTTATCTTCGTTTTAGCATCTGCTCAAAAATGGCAGCTGCAGTGTTCATCCTATTAAATACACAGCTAGAAACAAAGCACCGTGCAAAGAAATTTAAGAAATACCAGCAAGAAAGCTTCCTGAAGTGTAAAATTGAACAGATCGTACATTACTTTTTTTTTTTCAAATAAGTTGAGACAATAAAACATGTCTCTATATGTGTTCTTACTGTGGATAGGCTTTATGGGAGATAAAATTAAAAGTCAGGCATAGTGTGGGATAATAAAAATTTTTACAGTGGGAATAAAACATTCTCTCTCTACAAGTCGAACTCCTTTGAGAGGGTGGAGATACAGGGAGGGAGACTATCTCTTCATTCAGAGAGAAAAATCCAAAGTCAGAGACTTTATCTCCAAAATATAACCGTGAGATTTTTAGACAAAACCTTGAACAATGTGTATTTTCTAAACCCACTGTCCCTGAAGTCCCACAGTGACTGTGACTTCAGTAAGCAATTTGATTCGTACAAAAACTGTTTCTCCGTGCTGAATGAGGTGCAGGTAGAAAGATGAGGTTAAGACTGCAGCTTCTTGGTGGAGAAGAAGAAAGATCAATTCTATTTCCACCACATGAAGTATAAAAGAGAAGAAGGAGTGTGTTTTATTTCACAGCAAAGGCAGATCAATACAGAAGCCGACGGCGCTCCATTGAGGCTGCTGTTGATGTAGGATTCTGTGTTTTTGCCTGCTCCTGTGATGGATTCCCACCTGAATCACAGGTGAGCTGTTTGAAGATGAATGAAGAAAGACAGAAGATCTCGGTGTTTGAATTTAACCCAAAAATACAATATTTACCCACAAAGACCTTTATTCAATTCCTCCAGCCAATGAACATGCTGAAGAAGGAAATATTTTTCACATCATCAGTTACTCTTGAATAAATACTCGCAAAATAACTGAGACCTGCTGGTGCTGGCTTTTTAACATTATACAGTAAATGCTTTGAGCTGCCGTTAAACACATTAGCTGTATAACTTAGAGTTGAGATGTTTAAAGATGTGAGAGCAAATTCTATTTGAGTTTATGCTTTGTTCTGTCTTTACAACTAAAACACATTTTTCCCCTTTGCTACTTTATTTCAAACAGCTCACCGACACATTTGTTTGCTCAGAGACTTTTAAAGCTCAGGTGAGGACTGACATCTAAATTGACACCTTCTTATAATATCTAGAAGTAAACAAGACTATCAGCAGCAACATTTTTATCCTAACTTTCTATACCTGAAACCTACGTGAAGGGGTGAGCAGCTGGAGAAACACCTCTGTTTTTACAATGAACACTTGACTGTCAAAAGTCAGACACATTAGATTTTTTGTGAAAAGACACTATTGGGGTAGGCAGGATTCCCTTAAAGAAGCATCTTTTTTTTGGTGGTGTTTATACAAAACAACTTTTAATATCAGTCAATAGTTATTAGTTATTGATGACATTTGGGAATATCACGATATTGCTGTGTTCTCTTACACCTGTGTAGTCAACATTTTAACATTTTTGAGCGGCCTGCTCATTCTGACTGTAAACAAAGCTGTTCTCCGTCTCCCTCAACCTGATTGGTTGTGAGGCAGACCCTGCTCCCTCATGTTGTGAGACACACTCCACATCCTCGAATAACGTTCACAAGCCCAAACAAAGTTAGCGAGCTACAATATCAGACAGCAGAAAACAACCAGAAAGTACAGAAAATTGTCTGAATCCTCCTTTGGCTACAACTGCCAAAACAAGCGAGAAAACGAAGTAAATACCGAGGACTCTGGTGGAATAACGGCCGCTTGAAAAGGAGGTAGACCGGACAAGAGCTAAAAAGCAGGGTCAACATCAGTGAACGCTTTGGGATCTTGCGGACCCTGTTACCTTTAAACCGCTTTAACAAAGTAAGACAAGCATCTGTAACAGAAGTGTTTCTTGTCAAACGGGACCTGCTGCATGTTGTAGCGCCACTGAACTGTTTTCCTCAGGTCCAGGAGTATGTCACTTTATCCAAGTGACATACAAGGATAAAGTGAAAACATTGTGTTTGCTGGTAGTCTGATGGCATCTACAGTAGCATCAATGCTTTTTACTTTCACGTTGACTGGGCCCCATTTGTAATTATCTGAAGTGCTTATCTGAATTTAATTAGAACGATACAGCGAGGACCAGCGTCTGTTTGTGGGCGGGGCTTGTTGGAGCAGAGAGGGAGGGGAGAGAAGGAACTAGTGTTTACATTCAAGATTTCTCCCAAAAACTGGCACTAACTCAGATCCTGCCTATTCCCACCTTTAACTGTGCAGCTGACATAAAAGAAAATACTGCTTTGTCTACAGGGAGCATCAAAATTGACTCAAAGCAAAAGTCCCCCACAGGAACATTAAATTTCTTTGTTTTCAACTCTTGATTGACACTGAAAGTTTTTGATTTGTTTTGATTTTTTTAATCTAATTTGATTGACAGTCAATCAAAACAGTAAAATTTTATAAGATACCCAAGATAAGTCTTCAATATTTTTTTTAGCAAAAGATATAGAGGAGATCAGGCCTTGCCAGTCAAGTGTATTATTTATTGTAAATACTTCATGTGGAAACTGTAAAAACTGGGCTGTTTCTTTAACTGCTTGGCTGACCCTTACCCTCCTCAACCCAGTTTTAGGCATCAAAAATTAAAACATACAAGATGTAAGTCTTGTCCCAGATGGTCTCGTTTGCCTTCAGCATAAATGTGAATTTTAAGTCTGTTTCTTAAACATCAAAAATCTTTTTAACCGTGATAACTCCTGCACATCCATACTGTATCATTGTGTTAAGGGAAATCTGCTGTAAATAACAGAGAGTGGCATCAGTTAATCTGATTGTGAAAATGGCACTTTAATGGGAGTTCAGTCGATAGTACCTTTAAATAGATCTACAGATTGACCTCATGGGCTGCTATTAGATGGTTCCACCACAGAGGAGTCATGACTCACACAATTATGTTAGAGCGCTGCTGGGAGGAGAGCAGCCATGAAGGACATATCTTATCTGTCATATCTGAGAAGGAGGATCAATATGGTGGACTCTGTTGCCATTAATGAAGATTCTGAAGGACGTCTGACCTTTAAAACACATATAGGATTGTAAACGGTATTTGAGATAAGCAGAGCAGCATCAGAATTTAATAAAAGAGGATATTCTTTTTTATTCAAGAACCCTGAAATTTGAGGTGAAACCCTTCATAGCACTGAAACGTTTGCCAGCACAGCAGTGTTTATCTCTTGGGTGGTAAAGCTGACAGGGTGCTACAGAGACTAAGCTAACAAATATGAGATAGCTGCTTGTTCAACATCTCAGGATTAGCAGAGCGCTGAGAACCCAGATATGTTTTCATTAATAAAGCATGTGACAGCATCAATATTTAAGAGCTTCACAGAACATCTTCTTCATAAACAAGCCTTGAAGACACAGCTACTCGCTGCTTTTTCTCATCCTCATCCGGCTGTCTATGATGCCAAACTTTCATCATGACCCTGTGAGCTGAAAACATCCAAGAAATATTTATCCCAAAGCAGTCAGAATTTTTCAATAAATCATTGGAAAACAGCGCCTGCTCAAGCACGTCCTGTTTATCTTAACATGTTCCCTTCAAAGAGAATAAACGTATGTGGTTTGACAACTTGTTTGTGTCGCATCAGGCCATGAAACTTTGAATAAGTAGCTCAGTTATTAAAGGAATCGTTTGTGTTGTTTACATAACAGCAGACTTGCTTTTTTTGTGCTTTATCTCATATGCTGTTTGAAACAGGCTCATAGAGGCAGAGGAAGAAATGAAGAAACGCTCTGCTTAAATAAAAGTAGTTGGATTTAACAGAGATCCCTTCAATTAAGCAAAGACAAAGCCATCCTTGGCCAGTCAATCTTAATGATTTTAAAACCAAACTCGAAATGTACCTTTTAAGTCTCGCTTTTATAGTTTTTGCTTTTTATATCTTTGTTTAAGTGTTTTTGCATTTATCTCTTTCTAGTTTTAATGACAGAATCGTCTTTTATTGAGCTATTTTGGTGCTCTTATTCTAGTATTTTTTACTGTTGTTTTTATTTCATTTTAATTGTTATTTCTTAAATTTCATTTTATGTTTCTCTGTGTTTAGATTTTGACCTAACCTCCAGTGTTTCCTTATCTTGAATTTTAAAATGGCGTTTCCTCAGTGCACACATTCCTGTTTCCATGAAATGGAGCCCTTTTCAACTTAATGCATTTCCATACATGTTTCTGTTGCTTTAAGATTGTGGTGTGGAAATGAGGGATTGGATGTGGGTAGATCCAGGTTTTCTTTATTCCTTATTTTTTTCCTTTGCTGTGTAAAGCACTTTGTGCTACATGGTTGTGTATGAAAAATGCCATATAAATAAAGACTGCTTGACTGATTGATTTGATTGATTCATGCAGACAGAAATAAGATTTCCTGACATCATGTACCAGACTTTTAATCCAAGAAAGCAAAGTAGGCAGTAAACCATGGTGTTTCTTTGAAAAGTAATGTTTTCATGTTACCATCTGACAATGTGCTATTTGCCTTCTGGTTATTCTATCAGGGTTTTATTCTAGTACTTTAACAGAGACAATATCACATTCAATTATTACTTTGATTAAATCTGTGCTAAATACCTTCCAACAAAAAAGACTGCACTGAATAACAAATCTGAAATAGATTTAGCAAGCAAAAAAATGAAATCCAGTGACCTTTGATGTTTTGTTTACGGTATGAATGATAAGCTGAGTTTTAAAGTGTTATTCTAACATGAAGCAAATAGGTAAAAAATGATGGGATGAAGTTTACAAAGTCCATATTACTTCTTTGACATACTTTCAGTTTGTGTCAATGTTGACATCCCCTGTGGACAAAGCAGTCTTTGCTCTTCTTTCCTCTACATGTTTAATTTGAGTCTTCATGCAGTTAAATGTATTGTCATGTATTGTGAATAATTGTAAAAATAGGGTTGTTTCTCAGCTGACACCTATCCCTTCATGGTCACATTGATTTAAGGCATAAAAATATGTTTTCATGGGCTGATCTGAATAAACGGAAAATATTTACATTCTGACACCCCTGATTTACTGGTTGCTGCTTCTCAAACTGAACATGTTTCTAATATCTAAAGAAAAAATACACTTTTGGATGATCCTATTCAAACGCAAAGGAAATTCTTACCTTTTCTAGATCAAATAATGATGAATACAAGGATATAATGAAAATGTATCAGTTGACGCACTGGTATTAGCTGCTGCTTTCATTCAGACTGAGGCCAGAGGCATCCATAAATAACACTTTGCAGTGTTTGCTTTATCTCTGCAGGCTTTACAAACCATCTGAGTGTCTGATGGCTTTATAGGAGCATTACTGAAAAGTTTAAGGACAACTTCTGTACTCTACCTTCCCATCAACACCAAGGACCTCGTCCTTTTTGCTCCTCTCAGGGTCTGACGAAGAGACGCACTCAATGCTCTCCTCTGTGGTGCCTTCAAGGTCGGTCTCCTCCGACAACGCAAACCTTTTCTTTGCTGCAGAAAGACCAGAGAGATGAGGATTTCAATGCAGTTATCGTTTTAAGCTTCAGGGTTTGCAGGGAATCTAGAGGCAGTGACAGCAGCAGCGGCAGTAGCAGCAGCAGCAGAGCTGGCAGAAACCCATAAAATGTTTGATCAATGGCTCACACCAAACACAGCTGCAGCTTCAGCCGGGCAAGCTGCAGAGAAAACAGTGACGGCTGATAATGACATATTTTCTCTGAGACGTGTGTGCGGTTACTGCAGGCATTTCTGTTTGTGTGTTCCTGTCGGAGGGGAGGAAAGGAGATCATGTGTGTGTGTGTTTGACAGAAGGAGAACGGGAAGGACAGAGAGGTGGGGGGAAGGATGGTCTAGATTTGTGGGTTTAATTTTGTCTGTGTGTAAGTGTGGGTCACCTGGCACAGCTTCCGACTCCTCCGCTTTCCCCTCCTCATCCTCCTGGTCGCTTTTCTGCTGCAGGGTCAGCTGGTGACACACATCGAAAGCCTGACCCACAGTCCGCACAATCCTCATGGCCTGTGACTGCAAGGAGGACACAGAAAAAAAAGTGTGTGTGTATGTGTGTTGAGGTTTTGAGAGCAGGGGCTGGGGGAGCGGCAGCAGGAGCACAGTGAGGAAGGATGCAAAAACGAGGAGAAGCAGCGGGGAAGAAAATGAGATGCCAGAGGAGGAAAAGTGGGAAAATGAAGGAGACTGTGTTTGTCCGCAAGTAAAGACGCAAGATGATGGAAAACAGTGACAGGTAGAGGAGAGGAGACAGGAACTCATAAAAGTCTGAGGATATTATGAGCACAGAGTGTGGTGTCCTTGTCTATCTGCTCTGCATACACTCAGCTGTCATAGTGATGGATCGGTCAATTTCAGAGGCCAGTAACTGTGATGACAGAGGGAGTGATAAGAAGTTTTTGTCGTTGAGGAGGGCTCAGTAGGTGTGTCAGCATCTAAGACAAAAATAATTAGCTTTAATTTGAAGAAAACCAACTATGTCCTCACAGAATATGTCAAAAGTATTCAGGATCTGTCCGACACAACACAATGTTTCCATGGAGACCACATTTTAAAAAACTACTTAATTTTCCTTCTTGCAAGGATGTTATATGTAATTTTTTTTATGAGATGAGTCACACACAGCGCTGACACATTACAGCAACAGCACAGTTAATAAGAAACAAGTGACTCATACACAATATGTATAAAACAAACAAAACAAATCTTAAAAAACTGTGACATGCAGAAGTACTTTAAGAATACAATGGCAAAATGTGGCAACCAGTGAGGGTGCTCATCTCGGGTAGTCAGATGAAGTGATTGATGTCTCATTTTCTCTCTCATTCTGCAGCTACTGTCAGTAATTAACATCCAGCTGCAGCCCTGAAGCCGAGCCCCTTGTGTACCAAAGCCATTAGCGTGCGAGCAGCTACACATACTGTAAGCTGATTTTTCATATTTAGAAAATACTGAACAATGCTTATTCTCAAAAGTTAGGATGAAATCTTAATACATCAATGTTTGATTTACTTTATCGATTACAGAACTGACATAAATGAAGAAAGCTTTTTAAAAGATAAAACACTAAAAGACATGTATTACGATACCACTTCTTACTTAAGTATAATTGAATCCTGTCTAAAGGCCAAAGTCATCGATTCAGAGAGCAACAGACAACGTCACAACAAAAAAATGACTCTACTGAGGATGACGACAGGAAGTTTGCAGTCCAAACATGACGAGGCAAAAATCAACTATTTCTTGTTTCCCAACTTGCCTCTTATTAAAAGCCATTAGAAGTAAATTATTTGAGATGGAGAACATATCAAACATCCAGAACCAACTTTTGTTCATAATGAAGTCATAAACAAATCATAAAATACATTTCAAAAGGTAGTTCTGTTATCAAAATGAGCTGAATGATGAGACCTCTATCAAGAAGGCCAAATGAAGAGTCCTTCGAGAAATCAAGACAACTTTTTCTTTATACCCTTCAAGCTTGACCAAAGCAGAACAAAACCTACCTGTATATGCTAACTTTAAGGTAGAGAAGAGTTTGAGCTGGGTTTGAAATGAACACTGTTACCTTTTTCTGACCTCCAAAAGTAAACCTGATCCTGATTAAGACCTTTTCTCATTTCTGTTTAGAGATTTTTAAGCCTAAACTGCTATATAAGGGTAGGTGTCAGATAAAGTGAGATAAAGTGGATTACTTCATTGAAAAAATATACCACACTAATGTACAGGATAGAAAAGTACAGCAAGACCAGGTGCCAGTTTGTCCATAGGGGGCGCCAAAGTCGACACAAACCAAATGCTACCATGTGGGTCTTAGATTCCACCTAACAAGATACAAGATACACGATACAAGAACTTTATTGATCCCCAAAGGGAAATTCAATAATATGAATAATAAAAATAAATGTATTCAACATATGCTACTCTGTGTATCTGGATGGTTCGAAATAAGATGTTAATGTTGTCTTGGTGAGCAACAGAATATTAAAACCATAGTAAGAATCATTTTGTGTCAAGGCATCATGAGTTTTTGTGAAGTTTTGGAGATTACCAGGTAAGCTATTCTGTTCTTGATACCAAAGTGTAAACTCAAGCTTTCTTTCTCTCATGACAGTGAGCAATCATCTTTGTACAGGTCAAACTCTTCCTTTGAATACATAAAGCACAACACCCAAGGTCACCAAAATGTGCTCACTTTATTTTATTCTTTGTATTTAATCATTTATCTATAAAAATCAAGGTAGGGCCTTGTTTAACATATTGGGCGGTCAAGCTGTATTGATCTGTCTGAACCAATTAAAAGTGGGTACTAATGTTTCTTTAGCTGGACACACAGGGGAGAAAAATCCAATGTTTGAAACACCAATGCTTCCATTATTGATTGTGATGTTTTGCTCTCCCTAAAGCCTTTAAACACAGCCTGGTGGCAGCATCTTTGTATTGAACTTTATCCACCATCCATGTCCTCCCTGGAGCTCACTGAAGGCGAATTTTTAAAAATGTTGACTATCTTGGATGAAGTGGTAAAAATGCTTTGTGAGCTGCCTCAAGGCATCCAGGCAACATGTCGATATAACTCACGCTTGAATGTGGTTCAGTCAAGTGTTAAATCAAGAAATGACACAGAAGAAATTCAGGGAACCATTCATCGTAATATATATTTTTCCTTTTTAGGCTGAACACAAAGGGCTTTGTCGTTTTGAGCTGACATCTAAGCCCTGCTGAGCTTCAACATGCTCTAATGAAAATAAATCAAATCTCCTCTTATCAGCTGCTCCATCTCCTCCTACTCAGCACACGTGCCTCGTCTGCACTGCACCGATAACGCTGTGCGGCCCCGGGGAAGCAGTTCGGCTCCACTAGTCGTGTGTCCCTGACAATGTAGTGGGTGTTCACTCTGCTGTGGCGAAAATGTCTTTGAGTGCTAAGTGAAAAAGCCCCTCTTCTTTTCTCTTCCCACCACAGCGATTAGTATTCAGCCTCACAAAGTCACCGTCAGTCTGGTATCCATGGTGAAGGGACGGGAGTCAACCTCACTGATGCTCCGTCTTTGTCACAGAGGGAAAAATGCTTTCTGCTTCATACGCAAATATTTGGAGATAGGGGAGTTTTCACCAAACACAGGTGAGAGCTCTGGCTCTCAGATGAATTAGCCCTCAGTGACGTTCACCAGGTCTTCATGTTACTGAGACAACAGAAATGATATCATCACCAGAAGCTATTTATAGAGCTGAAAACAAAAGAAATGATTGACTGGCTTGGTGTTTCTATTGTTTGCAGTCTACTTCAACAATTAACGCTGGAACAAATCCATATTTCTGTTATTTCTGACTGATCCATGACAGCACCAATTTTTTTTTTAACTTTGCACCTTTCTCTTCTCTATCCTGTTGCTTCCAACCTTCAGCTCATGCAAACTTACAAAACATGTAATTTTCAAGTAGTTTGATGCTTTTATGAATTTTTGCTGAAAGTCAATGAAACACCTGCAAACATGAAGCCAGTGTGACCATAGGGCCAAAAAATGACATCAGTTGAAGCATAGCCAGCTTGAATAAAAGGTTGAAACCTCTTTTAAATGCTCATCAGTTCATACCTAATATCTCTATTTTGCCTTTTTAAGATGTTGATGATAAAACCCAGAGAAGCAGGTGCACATCAGGGATAAAACAAAACATATTTTAGTATCTTTAGTCACTGTTTGCTTATGCCAAGTAAAGCCAACACTGGTTATTGGCTATAGTGATATCATGGCAAAAATATGTCCTTATCAGCAAGAAGACAAATAATATATTAAAATAAGAACTCCCAGAAATCGACAAATCACACCTTTGAAAAACTGTAACTTTACTGTAAAAAGCAAAGTCTTTCCCTGAAATTGTTTGCCTACATTTTCATGCTTGTTAATATCCCCAACCCTGAACAGGCACCAGAATTACAAGTTGATTAAATAAATGATTTATGATTTTGTGGGTAGTGTTGGTTTTATACTGTCTATGTGTCACACCCATTTGCCACTGAGCAGGGCTGTAGCTCTTGTTAATTGCGACTGCCATAACACTATAAAGCTCTATGCATGCATGACGAATGGCACCAGAATTTCAATTTTCTATTTCCACGACTAGATAATTCGAATTTTCCCAGTGAAAATAGACCTTTCCTGGGATATTCACAGATGCTGATTAGCTGTTTTGGTGAGCAGTCTCAGTGTGGTTCTGCTGTTTTGGGGGTAATGTTTGCTATAATACAAGAAAAAACCTGCAGAGCAACAGTAAGGCTTACAAATGGGTTTTAGATGATCCTAAAGCTTTTACGAAGAACTGTTGGTCTGTGCAGTTTTGGCGCCCTTAGAGACCGGCGACCACTATCACTGAATGTGATCAATCACTTCACGCTGACCCTACAGCGGCATCTACATGCACTGAAAATGAAAATTTGGAGTTTAGATGGACTTGCTTTTGTTGATAATATTCAGGTTTTGTGATTAACAGGGCTCAAGCACAAAGACCTGTTGAAACTCAAAATGATTTTTATCCTTTGTTTTTTTTTTCTTTCTCTTTTTGTCATGAGTCTCAAGTTTAGTGGCTTTAATGTGCCCTAAAACTCACAAAAATTCACAAATACACATGTGCCTCAGGGATACTTCAATCTACAGTTATGAAATTGGGTGTGCATATAAATTTTATCCAGACCTACAAAAATACTGTTGCATCCACACCCCAAACTCAACAGGGAGTCTGCCATACAGATTTTCAGAGGTTATATTTGAACTAACTTGTCCTATGGGTTCTGCATTAGTCAGCTTCAACTTCATCAGTTGCTTCAAATATCAAAGCTTATCTGAGATGTTGTTTCTATCAAATGTTTTGTCCCTGGCTGCCCATCAACTTTGATACCCCGCCATGAAACAAGAAGTATTTACACTCCTTCATGCAAGGCCCAATCTGCTCCAAATTTCACAGGTTTCACAGATATCAGTACCAGCTGTCACTCATTTACATTTTTGTCATAGTCACCAACATTTCTGCATTGATGATTTAGTTAAAGTCATAGCCCACCTACCAACAAAGCCAGTAATACGCTGTTATATGTGTGCAGACAGCCCTACACTGATCTAAACTGATTCATGTTTTCAAGTGGCGGCTGCTGCAAAATGAACAGCTTTTCAACAGCTCACAGTTACAACACACCTCAACATACACAAAGGTGTGAGGGTCTGTTTATTGTCCGTTTAATTCTGTCTCATAATTAGTTTGGAGCTCCTCAAAGGACTTTAAGATAAAAGCCTTTTGTTAGTCATACTCCTTGTACAACCAACAAATATGCACTCAAGCAGCAGCAATTGATTTTTTTTATATTGTTCAATGAAAAAAAAAAAAAAAAAAAAAAAGAGCTCAACATTTTTAGTTTATCAGGAATCAAACCTACTTTCCTCTTTGACTTGAAAACATTGCAGCGGAAAACGTTGCTCTGTCCCTCTCTGGCGATGTAGCTGAAAATCTTCAGGTCTTGGGCATCATGTGAGACATAGAAGATCCTAGTGAAATGAAGACAAAACATAATCATGCTCTGATTGGGGCTTAATTATATTGAGCTTTGTGATTTAATACCAGGTGACCGTTATACCTGTAGATGGGATCCTGTGTCACCAAGATAGTATTTTCATCCCAGGACCATCCTTTTCTCTGTAAGAGCACAAAACAAGTGGGAGTGTAAAGCAGCAAAGGTGTAAACCTGACAGCCAAGACACTTAGTGCGAAATAGTTCACAATTTTCAAGACCTACCTTCCTCTTTTTTCGCAAAATCACTTTAACAGAGTCAGTGGATACGACAATGTTGACCTTCTTTTTCTTGATATTCTTCAGTTTGAATTCATACTGTGAAAGAAAACAATGATATTCAAGTAAGTATTCAAGGCTGGCAGGGAAAATGAAACTCAGAGTTTATTCAGACCTAATTGATCATAATATGTGGTGTGAGTGGCAGATCACATGCTCTGACTGAGATGTAGCTCCTCATACAAGATAAATAATACGTTTTTAAAAAGGAGGAAAGAAGGAGTCTTGCAGACAGGAAGATATTTCTGACTCCCCTCTCCTTAGGGAAATCTGAGACTGGGTAAACACTGAGAAACTGACGATCTCCGTTTCAGGGAGCTGTTTAAGCATTCAAAGGCTGGCGTCCCACAGGGAGACAGACATGTGCGGGACACTTTCATCCCTCTCCATGATTAAGAGCCTGCGCCCCTGCTGCCGCCACTGCAGGCTCAGACTCCAAACACCAGGGCTCAGACATCTAAAAACCACCAGAATCCATGTGAAATAACATGCCTGGTGTTGAAACCACTCAGTTCAACATCAGATGATTAATTGATCAGGTGAAGTTTAATAAAAACACCAGTCTTCTGCTTGTATGATAGACGTAGATAACCTCTGTCACCTCTCTTTGAGCAAAAACAACAAAGCACTGTCTTATATTTCCTGCAGGATTTGAAAAGTCTCCTTACTTCTGTATTGACATTTCAGAATAGAAGAATCCCACAGGAAGAAAAGAGACTGCTGCTGCCAACATGGCGAGTCATTTCAGCACTAATGAGTGAGGAGCTGTTTCTTTATAAACCTGTGTGCTGTTAAAAAAAAGAAAAAACTGTTTTACTGTGTAATTTGCTGTCATTTGGTTCATCCATCTTATTGTTTTGTGGGAGGTTTACACCACATGGGGTCAGATGTGTAGGTACTGAGACGAAGGGCAAAACTCTAATAATATGTACGTGCTACTCAAGCTAATTCCGACTGAGGCATTAGGGCCATCCATCTCCACACACATGCTGTCAGAGGGCGAAACGGAAAGGGATCCAGACACCATATAACGAAGTGAACAAAGTAGAATGAATAAAGTTATGGAATTTTTAAATCAAGTATTTCACGCAATGCAATCTTAACCTTTTCTTTTTAGTAAAAACGGATAAAATCAGGTTGAAAGAGTGAATATGCATTGCAAGGTCTTTGTTACGGTTGCAAACACTGTGATACAACTTGTCCACCACAAGTATAAAAACATAATCAGTTTTGTTGGGTTCCAATAATTCGATACAATGTACAAAAGAGTACGGTACAGCATAATTGCTATGATATGATACGATTTCACATGATATGATATGACATAATATATTACGAAAGGGTATGATATGAGAGGATACCATACCATACCATACCATACATTGCTATATCATTGGATAAAATAAAAAAGATGTGACCTCTTCATTTTCTGCTTGAAATCTTAGTTTGAACAGGACATTACCAAAGAAATATCAAGCTATATTGCAGATTAGCAATTGAGACAGTACAAACACAATCAAGAAACACAGAACAGGTGATCTGGTGTAATATGAATAAGAAGTCTGGTTTTGTTACTCTTGATACTAACAACCCCATGCAGGCCATTCAAAAGAATTCAGATTTAATGCCCTGATGAGCTGGCTTCCCTTTTAAAACCAAACACTTTGTTTAGAGGTTTTTGGATACCAGCATCAGTGTTGGTACTAGTTTGTTTTACTGCCTAACGCACTTTTTTTTTCTGGTACGACCGAGCATCAGGACCACATTAAGAAAAGAAAAAAAATTAGACCTTGGAATTACTTACGAGAATAAAGTCGTAGGAAAATCTTTATTTACAAGAATAAAGTCCTAATAAAATCATAATTTACGAGAATAAAGTCGTAATAAAATCATAACTTACGAGAATAAAGTCGTAGCTAATAGCTATTCTAACCTGTTGTTAGTTGTTTGAATGAGCGCTGTGGAGCATTTAGATGAATTGAACTTCAGTAGCTAGGTTTCACAAACAAGGAGATAAATCCTTTGGTGTTTCAGCATCACATTGTCATAAGTATCAGGACATATGCAAGAAATGCATCTTTTCTGCAGACAGAACCAGGCGGACTTGTAGGGAATCGCTGTTTTTGAGGAGGGGAAAATGGCTGGAAATGGCTGTGCAGAGGCTAAATCCCTCAATGCAGCCGTTTATAGCAATAGTAATAGCATATGGCTTTTGTTTATCGTATGGATCTATATGCCATAACGTGTTGGTGCCTCTGCAGGTGTAGGTTGCTGCCAGTGTTGTGCAGGCATCAGAGACAGACGAGGTGCTCGTTGGAGCTCGACTCCCTCTGAATCGCAAATGTTGATCATCATTTGGATTGTTTCTTGAGAAACCACAAAAGTCCTCTGAATGGCCCACTGATGCACCCACAGATAACTCTGCAGTTGACCAGTTCCAGACATTTACTTCTCCACAAAAGCAGCTTTTAGACTTCATTTACTTTACGACTTTATTTTCTTCAGTAATGATTTAATTAAGATTTTAGTCTTGTAAATAATTATTTTTATTATGACTTTATTCTTGTAAGTAATGATTTTCCTACGACTTTATTCTCATAAGTAATTCCGAGGTCTAACATTTTTTCTTTTCTTAATGTGGCCCTAATGCTCCGTCATACAATGGGCTCTATGCACAGTTCCACTACTTCCTGAACTTAGGGCAGCTCCTTTATTTCCTGTCTTACATTATTGGACAAACTGATTAAACCAGGAGTTTCTGAGTAGTCATAATGATCAGTTACACCTGGATTAATTAGTTTGTCCAATAATGTAAGAGGAAATAAAGGAGCTGCCTTAAGTTCAGGAAGTAGTGAAGCTGTGCATAGAGCCCATTCCAAATTATAACCAATCGGCCCTCCTGATTTCAAGCTATGTGATAGTTCAGTATGAACAGAAAAGTTGTAATACTTAAGCAAGCATTCAGTCAAACTTTATCCATCAGTATTGTGCTTTTATATTGTTCTGGCATCAGAGGAGTAGTTGGTGTTGCTTGATAACCCAACTGTTAAAGTCGGTAAGGAAAAGATGGCGCTGACACATGTCTGCCAGAAATGAAATTAAGGATTCTGCAAATTTGATACCAAAAGTCTTCATCAGATTCTTCGTCAGTCTAGCAGTAACTCTGAGGAACTTTACTCTCCAGCACAGCTCACGCTCTACAGGTTGTGTCAGCTCACCTTTACTCTTCTCTCTAAGCAGCTGTGAGTCTTTCAAGGGCACCTGCGCTCTTGAATATTCAGTGAGTGCGACCCTCCCCCCCAAGAGCAAGGACTCTTAATTACTGAGCTATTACAGAGCTCACAAACAGCCTTCATGCTCCTACTGACTCGCTTTTATCTTATCAACGTAAATCTTGCTCACATCAGGAATAATTTTGTTTATTGTATTCCCCTCTTTTCTTATATTCCTTATCTCCCCTGGGTTTATTATTTCTGCAGTGAAGCTTTGCAGAGAAGCACTTTGCAAACTTCGCTTTTTAGATAAGAGCCAAACAACAAAGGAGTTTAATTAAATGTTTGTTTAGGGACGGATGAAAAGGTTTTTACATGGACACAGCTTTCATGCCTTCAAAAGACTATGGGTGACTTTTTTAAGGATGATTTTTAAACTGGACTCAAATCTGCATGAAAGTGCTTTAGTGCAGAAAAAAAAGAAAAAAAAATCTAAATAGAAAACCAATCAGAGATTCCTGAAAAGATCTGTCAGCTCTATCATACAACATCTCTGAATCTTCGCCAGCACAATCAAATGGCCATAACACTGCAGCAAACATGAGGGATCAGGATTAAGTCTTCCCTTGGTGTCATTCGGGATGTGTCTGACCTCTGAGCGACACAATAACTCGCGTTGTTAGATTAGATCTAACAGCTGACAAGCAGCTAAATCCTCTCCTCCCTGAGCGTATCTGTGTGTAATGCTGCAGTCATGTGTAATGACAAGGCAGTGCTGGTTTCCTGTGGCCTTGTCAGGTCTGCAGGGAGGCTGTGGAGCGAGTTGGTTTTTCTAATAGTACACATAAAACCTGCACGCTGTGTCTCTCCTCAGCCATAAAATCTGTCTCATGAATCCTGCCGTGGTTTAAAGCACTGCTGACAGCCCACTGAATCTGCCGAGTGTGGGGTTTTACGCAGACTGGTGATTAATGTGTGTAGAGAGATTTTGAGGGGAGTAAGGATGCAGGAAGCACAAGGTGAGACATGAAATACAACCAAGAAAAGAGAAAAGAATGAGAGGGAGTGAAAGAGTGGTTTAATGTGAAAGCACACCATCAGTCTGGGGGTCTCTGTTAATGTGTTTAGACTGCTATTGACTCAGGGGTCAAGTATAGTAGTGGGTTAAGTGACTTACTCTGATCCTCCTCATTGCAGCAACTATCTCCATCCGGCTGCCGGGGCGACCCACCTCCAAACTCCCAATGTACTGCAAAACAAAAGAGTATGATACCATTGATTTTAGGGAACGTATTCTCCTGATATCTTTGGGAATACAGGTTTGACAGCTTTTTTATGCACTTTTGGAGTTATATGCTGAATTCAGTATCACACTACAGCTGCCACTATTAGTCTGATTATTCATGCATTCATTTACTGAAAACTATTTGTGTTTTTTTTTTTTTTACCATGAATTCTGTCAATTTTTCATAATGACAAGAAAAATAAAGATGAATCCAGCATCTCACTCTTATCTTGGAGAATGTTCCTCTTATTTTGCCCGTAAGTGTAATATTTTAACACCAGTAGATTGTGACACATTTTTAATACACATTTTAAAATTTTTTTAGATCAAACTATTAATTTTTTATTCCATAAAACAAGTCTTTAGACTTGACCAGCTGCCATAGGATTGACCTTCATCCTTCTTAAGTTTGTCCAACGTGAGCTCACGAATGGAAGCGTCTGCATTCACCAAGTTTTTTGTCAAAACAACTCTTCTTCATGTCTGGAAAGGTCAAACATTTTAAAGTCATGCAAAGTGGACTGTACTGTAGTGTAAGAATAAGAAGCACAATCATACAAACTCATAAATGAGGGTGCACAGTGGTTGTAAAAACAGCAGTGGCAATTCAATAGTTGGCACACAGTGATCCTCATGCATCAGTCGCTTGCTGTCACTCATAAAGTATGTGTTGCGGAGGGTCCCTACCTTCGCCTCGAAGCAGACCCCATGCTTAAACACCTCGTCGTTGTGCATGGGGATCCTCAAATCGTGCGCGTCATCCACTAAATTGTACTTGGTTACCCCTGGCATCGCTCTAATACTCGCAGACTCTCCTGCTTTACGACAGCGCTAGAGCACCTGCAGATCTGCTCCTCTCCTCCTCCTCCTCCTCCTCCTCCACAGTTGCAACTGCTCCCTCCTCACCCTCACCGGAGTGACGCGTCACGCCAGGGGTCATCCGGGTTGAGGCGCGATGGATTGGTCGGAATATGGAGTCTATTTACGCGCTGCTTAGTGATCGGTGTGAGCACCCTCCGACCCTCCAGCTCCGGTCTGAGGCACGACGGACAGAAGCAGCACGCACCGTCGGGGTCCCGATGACGCACGGATCTCAACACATGATTGTTTCGCTCCTCTGGAAGCGCAGCGGCACCACTTCTTGCGCTCACTGATCAGACAATGTGATCAATATTCACAAGCATGGACCGCGTATTGGCTGCCAAACTGAGTGTAACAGTAAAATGTAATAAAGAAAGAAGGGCTGTGAAAGTAATGACTCTATACTGTACAGCGAGTGTTTGCTTGAGGGACATCTAGTGGTTACACAGGGAATTAACAAATCCCTACAACCGTCTCCAAGTGGATTCCGGGAACTCCCAAAGGTCCTTGAAGGGCTCTTGATTCTTGACAAGCAATGTGTGAATGACAGCCTTTAATTTAAAAGAAATTCAACATTCAACATCTATAGAAGAAACGAAAACCAAAGCGATGGTAAAACAGTAAAATACAACAAGAACGAACGAAAGAGCATGCAGGGCGCAAGTTTGGTTGTAACATTGATGGAAGATAATTTTTCAACGATTTGGGGGTAGCACTGTCTCCATCCTGCAGTTTGGTGGGATATTATGCTCTAATTTATAATGGAAGTCTATTTATTCATGAGTTAAAATAAAAATATTTGATTAATTCATAAAAAAGAAACAACAGATTGCATTACATCATGGGCAGATCCCCAGGGTGGCTTTGTCCCTCAACCTTGACATATGAGGGTCAGCCCTATTACCATCTCAAAGTCCTGAACCATGATGAGCTATTGGCCCTCTCAAGAATAAAATTCTTGTTAAAGGGATATTCCAGGGTAAAATTAATTTAGGGTGAAACACAGAGTTGGACACCCCCTTGAGAGATGATTTTTGCTGACTCTAGTTATACCAACTTCAGTAACGACTGCAGGATAGCAATACACAGCGGTCTGAGGAGCCTTAAACAAACCTCAACCAAAACGCCACTCTTTAGCCACAAAAATGCTCGGGACAGCACTTAACTTCATCAACAGTATATGTAGAGTCCTAGCCATAGTACTAGTCACCAAACATCTTTTTAACTTGCCTAATTTCTTTAGCAAAGAGACTAAACACAACTCACCTTCTCTATTCCAGCAGCCGCTTGTTTGTAGTGAGACCTCAGGCCAATCCATAACGGACTGCAGCGGGATGATGCAGCTCTAGGAAGAACATTTATGATCCTTTCTTCATGAAAATGTAATCAGACCGAGATGCTAAGGCAGAAGAACTTCCGCGTCTGCAGTGCAAAATGATAAATATGGTGATTATTACTTCAAGGAAATGATAAAGTAATGATCATAAATGTACTTCCTTGAGCCTCATCACCCTGCAGCAGTCCATAATGGATTGGCCTCGCTACAAACAAGCGGCTCGAGAAGGTGTCTAACTCGGTGTTATGGTGTGTTTGACCCTAAATTAATTTTACGCCGGAATATCCCCTTTAAGCTCAATTTTGGGCTGTTTTGTAACAAGCTGCTGGTTCTTTATTGTCTTGAAGAAGGAGAGTTAAAGGCCAACAATGACAGGCTCTAACAGGAATTAGAAAACAGAAAACTCAAGGTCTTCCCACAAGAAGTCTCTAGATAGAATTTAAAGAAAGAAACTTGCTCAGTGTGAGGTGTCACTGCCAACTATCAGTGTTAAGTTTTGCCAGGCTCTCTTGTTTGGTGTTTCTCTAATTTCTGTTGCATTGTGAAGATTCAAAAGCATGGTGAAGGATAGGAAGCCAGAACATTTGAGTTACACAGGGAAAGTTCCCCGCCAGGACTTGAACCCAGAACCTTCCAGCCATGAGGCATCAACTGCCACACTACAGAGTTGCTTGCAGTTTTCAGATTTGATTCCTTTTCATTATAATATTGTTTATTGATCCAAAAGTATGGTTCAGAGGTAGGATCCAGGACACAATAGTTACACATGAATGGGTCACTGCTGGGATTTGAATCCAGGACCTGAGAACTGTTAAAACAGCTGTGATACTGCCATACTAAGGTGCAACAAAGCAAGATTTTTTTTTATTATCCAGGCTTATCTTTCTGGAAGATTGTGGTGATTTCAATCAGTGCTGGCCCAAGGCATGAGCGAACTAAGTGCCTACCTAGGGCCCTGCGCCCAGAAGAGGGGCCCCAAGAGCAATAAAAAAAAAACAAAAAACAAACAAAAAAAAAACATAATAATAATGATAAAATTTTTCATTTTTGGCATGTATCAGTGATGATTTCTGTATGATCAAATATATATTATTGTAAAAATAAAATAACATAAGTAAAAACATTTTAGTGCTGCTGTTGATGTAAGCCTATGATTCTTACTGTCGATATGGCAAAGTTCTGTTACCGTTATGTGCCTTTGGCTGTGCAATGTGCACTGAGCATCCTGAATGTGTTACATTTTGAGATTAAAAACCATATGTGGCACCCTGAACATCATTTACCAGTCATTCATTGGTATTATTTGTAAGGTTGCTTTGGCATTATTTATGTTATTACCTAGGCCATCCCCTAAAATGTGTAAAGACATGTCAAGCGCATTAAATTTACACTGTAGTAGGTGTGTGAATGATCAACAATCAATATTATTGGCAGAAATTGAGGACCCCAAAAATCTAATTTTGCTCAGGGCCCCATTGAGGCTTGGGCTGGCTCTGATTTCAGTGGATTAAAAGATGCAGGACTTTTCAGCTCCACATTGTAAGGCCCCCTGCTGGAAGAAGACTGAAAAACCTTCTCCTTGTGACCCAACCATGCGTCCCCCAACAATAACGTACTGTCATGCAGAGCGTACTTGTCATTTCCTTTTTAAAAAACTCATTGTGGAAATTTCAATGCTTGGTCTAAAGTTGGAGCATTCTAGCTGTTTAAAGGATGTTACATGCTGGGATTCAGACCTAGAACCATCTGTGAGGTGGCAGGTTTAACAACATTACTGTCCCTTGTCTTGCTAACTCATTCAGGGATATTTACTTTCCAGGATATAATGTGAATGCTTTAATTATGATCTGTTGACAAAATCCACATTTTCACGACAGGTCCATCAAGGGCCCGCTGCCTCCACTGGGGCCTTGGGGAGTCAGTTCCTCTTGTCTACCTCCATAATTGTTGCCTACCCTTGAAATACATTTTTGCTCTATGATTGCTTGGTCCCCTAAAGTATGATAAAGTTGGTGGATATTGGTAGAGACAAGTCCAAACTAACCCTGTTCAAAATTTTACACTCTTGCTGACATGTTTTAAAATGGGTACAGCTTCGTCACATCGAGTCACACTCTCAGGTGTCTGTGATGTTCTCTAGAGGTGCTGACACTCCATCAGTTTTGACCTTTCTTCTTTGTCTTCTTTTTCCTGCTAATAACCTCTGTAGATGGTAAAATGACAGTGTCATGGACAAGAGCAGGAACTTTCCATTTTCATGTTATGCAATTGCAGACATTTCTCCATTGAATCACTGTTCTCAATACAGCTTAAAGTTACTTTTATTATAATCATTTTTTCTTAAAAAAAAAGGAATAAGAAAGATATTTAATCTCCCAAACATTTTGCTTAGGAGTCAGTACATTTCAATCAAAATGTTTTGTCACATCAATCAATCAATCAACTTTATTTCCATAGCACATTTAAAAGAACCACAAGGGTAGCCAAAGTGCTGTACAATAACACATAAAAACAAATAAAACAATCAAAGAACAAAATAAAGCGAGCAAAAATACATTAATGCGAAATAATAAATAAGTACATAAATAAGCAGGCTCACGGCAAGTGCTAAGATGATAAAAAACAAAATAATACTACAATGTATCAAAAGCCAAGGAGTAAAAGTACGTTTTTAAAAGGGATTTAAAAACTGGAAATGAGGAGGCATGGTGGCAGCAAAAACAAAAAACACGAAACGGAAATGTTATTATATTTTAAAGTAACTGTGATTTATATTTCATAACATGTTCAAGGTCCAGGGTTAAAGGTAGCTTTATTGTTAATTCTGCAACATGTGTAACACATACAGAGGATTGAAACTGCATTACCCGAGGGCCCGTGGTGCTACAGTAAACATTTAGTATAAAAAATAAAATAAATCAAATGTAAAATTATTAAAGAGAAATGCATCATGGTACGGAAACTACATCTAATTTGAACAACTGTTTCTGTGAATTACTGTCTGTGAATATTTTCACCCTTCTTTGAGCTGCAGCAGTTTATTTAACTTTCCATCCTGTAACTTTTCCACTTTGAGGTTTACTCTGACTGCTCTTACCACATTTTCCAGCTGCAGCAGGCAGACGGCTGTTAAAAAGCTTTGAAACCAGCTGCATACTACCTGCTCTGTACAATAGTGTAGACTGACAGATCTAGTCATTGAAAAAAGAGATGAATTAAACAACTCAACAGATGCAGTTGTCTTTATTGTTGTATAGATAGATATAAAAAAAACTTCAGATAAACTCTGTATTTAGATAAAAAAAAAATATGGCATAAAGCCATGGACATTTGCACATTACTGTTACTAATGTAATGAGATTTTTGTCTGAAACTCTACTTTGACACGTACAAGACATAGATAACTGGTATAACCTTATCCACAAGGGGGCACCACTATCAACTCAGACCAAAAGTTCCTTATAGCAGCTTTAAAAATACTGATAAAAACATAAATCTGGTATATTTTTGGTCCACATTAAAAACAATCACAAAAATCCGACTCCTTATTTAATCTTATTTGATTTAAAAATCAATAAAGGGAAGATAACAAGCTTGTAGTGAGAAGGATGCAGGATAAACTGAGGAGCTAGAGCTGGACTCTGATGAGATGGTGAAGGTGAGGTGAAAGATGGTACAATTACTGAAGTGAAACGATGGCCTCAGTGAGAAAGAGAGGAGAAAAGATTTACAGAGTTAGCAGTAGCAGGATTATTCATCAGCATATGGTGACAAATGTGTTTCTATAGCTACAGTTAACTTTCTGAAACTGTAACTCAATTCTTTAAACTCACTAATACGATTGCAGAAGGGCTTTCAGAGGGCTCTTTCATCAAATAGTGAAAACCATGCCAGATAAAACATCTGCCCACTGAAATGTTGTTTGGAGAGCTAAAAGCTGCGCATTCAGGGAACCAGTCCTGGGATCACATTTCAGAGACCCTTGCTTTTTGTGACCATGCCACAACCAGTGCATGTCAGTAACTTCTTTTCAGAGAGTAACCTTACCATCATTTTTAGTG